AACAACAACAAAAAAAACCTCTTCTCTAAAATGTTCACTGTATTCGGCAAATATCTGTGGATTGATGAAATAAATGAATGTATAAATAAATGCATATTTATTCTTCTAGGTAAACTTAAGAATAATTTAACCTAAAATAGTTTCTTCCTTGCAGATCAAAAGACCACCCTGAGATTTTATTTTATTTAAAATTGCAGTTGTGAAGGTCTCTGATGGATTTTGATGGCATAATTGAGAACTTTCTGTGGCAAGGCCAGTTATCCACAAGAAGCTGTACAGCTGCTGCACATGAGTGAATCTGCCATGCTCTGAAGCTTGGCTGTTGGACAGCTCTGCATGAGTCTTGCCAGTGCCGCTAGGCCAGCTGGACTCAGGGTCACTGACTTGTGCCTTATGGACCTATTAAAAAAAGCATGGGTGACAGAACCAAACTGGCCTGGCCTGGCTCTGCAACACTTATTGCCCTCACTCCGCCTCAGTTTCCTCCTCTGTAAAATGAGGATAATGTTCTACTCCTTGTACTTACTTTGAAGAGTTGACAAGATTCAATATCTGGTCTATAGTAAGAACTCAATAAAAAGAAACATAATGATATTGATAAAAAATGATTAGGATGATAATAATAATGACAATGACAGCCATAATTAGAATAGCCATTTGCTCATTTATTGTTGTAAATATTATCATCAATTTTTATAGGACAGGACCATCAGCCTTCACTGAAAGTTTTCTCCCTGTAAACAAACTGTACACAAGAAGTCAAACTGTCAGAAAGTTATGTAAAGAACCTCAATTCTTAACTGGGGGAGATATTTTAATGGTTTATACCTCTGATGGGATGCTGTAGCCCCCTGACCATAACAGCCCTACCTCCCAGGTTGCCCAGACTCTCCTAGCAGTCTATCAGGACATTCTGTGCCCTGGACAATTTTGAAACACCACTGCCATTCTCTGGCTCTCTAACTCTTCTTTTTCTATGTGTTATTGCTGACCAATGCTCTTCTTACTGGCCTTTCAGTTCTCTAATGGCCATTTCCTCCACTTAACCTTAGCCATTTACTCCAACAGCCATATTATGAACCTTGTCATCCACAAAGACCTCATCACCTCCAGTCTTGAGATCTCCCATTCTTTAACCCTGGTAATTTCCTATCCTTACTTCTTACTCATGATCCAACATCTTCCCACAAAAGTTCTTCAACCACATTATAATTTCCAATCCATAGATCCCAATACTTTCTATTCATTGTTCTCTCCTGCTGTTCATCTGACTTAGATTCCATGGTCCAGATCATTACAGTCATTTTATTACAAACTCTCGATTCCCTCGCTCTTCTCTCCTTCCATCATAATCATTTTGCAGAACCTCTCCCAGGGTGAACTCAATGATCCCCCATTTTCATGTCTGTACCTAGCAGCTAAGACTAACTAGAGGAATTCACACAACTAACAAAGTGGTTTCATTTGAAATTAACAATCTCAATATTTCCAATGAGTTCTCAACACTGACAGAGTTCCACCATATTTCTTCAATAAGCTTGCTTCCTCAATCTCTGAGATGACTCTCACATTATTTTCTCTATTCAAGCCTCCTACCTCTCACCTGCCTTTCTCAGTTGATGACTTTGCCTCATGCTTCACTAGAAAAAACTGAAACATTCCCTCAACACCATCAAGATGTCTCCCTTTCTTGCATGTACACCCAGCCACCCATCCTCTCCTTGCTGCTTTTATTATACTAAGTAATTGTCTCTTCTCCTGTCAAGGTCCAGTCACTGACACACTCTTCTGATCTTATCCCATGTTACTTGCTCGAGAACTTTAATTCCATCCCCCCCAATATCTTGAATGTCTTCCTCTCCACTGAATCATTCCATTGGCCTGCAAACACAACATTTTTTGACTTTGTATGCATACATACATACCTTGACCTCATACTCCCTTCTATCCATTCATCCATTAACTACTCATAGCTTTTGTTCCCCTTCACAACCAAACTTCTCAAAACAGTTGTCCATAAAAGTGATTTTCCTACTTACTGCCTCTACACTCCACCTAATTGTTCTTGTTAATGTTACCTACAACTGCCGATTCTTGTCTCTTTGCCCTTTTTGATCTCCTAGTTCTATAGCTTTACATTACATATTTTTTCCTACTCTTTTAGCCTCTTCTCTCTTTTGTTGGCAACTCCCCCTTTACCCCAACTGGTAATTGTTGGAGTTCCCAGCATGATCACAGGCTCAATTCTCGTATTTCTCAAGAACTCTTATCTAAGGTGATTCATCTTTTCCCATGCAATTAACTACTATCTATATGTTACCCGCACCTGAATTTGTAACTCCAGCCAAATTTCTTTTTTGAGAAGAGATTGTGTATATTTAACTGCCTCTTTGACATCTCAGGAGCATATCAAGGTTAACATGATCCCTCTTAATAGTCTTCCCACCTTAAGTAAAAACCATTTCTCACCCAATCTTCTCTATCTCTGTAAGTGATTGCTCAAACTAAAATCCAGGGTATTATCTTTGATGTACCCCCTATTCATACTTCATATCTTTCAGCCCCTGAAGTTTCAACATCCAAAACACATCTCAAATCCATCTATTTTTCTTCACTATCTTACCACCTTAAACCAAGTCACTATCAGGTTTTATCTGGACGATTGCTTGAGTTTCCTTACTAGTCTTCTGGTTTCCAATCTTGCAAAATCATAAATCTCCCCCACCACTTAAAGCCCTTCATGTTTTTCCCATTACATTTATGATAAGATATAAACTTGTTACCTCACCTCCCAATCCCTGGCTGGCCTGGCCCATGTCCTACCTTACACTCCTCTGGGTCACTCTCCCCCTTGCCCACTAATGTGCTATCCTCATCTCCTTTCAGCTCTTTGAATACACTCAGCTCTTTTATGCTTACACACACACATTTTCCTTTCCCTGCTCCTCGTGAGGATGACTTATCTTTCAGGTCTTTGTTCAAATGTCACCTTCTCAGAGTCCTTCCATCACCAGCCTACAACAGTGGTCTCCTCAATTGTGTTTCAATGACTACTCTTGGCTTTATTCCTTGCAATATCTGCCAAAATTTGTAGTTATATTTTTATCTGTTTGTTTATATGTCTTTTTATCTTTCTTCCCCCATAGGCTGAGAGCTCAAGGGGCAGAGCCCAGCCCTGCTATAGGCACCAATTTACATCTGGTGCTGAGAGAAGTTCTGGGGCCTTTTCACACCTCTGTACCTTACCTGTGCTCTCCTTGCTGCCTCCACTAAAGGTTGTGAGGGACACCTGAAGCTTCTACTAATGTTTCCCTCTGCTGCTGAGGAAACCTGGGACAGAAATTGAGGCTCATAAAAATATTCATTGACTGAATGAATGAGTAAATGAATACTGGTATCCCACACATTTTCAGAACTTCTATTCTTACCAATGTTTTATTATTAAGATCATTTGCATGATTGGGAATCAACTAAGAGAGATGTGTGTGAAGTCTCGCAAGCTTGACTTTGGCAATGATTTCCTTCCCTTTCAACCCCCGTTTTCCTGTCTGGCCTAGAGCTATTTCCCTGGACCTCCACTTCTACTCCAGGGACATATTCTTTTTATCTTTGCCCACAACTCTTCTTAGGTGTTACTTTTACCATTTATATGTGTTTAACTACATTGAACCTCTCTTCATTTTCTTGAAATGATGGGATGCTTTCATAGTCTGTGCCTGTCTCCACCCAAGGCTGTGAGTGACACCTGCCATATCTGCTGATGTTTTTCTCTCCTGCTGAGTAGCAAGTGTTGGGGACAGCAGGATTTCACCTCTACTGGAGCCACAAGTACTAGGCACACATGGAGAATTCATGGGCCAGTAATACTGCCTCTGAGTGTCAAAGATAAACTGGGTGGTCTGGAACCCTCAACATCCAAAAGCCACATCGAGTAGGGGAACTGCTCCTCTCCCCTTCTGTGCTATATTCTGTTAGCTGGATGTCGAAGCAACATGTCTTCTTTCCCTATCTCTAATGTCTTAGAGGTTTTCAAACTTAGATTTCATGACCTCAGAGATGTAAGTAGATATCAGAGTCCAAAATATTGCAATGGTGATTTGTTTTGTTGAGTATGGAAAAAATAACAATATAAATATATTATGGATCTTCTGTACAGCCACCATATAATACTGCCACAACCAATTTGTATTTATTATAAACACATGAATTGAAAGTATAATTATATTATGAAGTACTGTACAACATTTTTACCAATTGTTTGCAAAGAAAAATATTGAGTAACTACATGGTACATGGCAATCTAAGCATACCCCAGAGCAGTGTGTAAAGAATTTGTGTTGCCAGCTGATGTTTTGTGCTGATCCTATTTTTGAATATATCAAATAGCAACCATTGGTTATGTTGGTATATTTTTAAATAGGATCATAATAAAAATAATTTGTTAATGCTAAGTTCCCTCAAAATATTTTAATCTTTAATTTGGTCAGTACATTACTTGAACTATGAAGTGTTTTATCAAGGAGACTTTAGCAAAAACTGCTCTTTCTGTTTTCCTTTTTATTTTTAATTTTTGTTTTGTTTTTAATGATCAACCCCACCTGTAAGACTCAGACAGAGGCTTAGGGTTAGTCTAAAAGATGAACCTGAATTTCTGATACTACAATGTACTTTGAATCATCCTTCTGCTCTGCCTCCAAACAACTGAAGTGGCTTATTAGGCCACACTTGACTCTCCTTTAGGATGAATTCTCTTCCAGAAGTCTCTTTGTGTAAACGACTTCCTGGCACCTACCCTTCTAGTCCTCCTCATACATAAATGTACCTTATGACAACTTGGACTCACGCTGGAATCTCCACTATCCTGACTTAAAGAAGGAAAAAATGGAAAATAAATGAGTAAACAAGTGATTGAATAAAATGGAGAATTCATTCACCTGACAGTAGAAAAGCCATTGCTTGCTCATTATATGATTTGGAAAAAAAGTATTCTCTCTTTCCAGGTGACAGAAGAAAGATTTAAGTTAGAAAAAGAAAAAGGGAAAGTAAAATCTCCCAAAGAGAAGAAGACTTCAAGTGCTAAGCTTGCCAAAGGAAAGGGAAAAGATCAACCTGAGGCCAACACAACAGTGAAAAAGACCACGCAGTTAAAACGGAGGGGAGAAGAAGATGACACCAAACGTTACATTGGTCAGTAAGTTCTGCTCCTGCTGATGCCTTTCATTTCCTGCTTCATGACCTATCATTGTCACTTCGGAAATCATTCCAATAACGGTGCTTAATCTTTCCCAACCTTTTTACTCTTTATAAAACCATATGACTTGCTCCCAATGACATCATAATAGAAAAATATTTCTATTTTCAATTAAGTTGTTTTTAGGCAAATATTTATTTTAGTATGTGTCTTGCCAGCCACATTTACATAGTGCAAATAAGGGATGAAATAGCCAGCTCGTTGTGGTACCAAAGAGCTTACTATCTTATTGGGAATATAAAGGAAAGCCAGGCATAATTACAAATCAAAATAAAAAGTGATTATTGTCATGAGTGAAATACAGTGGTAAGAAAATCAGACCAGTTAATTTGTGACACACAGAGTGCATAGCTTCTTAACTCCCATGTTCTGAGATGGATCAACTAGAATTTTCTTTTATTTCAGATTATTAATATAAAAATTATTCGTCCTAGGCAGCTATAAGTAATTCATTTCTGCCTTCTCTTGAACCCAGATGAAGTGATCAGTTGTTATTCATCATATTTAAGTAAGATAACAGTGGGCTTTCACATCCTTTACCAGTTGACTTCCCTCATATATTCTCTGCTCTAAATCCACTGCACTTAGCAATAATGTTGTTATGGATTCCATGAGCAATATCAGCACTGATGTGTTTAGTGATAGAAGAAAAGTCGTAAGTTAGAAATTAAAAGTTGTGCCTCTGTTGCAGTATTTGTAAGTTGATCTTAATGGGCTATTGTGAAATGTAATGTTTTCATGTACCATGCATGTACTATCAATATTAAAATATAATAATTATTCTCAATCCTCGGAATATCACATTCTAAAATAAACTCATGTTTTAATATTAATAAAACAGTATAACCAGGGAAAAATAGAGGAGAAAAATTTTAGGAAAGTACACAATATGTACTTTTAAAATATAATGCAGTAAATACATAGTTGCTACATAACCCATACTCATATTCATACCCATTGACATAAATGCATATAATACTTTGGTAAGAGAGCATGTTCATATTCAATATTTCCCTCTCCTGTAAACACCTCTAGTTATAAAATACCACAAAGCTGCAGTTACTCGTAATTCAGGAGTAAAGCCAGATGTTGCTCAAAAGAAATTAGAACCCAAAAGTGGTTACAGGATAAACTTTGACAAAAACCTAAGCACACATTTTCCATGACCACAGGCCCCATGTATGTTTGTCCTACTATTACACCTATGTCTCATTTGCAAAACTGATTTAATATTTTGTAAAATGGTCACAGCCTTATTACTGGAAGGGCAATAATGAAAAACAGTCAACATAACTGCATTCCAACCAACTGGATCATTTTTGGCAAGCCAGAGGGATTATAAATGCATATATAATGTATATAGCCATTGAACTGCCTGAGTGCAACCTGTTCTCTTTTACAATAATGGCTTCTCTTCTTTATGGTATTTTGAACAGATGATGAGCCAGATGATGGTGCCCAATATTACATTATAGTTGTGGGCTTCAACAATCCTCAGTTATTAGCGATTATGACTGAGCTTGGTGTTCCTATAACCAGCGTGATTAAAATATCTTCAGAGAATTATGAACCTCTGCAGACACACCTGGCAGCAGTTAGCCAGCAGCAGGAAGTTTTTCTTCAGCCAGAAGGTATACAGTCTGCTAAACAACTTACTGAATCCTTCAATATCACCCGCTTTCCTTAAAGTACTAATATAATTTGCTGTCCAAAACACAGTCACACAATGCATACATTATTAAATCCTTTCATGACTTTGATTTGCTATTTATTCTGCTTGTACAAGCCAAGTGTTGTAAATTTTGCAAATTAAAATCATACTCTGTGTTTAAATTCCTGTGTAGCCACAGAAAACATAGACTACAGGTTGGAAGACTTGATTATCCAACTACATTTCTCAGTAACATTGGATCTATAGCTTTTACCTAAGCATTGGCCAGATGGATCATTGTTGATAATCTGTTCTTACAGAAGCCACAACTCCCAAATGGTCCAAGAGAGGTCATAGCCTTGCATTTTTGCCCTGATCTGCTACTGGCTTATTGTGATAAGTCAGTGCAGGTGCTTTATATTCCTGGTCTTAGACTAGGAAGCTGTAGGGTGAAGTCCCAACCACGCTACCATTTAGCCATTTTGAGCCTTGGAGTCTTCATGTAAGGAAATTGTGCTAGTCTAACTTTGTAGAAAGGGGGCAAAAATCCACAGTATATTTTAGGAAATAGAACTGGGATTTGGTGTAAGCCTGTGTTACCAGACATCCAAGCTCTTTCTGTCATATGCTATTGCTTTTATTGTTATTTATTAATAATATAATTTGCACAGTGCTTTGTAACTTAATAGCCACATCCTAATTTTTATAATACTACATTTTTTAAATTGCTGTTCAAAGTTAAAAATAGCTATCCCTGATAATAATAATAGCTACCACATACTGGGCACATGTTTTGAGATAAGGCTCAGTACTAAGGGCTTTAATTACATTGGTTCATGTAATGTTCACAACAAGCCTAGGAAGTATGTTTTATTATTTTCATTTTACCAAACAGTACTGTCAGTCTAGAGGCTCCTATTAAGTAAAAGAGTTGAGCTTCAAACCTAGGCTACTCCTATCTCAGAGGATAGCTATAACATTAAATACTTTATTATTGAAGCTGGTAAGAAAATGCATATGCTGCAAACATAGGCTCTCTATAAAAATATTTAATGTATAAAAATAAAATAGTAGAAAAATAGACTTTATAAGTGAATAATAAGATCTTAGTAGTAGAACCTACTATTTAGTTATAGATGTAATCAACATAAATATTTCAGGTAAATTTGCAAGCACAACTTTATGGAAATATGTCATTATTTTACAGTCGGAGTGCAAATGCCCAGAGAAGTTTCTCGCTATTTTAATGTGACCAGAAGTTAGCTGAAGCATAAATCATTGATCCAATCTGTTTTTAGTCATGGGAGAAGGAGAACTAGATCAACTGCATTCCTAACCAGTTATGTAGCAGACACTAGGATGGTCAAAAATTGATTTGGCAGAAAAACCAGTTCTATATATTAATAGTTGCAATCTGAAACTGATGGAAATCTTCAAAGTAGTTAGCTCCCAAAATGAGTGATCTTGTCAAAATCTTTCTGGGCCTCAAGAATGAAATGAAGAGTTAAGATAAGCTCATATTTAGTATCAAGCTCAGAAATAAAATCCTCTGGTTTCATAATTATATACCAGTTTCAAAAACTTCTCAAAATTACATTTCTCTATTTGCATTTTCTGGTACCATACAGATATCTTGCAATGCATATGACTCACCACATCCACTTAAAGTGGGAAAAAATTTAACACTCTCATTTTGTAGTATAAACATATTGCTATTATTAGGCATAGAAGCTGAAAAATTGAGGAAACAGAATGCCACAAAAGAACTTGAAATTTTCTGGAAGTACTTGGAACCAATCCTGAATAATGAAAAACCTGAAACAAGTCTCTTTGATGTTGCTCGACTTGAATACATGGTCAAGGAAGCTGATTTTCCTTCTGACTGGTCAGACAACGAGCTAATGGTTAGTGCATTCGTGAGAGTACGTGGTTTTAACATGTGACACTGTAGCTCTATTTGATGCATTTATTCATCCCACAAATATTTACTGAGCACTGACTACTAGTGCTAGGCTCTTTTACCTTTAAGATAATAATAATATTGAATGCCTAATGATGGTTATAGTCTGATTCTCTAGCTTTTAGTGTACGAATTATGAATTAATAACAAAGAATAAGATGTGATAGATGAAGATAAAAGATGGTGATTCTTTTATTTGGTGGTACATGGCTTTGTTTCATACCTCAATAATGTTTCAGGCAGTAAATTAGAATCTTAATATATATTATATTAATTTTGCAAATAGTAAATTGTATAGTTTGTTGAATTACATGTATGTCTCTTTTTTATGGATAAGTTCAAACATTGCCTTTCTAAGCTGTTGCATTTATTGCCAAAATCTTATTTTAATGTATTTGGCCAACAAGGTCTATCCTAATAGGATGACTTGATCCTGTCCCCACAATTAGTAAGCATTTCCTGAGAGCATTTTCTGGCCCCTTTTATTAAGGTGTTTGCAGAAAGACAATACTAAAGCCAGGAAACAGAGAGGCAGTGGGCTAGGTACCATATATCTAGGTGCTCAGTTATGTGAAATACGCTCTAAATTTTCTATTAATGTAGAAAAAGAAGAAATGGGGATTTACTACTTGGAAAAGTAGTGAATACCAGATACATAAGGGATGTGTGTGTATGTGTGTGTGTTTAAAGGTCAAGTGACTACTTAACAAGAATATTTTGGAAGGTATTCTGGCATCCCTCTGTTATAGAAAACCACTCAGGTGTTTTCATAGTTGACCCCCTATCCCAACAAACAGGGGCTCAGGGGTATTGAATACCCTGAAGGAATATATATTTTAACATCAAGGGAACTGAAATGAAATCAGAGTCCTAGGGAAGGACCACATCAAGTGAGTGCTCTGACAGGAGCTGGGCAAAGTGGGAGACAGAAGGTGGATAGGTGTCTATATGCAGTGACTATGAGTAGCTGAGAATAAAGCTACTGACTGTGTAAAAGGAGAGTGGAATCAAAGCCTGGAACTGTTTGTGCATCTAAGGGTAGGCTGCCCAAGGCCATGGGCCGGGGCATGGACACTTCTGACTCTGAGAGCCCTTGGTTCTGTTACCTTGAGGTGGATGTGCACTTAGTTAAGTAAGTGAAAACATTGACAAGGGAGGCCAGATTTGAACCCTGAACATCGGACAGAACTTGAATAAGTTGAGTTATAAACTTGTGCTTTCAACACAAAGCCTCAGCTGTTACTATGTTAGAACAGAACACTGTAGTCTGATAACTTGCCAATAGGAAGAATAAATATCAGCCTTGTGCTATGCATAGAAAATGAAGCTGAATGTAGAATAGCTGCAATGGAAGCCAAAACTGGTTACTCCATACTCCCTTTGGCTTTGCCTCTCCCCACACCTTCATCTAAATATTCTCAGCTTTCCTGCTTTGTCTTTCTCTCTCCTGCCTCACAACCTGAGCCCAGAAAAGGACTCACTGTCATCTGCCCTTCACCGTTTCACATTACATTGGGTCAGTATGTTTCCCTATCCCAGAGATATTGCCATTATAAGTAATGTCATGAATAGTCCATTGAATATTCCATGATATTCATGGAATAATACATGAAAATGCCATGAATATTCTATTTTATTGGAATTCTAGATCATCAGAACATAGATGTGAACACCATGACATACAAATTGCAACTGCAAAACACCCAGCACCACTCCCAGCATCTGCTTTCTACTCCAGTTCCACAATTTCCTGCCTGTTCATTAGAAGATTTTAATCACTTCTTCAAAAGAAAGTTATAGTAGCTAAATTTTACTTTTTTAAAAATATAGAGTGGACCACTTTAAATGGCAATTGAAGTTTAGAAAAATTATTTTATGTTAAAAATATTACCAACTTCGTTCAAATACTATCCATGGTAGAACATTCCTGACTTCAGAACTAGAAGATTAATATACAGGGCATCTAGGTGGGCCATGAAGGTAAATGTCAACAATGAAAATATTCAGCTATCTCAAGAGCTAGTTAGGACTGTGTTGCCCAGTTGATCACACTGAACTCCTGTCAGTCAATGTGCAAGTATTTACTGAGCATCATCTTCATGCTAGGGCTGTGGTCTGGGTCTAATTTCAGTAACATTTTTGAACCCATGCATGCCTCTATAAGATATGGTTTGTGAGTGAAGGCCTCAGCATTGGGGATAGGTGGGAAAGGACAGTCTTGAAAATGGTTCAAGAAATAAAATTGGATTCCAGAAGAAAAGGCCATTGGATTTAATATTTAAGAGTAAAGTTCATTTTAAACTTGGGATCATTTAATAAACATAAAAGTGATAAATCTACTTCTAGGAGAAGCAGACCTAATACATGGTGTCGCACTATCTGCTATATCTGTAAGTTGATAATGGCTTTCATATTCAAGGTGTGAGCCAGCAAGGAGTCGTTCTTTCTCTCTTTTTTTTTTTTTTTTTTTTGAGACAGAGTCTCACTCTGTTGCCCAGGCTAGAGTGAGTGCCATGGCGTCAGCCTAGCTCACAGCAACCTCAAACTCCTAGGCTCAAGCAATCCTTCTTCCTCAGCCTCCCAAGTAGCTGGGACTACAGGCATGGGCCACCATATCAAGCTAATTTTTTCTATATATATTAGTTGGCCAATTAATTTCTTTCTATTTATAGTAGAGACGGGGTCTCACTCTTGCTCAGGCTGGTTTCGAACTCCTGACCTCAAGCAATCCGCCGTGTCGGCCTCCCAGAGAGCTAAGATCGTTCTTTCTCTTTGAATGGAGGAAAGCATTTGCAACTTTTGGCTGCAAATAAGTAGGCCATATTTCTCCTGAACCAAGATAACGAAGCCTTTACATTAAGTCAATGCCCATCAAGATGTACTGACTCGTGGAAGACATCTGAAACATCTCAAGTTAAAGCCCTGGTTGCTGAAGTAATTTACTGGCCTTTAGCATGTGATTTGCTGTTTGATTTAAAAATGAATTACCTAGGTTAAGTGATGGGTTATTGGGCAGAAACTTTACTATATTTCTTAGAAATACAAGCAAACAAAAATGTATTTTTATGCCAGGATTTGAGCAAGAAGTACTAGGTTGAAGTTTAACTAAAGAAGGCTCAGTCTTAGCATGGGCATGTGAAGCCAGATAGACAGGTGTGCCATAGTCATGGGCAGGGCTGTGCACTTCCCTGAACTTCTGTCAACTGTGATTCACTGCCCACAAGAAACCATCTCATTCTACCCTGCCTCTTCAACTCAGTCAAAGGGTGAACCTATTTCAACTTCCTTTGCTTCCCAGCACCCCAAACCATCCATCACAGTGCTTTCCTACTTGTGGAAATGAAAGCCCACATAACAGACGTATCTTATCTATAACTCTCTTACCAGCTCATAAAATTTGTGGGCATTATACAAGCAAATAGTCTATCAGGATTTCTTATTGATTTTCTTTAAGGATAGCACAAGTGAAAGGAAAGCAGGGAGGCAGGAAGGAAAAGAAGAAATTAATAGCACATATACTGCAGCATACTTGAGTGGATGATGTAAAAAGCTGAGCAAGTGAGTCCATTGTGTTCCTTGCACAGCCAGGCAAGAAATCATCAATAGCTTGTCTTTGGCTGAGGATATAAAAAATATCTAACATTTTTAGGAATTGAGATACTAAGAATATGGGCCACACTGTTGAAACTAACAACTAAGCTCTTTTCACTTATTCGAAGCATTAATTAGCCTCTTGAAATATTAGCCAGCCATGCGGCCTGCCAAAGGGAACAGTCTGCATTGTGGTGAACAAAGAAGGGCAAGAAGGGTTCACAGGTGAAAACTTGATCATCATGGGTAGGATCTAGTGGTTTGGGGATTTAGGGGCTTGCTTCCCTGTGTAAAGTTCATAGGCTTAGCTGATAAGGGATATACAAACTGTATACCTGATTCCAACAGTATAAAACTAATAACCAATTGTCATTAATTCTTTCACCCATAGCTGGAATTGGGCACTTATATTTTTGAAAATATTGCCTGTTTGATGTATGACACCCTGGATTGGAAAAGGCAGCACCAGCACTATCTGGAAAGCACGAAGGTTATTAATGTTCCTCAAGTGGTTAATGAGAAAACTGTCTTAGAAGCCACATCAACTCCTGAGGTAGGTGTGGGCTCAAATGTCTTTAGTGGGCTGAATGACTAACTAAACAACTTAACTTTCACATTTATAAAGCATATGAAGAAAAAGTACATAACTACTTGTATCAAGGTTATACCGCCTGCTGGAATTTAATACATGAAAGTGAGAACAAGGAAAAAGCCCTCCAGCATGGCCTTACAAAGAGCTATGTGGTGGGGGCTCTATGAAGTTCTTTAGTTGCCTGACACCTTGAAAGGCAAGGGTGGAATCCACTGGTCAGGGCCCGGTGCAATGAATAAATCTGGAAAAAGGAGGAATGTTGATAAAATATTCACAGTATTTATTTAGCAACTACTGTGTGGTAGTACCGTGTAAGATGCTGGCAAGACAACAATGAAGACTCATTCCCTGTCCACCTCACTTAGGTTAACTTTTAAATAGGATGACAATCAGGTCGACAACAGTTTCAATATAGCATGATGAATGCTAAGAGCAGTCAGCTCAGACTGCAGTGGAAGCAATAAAAAAGTTACCTCACCTGACATATAAAGTAGTAGGGCAGAAAGAGAAGAGTCAGGAAAATGGTACCAGAATTAGTGATGTGGTGAAGGCTGGGGTTGAATTGCCTACGGGAAAGCATGGAGGGGGAAAGGGATGAAAGGGTATTCTAAGGAAAGCAGCAAAGATGTACAAAGATGCGGAGGTCAAAGAAAAGAGTATTACAGCACAAGCCAGGACCACAGTTAGTTCAGTCATTCCAGGCTGCGTGTGGAACGTGCAGAAAAAAAACAGGAATTAAAGCTGGAGAGGAGAAATCCAGGTCATGAATGTCTTTTGTTGCTGAGTTAGAGTTTGGCAATGGAGAACCGCTGAAGTACTGTAAGAGGGAGAATGGGAGGACTCTGAGTCACTCAGGGAGAAGCTAAAAAACTGAACAGCGTCCATGCCATTTGCTTCTTTCCTCCCTCAGACAAAATTCCTTTTCTTTGATCCTAAAATTAGCAGATGATTTTGTGGCATGAACATAATTATACAGTCTCAGAATTCTGTTGGGTTTCTTCATACCAGTATTTGATGAAAGCATCTCAGCTGGATATCTCAGTTGTTTCTTTTTAATTATTCTTATTTTAGCCTGTACAACCTGTTACTCCTACCCCTGGAAAGAAGAAAACACAAGATGAAGAACCACAAGCTGCACCACCAGGCATGTATGAAACCTGTTGCCAGAGGATCAACACCATGAACTGTCACTTTAAGGAATAATGACTGCCCTCCGTATTGCTTTGGTCTACACCTCAACCTATAGTTTATATGTGTATTCATACATGGTCATAGTTTGAATTTAAGCATGAAATTTTGATGGAAGAAATGGAGAACACGTTTTAATTGGGCAATGATATTTTTTATATTTTATAAATATTTATAAATATTTTATATTTTATATAGTGAGTTTTGTCGTCACAACTGAAGTAGACATGAGATACTACAATGATTTGTTGAATCCGATTCCAGAGGAATTCATTTCTGTGCCCCTGATACTGCATTGTATGATTGAACAGGTGGGTATAGTCTGAGGCTTTTTCCCAGACAGTAACCTTGAGTAAGTCACTTCATCTCTCTTGGCTTCCATTTTTTGTTTATATTATTTTATTTTAAAATTACACTCCTAATACCTGAATGCATTCTCCTTTATAAACACTAAAACATTTCAGATAAAACTACAGTTTGCCTTGATCATCAGCTTCAATCTTCTTTCTTTTACTGTGCTCTGGAACAGTTAATATAACATTCTCTGAAGTTTTGCTAAAATATATCTTTAATAATATCTGTGTCTGGTGTTGTTTTAATGGAAGAGGATGAGGACATGAACAGGTGGGTAAGGTGGTTAATATTTATTTAACTATCTTTAAAATTTCTTTTATACTTATAGATTTAATTAGATATTTCTACCTCTGAGACCAATTGTGGTCATTAGTACTTTCCATATGAATATGTCCATTTTATTTGGGTTTTCAATATGATACAATGTTCTTTATGCTATTCACTTAAATCCATTTTTAAATGTCTTCTATAATTGGTTATGTTCCTTTTCTACTATCTAATGTTATTTATTTGTGCCCTCTCTTTTCTTTATAATGATTGTTAATGGTATATCTTATCGTACTAGTCTTTTTCAAAGAACCAGCATTTTGTTTCGTTGATCAATCCCTTTTTACTTATTTTATTAATTTCTTCATTTATCTTTATTATTTCTTCCTTCCTTCCTTCCTTCCTTCCTTCCTTCCTTCCTTCCTTCCTTCCTTCCTTCCTTCCTTCCTTCCTTCCTTCCTTCCTTCCTTCCTTCCTTCCTTCCTTCCTTCCCTTCTTTCTTTCTTTCCTAACGTCTTTCACAGAGTCTCGTTCTGTCACCCGGGTTAGAGTACACTGGCCTGCACTTCAAGCTCCTGGGCTCACGCCATCCTCCTGCCTCAGCCTCACCAGTAGCTGGGACTACAGGCACCCACCACCACACCCAGCTAATTTTTTATATTTTTAGTAAAGTGTATGCCTGGCTAATTTTTTTCTATTTTTAGTAGAGAAGGGGTCTCACTCTTGTTCAAGCTGGTCTCATCCCCAAACTCCTGATCTCAAGCAATCCTCCTGCCTTGGCCTCCCAGAGTGCTAGGATTACAGGTGTGAACTACGGTGCCCAGCCTCATCTTTCTACTTTCTTTGGGTTTATTTTGGATTTCATTTTAATTATAAGCTTACTTAATTTATTTTTAGTCTTTTTTGGCTTTACATAAAGCTATACATTTCCTTTCAAGTGTTTCTTTGGCTGCATCCTGGTGTTTTTAATGTATTCAGTTCCAAATCTTTTATTTACTAATTTAACCCATGAATTATTTTGACTTCCAAATTGACTGTTGAGTTCTAATTTTTTATTTTTTATTTATAATTTTATTATGATCAGTTAGCATGTTCTGCAAGTTAACCAGTTAAAATTTCCTGAGGCTTCCTGTGTGACCTGATGCACATGATCAATTCTTATGAAATGTTCTGCATATACTTGAATAGTTTGTTATTCATCAGAGCTGCATATGTGTAGCACGTAGCTACCAGGCACTCTTTAAAATGCTTTCAATATATTAACTCATGTAACTCTCGGAATAATCTTAAGAAACAGGAAGTAATTTTATCTCCCATCTTCCAAATCAGGAAACTGAGGCATAAAAAGCTATGACTTTTGAACCTAGTCAGTGTATGTGGGAAAGTATTTTGATGGCATTGCTCTATTGTCTTCTTCCTTCTAATTTTGCAATGAGAAGTCCAAGGTCCATCTGATACCTTTTCTTTCCAGGTAATCTATTTTTTTCTTTCTAGCAGCCATTAGGATTGTGTCTCTATAATTGATAACACAAGACTATATCTAGAAATGGCTTTGTTTGTTTTACCATGCCTGTCATTATTATCATCTAAGGAAATTATAATCTGATTTCCAATCACATTCTGAATAAAATCAAAAGTTCTTACACTGTCCCATAAAGGCACAAAATAGGCTCAGTGTCTGACACATATATACATGTTGAATGAATAAAGGTTTAATATTAAAAATAAGGGGATGGAAAGAAAATTAATTGGCTAACTAATACATACAGAAAAAATTAGCCGGGCATGGTGGCGCATGCCTGTAGTCCCAGCTACTCGGGAGGCTGAGGCAGTAGGATCGCTTGAGCCCAGGAGTCTGAGGTTGCTGTGAGCTAGGCTGCCGCCATGGCACTCACTCTAGCCAGGGCAACAAAAGTGAGACTCTGTCTCAAAAAAAAAAAAAAAAAAAAAAATAAGGGGATGAAGAAATTAAAGTATAGGAGTGGTGGGATGGCATTTTACAGGATGGAATATTAGGATTAACATTTCAGAGGAGGAACAATTTTGAGTGATCTTTTGTGATTGGAGTAGGTCTTAGAAATGATCAGAAGAAAAAAAGTGGAAACAGTGACTCTTTTGAAAGTAGGATGTATATAAAAGATAAAGAACATGAGGCTATTGTGTTACTCTGTAGTAGTGGTTCTCAAGAGAGGATGAGTTTGCCTCCCAGGAGAAATTTGGCAAGTCTGGAGATACTTTTGGTTGTCACAACTAGAAGGGTGCTATTTGCATCAAATGAGTAAAGATCAATGATGTTGCTAAATATCCTGTAGTGCACAGGACAGCCCGCCACAAAAAATAATTATCTAGTCCAAAATGTTATTAATGCCAAGGTTGGAAATTTTGTAGATGGATTTGAAATCATAAAGGATGATAATAGGATTTAAGGTAAAGAAAAAAACTGAGAAGTAAGTTCCTATCTTGATTATATTTCAACATTTTTTAGCATGTAAAATTCAACAAAGAACTTAATCTTTCTAGACCTCACTTTTCCTATCTAAAGGAGACTGGTATTCATTTATTGATCTCATCATCTTATAACTTTTCTATTTTTAGAGACAGAATGAGGACTTGTCCTGAACCCCAGTTCCTCCTACTAAGCTAAGTAGCCTTAGCTTGGGCCAGTCATTTAATTTCACTCACCCTAGTTTGTTTTTCTATAAAATAGAAAATAATATCTACTCTATAAGACTGCTGTGAGGTTTAAATGAGTTAATGTGAAATTGCTCCACATGATACCTAGCATGTAGTAGGCACTCAGTTAATGTTCATTGAATCTGAAGTTGTATGAGCACTATTTTCAGTGCTTTAAGATAAAGAGTAAATGTTAAGAAAAATACATATGTTATTGTGATTTATGCCAAATTAAAGTTTATTATTTACTATTTGTATTTTGTATTATCTATTTTAATACAAGTATTAAAATTATGTCTATTTTAATACATGATTGATTACAAACACTTTCCTTTTATGTTGGTAATCACTGATACTTTCCTGCCATTTTATGTAATTAGTGGTACTTTGGTGGTTGAAACAGACTTGTTCTTACTAAGAGTAATGGAAATATAGCAATGAGCAATGAGTACCAGTAAAGAGCTGACCACCCATTCTTCCCAATTAGGTTGTGGCAACTGAAGAAGATCTTGTCCCACCCAGTCTGCTGAAGCCACCCGCCAGAGCTGATGGGCTAGACCACAGAATTGCAGCTCACATTGTGTCCCTCCTGCCCTCACTCTGCCTCTCAGAGAGGGAGAAAAAGGTCAGATGGCCTGAGATATCCAAAAGAGTCTTCATGCTTTGAAAAAGTATGTATTCTCTTCTTAAATCAATATTATTTCAATTTGAATAGAATCTCCATGAAGTATTCTTATCTGAAGAAGAAAACGAAAGCAAAGCGGTGCCCATGGGCCCTGTCCTACTGAACTACCATGATGTACATGCCCACAAGAAGTATGCGCTAAAGGTAATAATAATCAGTTTACCCTAAAGATAACTGATGTGAGAAAATGTGTTTATGATTATTCAATTGAAAGAAGCTAATTAGATCACTTTGCCAATGCTAATTAAAATATAACATACAAAATAGAGACCTGCTTGTAAATTAGGATCCCAGAAATGTAGATGAATAAGGGTAAAACGATGCCAGCAAAGAAAACTTACCGAATTATAGAGGTCCAATTAACCATTCAAGTGATTGTGACTACCACCAGATTTGCATTAAAAGCTTATAGTTATTTGCTTTAAATATCTGCTTCTATGAAAAACTAGTGAAGGCCAGAAAAGGACCTCAAAAGGAAGAGATGAATATATATGAAACTTTGGCAGTTTGTCACCACAAATGAGAATCAGTCATTTTTGTGCACCAGTAACTTCTGGCAATGTAGGAACTAACTTTTTTGGCCTTCAGCAAAATACTAACAGTTTGTCTTCCCCAATTGCCATTGATTTCCCCTGTTCCCAAATAATGAGAGTGAAGGTATCATGTTTAGCCTTCTCCATATGCATAAGGCACTTTGCAGCTTACTTTAATGTCTTTTGTCATGTTGCTCTTTTTCATCAGGACCAAAAGAATTTTGACCCAGTTCAAATTGAGGAGGAGATGCAGTCCAAGTCGCCACTGTGGGAATTCCTTCAATTCCCTATGCCCCCACCATGGAACAACACTAAACGTCTAGCTACGATTCATGAGCTTATGCACTTTTGTACAAGTGGTGAGTACATTGCTTTGTCTTAGGTTAAACTCAGTTTAATCAATGCTAATATGTGCCTCTTAAAATTAAATCTGTTTTAGCAGCAAGCATTTTGATTATTGAAAGTCCTTTCAGAGCCTAAGATGGGTATTTCGATTGACTACAACTTTCTTATCTTGAATAATGTCATTAGCAATGGTATCATGGCTATGATGCATAACATTCTTCAATTTGATGTAGTGGGTTTTTGTTACACTGTGTTTCCGTAACCAGATTTATTCCCTTATTTCCTCCTTTTACCATTCTTTGTCCCACATCCCCCCATTGACATCACTGGAGATAATGATGTGGTGATCTACTTAAAAGGAGTAAAGGTGTGTATATTTTTAAAAATTTTAAAATAAAATCCTCCCATCTAGAGCTATCATAATCCTGTGCTAAGACAATGCCATCCTTCCCTCCCCTCCTCACCACTGCAATCATTTATCCTCATTGCAGATCACACAAATATTACAATAACTTTGCAGAGACATTATCTGGAAAGTGGAAGAGCAAGCCGGACCATGCAACTTTTCCCCAATTCAGAGCTTTTGAATACTGTCCTACTCTCTATCGCCTTATGGAAGTACAGAGTACAGCCTAGTGGTCCTGGGTGTATTGTGTCTGTTATATACATAACCACCCTTCCTGATGGTCCTTTGCCTGTATCCTGCCAATCTCCACTTCTCTTTCTGCCTTAAGACATGATTCCATGCTTTCTCCAGCTCAGCTCTACACACAGCACAGCACTCTTGTTCCTGCTCCCACCATCGAGAGCTCACGCATATGCTGCTTACATGGCCCATCCCTAAGTCTTGGTCCTCCTGCCTATCCTTCTTCCGCTCCCTCTAGCATCTCATACTTGCAGGTCTAAAACCAACCCCCAGATTTTGTCACCTCACACTCTCCCTCATTTTAGTAAATGGGAACTGTTTTCAACAAAACCTTGGAGTTGTCCCTGCTGTCACTTTTTTCTCACATCCCACAGCCAGTCCCACCACACCCTCAATATTATCCCAGCTCACTCTATCAGCACATCTCACTCGGACTATTCCAGTTATCTTTCCAGCTGGTTTGCATGCTTTGAGTTCATCACCCATCAAGCTCTCATGTTCCACTCTGATGCATCTGCATGGGCCTCACTGTGATTCCCTGAACATATCATTCACACCCCTGCCTCAGGACCTTTGCACTTACTATTTCCCCTGACTCAGTGAGTTTTTCTTTAGATAGCCATATGGCTTGTTCCTCTACTTCCCTTCACATTTTTGCTTAATTGTTCAGAGGATTTTTCTCTGTCTACTTTATATAAAATAGAAGCCCATTCCCAATCATTATGACTTTTTGTCCCCTCAGCTGGCTTTATTCTTCTTATCAACTCTGATATATTTTTATCTGTTTCCAACCACTAGAATGAATATTCCATGAAAGCAGGGAGATAGCTCACTGCTTTGTTCACCACTGTGTTCCCAGATTTTATTATAATTACTGACATCTAGTAGGTGCTCAAAAATATTTGTGAAATGAATATATGAGCAAACTTTCTGTAACTCTTTCCCTCTTCCCTGTCTCTCTTCTGAATCCTCCTGTTCTTTTTCCCAAAAGGACCCTTGCTAATTCTCTCCTCTTTACTGGGGAGAAAATCGAGATGACCTCTGAATCATTAATATGCTACAATAATTTTATTTTTCCTCTTTCAATTCCATGTTTATTTGTTAATCCTACCTCTTATACATTTACCCTGAACCTCTAAAGTGTAAGAACCAAATCTTGTTTTTCTTTGAATCCCAGGCGCCTACAACAAAGTCTAATACATAGAAAACAATAACCAACGAGTGAGTGAACAGGTGAATAAATGCTGTAAAAGGATAAATATACAATTGAATAGAGCCCATTGAAAGCTGATAAACTTGGAAGTAAAATTACAGAAAATATCACAGCAGTTTATGTGGGTGAGAGGAGGACTTTCCTGAGCCCAAATGAACAGAAAAACCTACTAAATATAATAGCCTGTTAGGTACAAGTGAATAATTTTCCTGTTTTAAATCATAACAGCAGCAAAGGATATTTTTGCTCAAAAATGATAAGTTTTAAACATATTCAGCCAATATGGTACTCTGGAAAGTCCATGCAAATGAATCTGAGCTCCTAGTATTGATTAAGCTGTGAAGCAATTTGGGAGTATTACCTCTATAAATTCTATCTTGACTATATAGTTTTCTTATTATTAGGTACTTTTGATATTTGGAGACTTGTGAAGCCCATATTTAAAGTCAGATCAACACTCATCATGGCATGATATCCTGGTCATTCTAGTGGACAGACTTCCTGGTTGCCCCTCTGTCAGCCCCGTAGCATGTGCTAATAAGAACACTCCTAGCACCATGGGTTCTGCTCTCTTACAGAAGCCTTGAGCTGGAATGAAGTAGAACGAGCCTTCAAGGTGTTTACTTTTGAGAGCCTGAAGCTCTCTGAGGTTGATAAAAAAGGGAAACTAATGCCTTCTAAGATGATAAGTGGAACAAATTCTGAAATGTTCAACATACCATGGGATAACCCTGCCAGATTTGCTAAACAGATAAGGCAACAATACATCAGGAAAATGAGCACCCCAAACGCCAAACAGCAAACAGGTACACTGCATGGAGGAAATGAAAGACATTTTTACATTTAATGATTGTCAATTTTTCTAGTATTTTATCTCATGGATGCTCTTTACACTGGCTAGATGTTGAAACCAAAGACAGAATCATATTTGTGGATCCAAATTGGTCAACATCTGTGCAAAATAAGGAGAGCAATGGAAGACCTTCAGATCCTAGTCAGACTGTTGCTAATGGTATGCAATATCCTGACTTGAATAATATGGAAGCCGTAGGCCCTGATAATAGAGAGCTGTCAGAGCAGGAGACCAGTGGGAAGACTCAGCCCCAGCCTGAGCCTTTGGGTAAGTAAAAGTGTGTGTGTGTGTGTGTGTGTGTGTGTGTGTGTGTGTGTGTGTGTGTGTGACAGCACTATTATAGTATACATAAGCAAAAAAAAAAAAGGCTCAAGATGCATTATTTAAATTAAATTTAAATGCCTTCCTGTTTTAGTTAAAAAAAACTATTTAATATCAAAATTATTTGGTTAATAAACCTTGTCTCCAAGTGTGGTTATTTAGTAAGTTCTCCTTATTTCAACCCTTGTTTTTCAAAATATCTTAATGCCTCTTTGTCTACTTTTACCTTAGTAAATTTAGTGCAGTGAACATAATTAAAACTATCATCATTAGTATTTCACAGGGTTATTATGATTATATGCTAAAATTATAAAAATTTACCTGCAATAACATAATGAAATGTCCAGTACATTTCCAGTCATGTACATGTCCAGTACAGAGCTAGGTACAAAATCAGTGCTCAATGAACATCATTTCTCTTCCTCTACCCCATTGTAGCTCAGGTTGGTCTTTACCCTCCTTCTGGAGTATAGCATTATAAATAGTGTTTTATTAAGAAGTACAGAAGTATAGATGGATATTAAGCTAAATTTGTATTGAGCTACCTTATACACAGCTGTCAGATTAATCTACCTAAAATATAGCTCTAATTTCTCTGCTTATAACCTTCAATGGCTCCCTTCTACCTGCAAAATAGAACCCAGCTCTTGGACCTGCTTTATGCACTTCTCACATAGTACAAAATTACTTTTTCCAAAACCTCTTTCTATCTTTTCCCTTTTGCTCACTCATCCTATGCTCTAGACAAACAGAATTAGGCTTATTTTCTCTGCACTGCCTGGTCTTTTCAATCTCTGTGCCTTTCCTCCACAATATCCTTCACCTAGAGTTCTCTTTATGATTATAATTAGGTTTCAGTTGCACCTTCATGAAGCTTTGTTAGATGTGTCCTATATGCAAATGCCTCCCTTAGCATTCCATGGTCATAATTAATCTACACTTCCTTTATGGCTGTAGTTATTTCCCACCAGTTTTGTAATTAATCATATGCCTACAGTAAGGCCTCCATTATACAATAGCTTCTTAGAGGTTATAGGTGTGTTTATTTTAAAAATACTAACTGTATGCTGGGCCATAAAGTAAGTCTCAACAAATTTTCACAGGCTCAAAACTACACAGAGTATATTCTCATACTACAGTGAAATTATGGTGAACATCAATTACAAAAGATAATGAGAAAAATTACCAAATGTCTCAAAAGTAAGAAGTACACTTCTATATAATAACTGGATCAAAGAAAAAGTGACAATAGAAATTAGGAAATATTTAGAATCAAATGATGATGAAAATATTGGGTATCAAAACTGCAGAATGCTGCTAAAGCAGGAGCTACTCCAAGAGAAGTATATAGCTTTAAATAAATATAGTTTTAAAAGAAGCTAAAAATTAATGAACTAAACATAAACCTCAGGTTAGATGAAGTTGAACAAAATAATTCAAATAAAGTAGAAGAAAAAAAATAATGAAAATAAGAGTAAGTTGTTGAAATAGAAAACAGATGCAATAAGGAAAAACAAAAAATACAAAAATTTGGTTCTTTGAAAAGACTAATAAAATTGATAATTCTTTTACACAAGGCTAATCACAAAAAAGTCATAAATAATTATCATGAGGAATAAAAACACATCAAGTTTTATAAAAATCATATCAGGAATAAAGAAACAGGACTTCCCTCAGATTCTACAGAAATTAAAAAGATAGTAAGAGGATATAAACAACTTTATTCCACTAAATGTGAGCTGGAAATGGGAAAATTACTGGAAAAGTATAACTTACTAATAATAACTCAAAAAGAAATGGAAATCCTGAGTGGTTGAATAGCCAATTAAATCAGTAATCAAAAATCTTAACAAATAGGATGCACCTAGCCCAAGTGATCTTATTGGCTACTGATACCCAACACTCAAAAAAGAAATAGTTATAATTTTAACCAAACTTATTCCAGGGTGGGCACAGTTGCTCATGCCTGTAATCCTAGCACTTTGGGAAGTCTAGATGGAAGAATTGCTTGAGACCAGGAATTTGAGACCAGCCTGAGTAAGAGTGAGACTTCATCTCTATAAAGAAGAAAAAAATTGAGCCAGGCATGATGGTGCAGGCCTATAGTCTCAACTACTTAGGAGGCTGAGGCAGGAGAATTACTTGAGCCCAGGAGTTTGAGATTGCAGTGAACTATGATGATGCCACTGCACTGCAGCCAGGATTACTGAGCAAGACTTTATCTCAAAAAAACAAAACAAAACAAAACAAAACAAAAAAAAACAACTTATTCCAGAAACTAGAAAAATAGGAAATACGATTTCATCCTCTAGTCAGTTTATGAAGCTAGCATAAATGTTATAATAAAACTGACAAGGATAGTACAACGAAAGGAAATTAAACTCATTTGTGAACATAGATGTAAAAATCCCAAATAAAAACATAAGAAAACTGATTTAATATATACTAAATGATGATAATGCATTACAAACAGGTTGCATTTGTAACAGGAATAGAAGGAAAATACATACATTATATAATCCATATAATTTATCAATTAACACATTAGTGAGAAAAGTATATAATTATCTTAGTAGATGCAGGAAAAGCACTTAAATTTCTATAGCAATTTATGAAAAAAAGAAAACTTAGCAAACCAACAATATAAGGAAAATTCCTCAATCTTATAAAGGTCATTTTTTAAAATTACTATAACAGATTCTATATATCAAGGTGAAAGTTTGAAATATTTCCCTTTGAAATCAGAAGGATGTTTACTATAAACATTTGTACTCAATAATTGCATTGGAGGTGCTAGCCAACAAGCACGAAAAAGAGATAAAGGTGTAAGAATATAAAAGGAAGAAACAAAACCATCATTATTCGTAAATACTGTGTATGTAGAAAACTCAAAACAATCGACAAAAAATGAGAATTAATATGAAAGTTTAATATGAGGTTGTGATTGTTAAATGATACAAACAAGATGTCTGGGGTACTGTGACTTTAAGCTTTATAATTATTCATTATATTAAACATTTATGCTTCATGCTTTTTGTGGTAGTTATATTTCATAATTTTAAAAAGCATTTTAGAAAATAAATGCTAAATGCCACAGGAGAATAGGTGTTACGTCAGTATTGACTGACAATCATCTTACCCTTTTCATTTATTGAGAGGAGGGTAGAAGAGGAGGTAGTCCACGGAGTGGGAGAGGGATGGAAGAGGGAAGGAGATAACATTATTTAATATTGCCTGCTATATTCCAACCACTATGCTAAGATATAAACATCCAGCCTATGAGAAAGACATTCCTACCTCAGTTCTACAGATGAAGAAACCAAGACTTAGAGTATCAGTAACTTGTTCAACCACACACCAGTAGGAAGTCAAGATTAGAATGGAGAGTTAACTTCAAACCAGTGCTTCCTCCTCTGTGTCTTGTTACTTCCTCAGTTCCTGAAATTCCTTGTGATGCATCTAATGGCTTAACCACATCCATTTTTTCTTCTTCATGCTGACCCTTATGCTAACTTTGTTGTCTTTGGGTCTTCCTTCTTTCCCAACAGGGTGGATTACCTATTTTTCCCATCCTAAGTACCCTTACCTATTAGCCTAGCTCTCAAAAAAATTAAGCCAAATAAGAGAACCTGAATTGTTATGGCATTCATGCAGCCTGTGGGACTACAAACGTATGACAAAGAAGTCACTTTGGGTTAATACAGAACTAGAGAGGGATGTAAGACCTGAGGTTTTTTCTTTATTGTTTTTTTTCTTCAAAGCAGCTGGAATATTTTTCTTCAGACAACTTTTGCCACCTGGTGGTCAAACCACATAAACTGATGTTCTGGATCCTGGTAGAAGCTGATGATAACTTTCTAAATTCTCAGCACAGAAAATGCTATAGAGGAAAGTGTGTCCTAGAAGCCAAACAATCTCAAGGATAGATCCCAGGACCATATAAGTGCTTCTTCTATGTGGTGTATGTTGACCTCCTTCCAGGAGCCGTTACATTTGAATGGGGGGAGGCAGCTGGGCCTTGATGTCTCACTGCAGCTGTTGTGTGTATGCAACTTTGTTGTCGTTGATGTTGTTGATCTTACGTTTTTTTTTCTGACTCTGAATCATACTTACTTCAAAAGTAGCCACTTTAATTCTCTTTAAATAAAGCAGAAATCATTTATGTATTTCCTCCACAACTAATCTAGCATCCAATGCATATAAAAAGCCTGTCACTAGACATGAAGGTCTGAATATTTGCGCTTTTCTTAACCAAACACTGGATTTCCATCTGAAACTATTTTTGAACTTGACAGGGCCCGGTGGATATTTATGAAAAACCAGAGAGTTGATAACCGCGAGTCTATAGGTTTAGATGAGCCCTCTATGCTTGTTGGGTGTTTTTTTAATAAAGTAACTGCTTTGCAGAGGGATCTTGTTATCTCTAAAGTAAAACAGATTAGGAAAGCTGTTTTTCAAAGGGATGAGAAAGCATCCATTTCCAGATGTGTCAAAAACTACTGAATCACACTGTCAAAGGATTATGTGGTTGAAACCAGAAATCAGAAAGAAAGGAAAGATGATTTTTACTCTACTATTAAATAAAGAGTTTAGATTAGTTTTTGAATGTTCTTTCCTTTGACAAAATAACTGATATGTAATCTTTAGAACATATTTTCTAAACTGGAGACTTTTTCTGCTGTATCCTTAAACTCAGGAGGGAATATCAAATCTCCCAGAAATCTGGCAGACCACAGAACAGAATAATTTTTATTCCACAGATTTCATATCAGTTGCTTCAAGGACACATGGGATATCATGGTCTATTTAGAGTTATGGTTGGCCTGAGTTTTCTTTTGAATGAATGTGTTTATATAAATACTGAACTGAATTACCTTTATAGTTTTCCTCTAAATCAAAATGGAACATTCATGCTGTCACCTTCACCAGCCTAAGGCAAGATGGAACTAGTAGCAAAACTGTAAGTAGCTATGCTCCTGAAAGAAAGAAAAACATTGGCCCGTCCTTCATAGGCATAATTAACTTCTCCCTCTAGAAACCCAAATATAGTTCTCTTTGCCACAGAATGAAAAGTCAAATCTTATGCTTGCCCCAAAATAAGCCTTTGTTGTAGGTTTTCTTCCACATTTCTACTTTGCTATATAGCTCCACATTCATTTCCAGTTTCAATATGTGATGTAGATCAATCAAAAAAGAAATATTTACTGAGTTCCTACTAGGTGCTGTGTGCTCAGGGTATGGTAAGGAAAATAAGATAAAGTTCCTATTCTTCAGGAATTTACATTTGAGATGGAGAGGCAGACCATAAAAAATAAATATTTGATAGTATTATGCACAGATAAATGCTATGATTAGAAAACAAAGCAGGGTAAGAGGCATAGGGCTCTTGAGAGGGTAATATTTGAGCAACAATATGAATGAAGGGTTTGCAACAGATGAACATCTATGAGTAAAGCATGCTAGACAGAGGGAGAGCAAATGCAAAATCCTCAAGACACAACAAGTAGTCCCATCTGTCTGGAGTAGAATGAGCAAGGGATGCTGAAGGGTTGCATTTGGAGAGTTAGGCTGGAGCCATTTCATATGCAACTTTATGGGACATAATTTGAGATTATTTTAAGGCTAGTAAGAAAGACAGGTTGGCTCAATTGTTCAGCAGCAGCAAAGTATGCTTCCACAAGATCTCTGCCCCTACATACATACATACATACACACACACACACACACACACACATACACATATGCTCCATTTCTGTGCTCAAATTTGAAAAAAGCTACATACTTTATCCATTTCCCTATTAGAGATTCACAATCATAAGAGCAAATTACAAGTTCTGAGACATTCACAGTAAAGATGTCTGTTTATCTATGTTAAACTTATTTATCATGGAACTCTTTTTTCTGGTGATGCAGAAATTAACAACAAGAATCTATTCCCTCCCTGTTCATTCACATGGCTATTTGTATCATAGCCAAGGATGATATTACAATTCCAGTCATCACATAAATATACTCTTTGGTCATAGGGAAAGTTAGTGTGTATAACTTATATTGGTCCAGCTACCCATTCATGTATTTATTTAACTAAATTTTGTTAAACTCCATCTGTAAATCTGCAGATGCTCATTAAATAGATTTTAAATTATTAATTTAAAATTAATTAACAAGTTGAAGAAAAGCTCTGAAGAATGGTAAAAAAGTATCATTTTCTAATAGGAGGTGCATTTTTCCACCAGTTCTCTATTCCACACATGCCCAGCCCCTGCCCTAGTCTGTCATGCACCAGGCAAGACCCACAGAAATGTGAAAAGGCTTTGTACTGGTAGCAACAAGACAAAGACATGTACAAAGCAGTTGATTTGATTTAATCAGTAAATATTTGTGACTTGTAAAGGTAAAGGTCTAATGTTAAAAGTGAGTAGTATGGTCTGAAAGCAAAATACCTGATATGATTTAGGATATATCATACAAGAAGCTGGGTTCCTTTCAAAGAGTTCAGTATAACTTTTCTAGGTAGGCACTGATTTAGAATTATTGACACAAACACCATTTTGGAGGCATGAAACATGGCTTTCAGGAATCAACTTTTCAGCACAGAAACATAGATCATACGGGCAACAAAAAGGCATAGCACTAACCAAAGCAAGAACAAAGCCAGAACATAACTGGATGTTGGTGTCTTTGATTTACAGAGCAGACCACGAACAATGAGATCAAAGATGATGCAGTTACAAAGACTGATTCTTTTGAAAAGGTAAGGAATTATTTGCCTAAAAGTGTAGATGACAAGTAAGATTATCTGAGAAAACCTTGGCCCAAAGTGAGAAACACTAAAGATAGATAGATAGAGACAGACAGACAGAGAGAGAGGGACAGGTGCTTAGAAGGTAAATTCTGATGCTAGAGAAGAGGAACTATTCAGACATCCTCAAACCAGCTCCAACTGGAGAGAAAGGAGTTAATTTTACTAGCCGGCTTAAGCAAAACTTCCCAGCTCCATGCTCCTCTCTAGACAGTGTGGCTTGGCAACCTCACAAACACCTGCTGACCATACAGCCATGTGGAACTAACGTTGTCTTGAAGTGAGTTCAGAAAACCTGCCTATAATTGCTAACAGGACTCAGAAGAGTATAACCTAACAATAAAAATATTTAGATTATGTTGCCCATAAAAAAAAAAAAGTCAAAGGCATACTCTTTTTGGCAGCGGCTCTCCTAAAATGTTGCCATATGGATTTATACATATGCAGATTTCCCCAATTAGATGGAGTACATGCTGGTTAGTTGACAGAGTCCAAGAGGGCTCCATTTGGACTTAAACAAATTAAAGCTGAAATTGTGTTCCTGTGATTTTTTTTTTTAAGAAACCCAAGAAGATGATGGTGGAAGCAGATTTAGAGGACATAAAGAAAACACAGCAGCGCAGTCTAATGGACTGGAGTTTTACTGAACATTTTAAACCAAAAGTACTGCTTCAGGTATTTATGGACTGTGATTCTCTAGGAGACGGTCAGATAGGTCTGGGGAGTTGTGCTGTGATTTAGAACAGTTCACTTCTAGGTCACACTCTCAGATCTAGTTCAGATCAATATTCTCATTTACTTCAGTACAAAATGAGTTTATTTCCAGAATGAGTATGCCTTCCCAGGGAATCTCTGAAATAGTTTAAAATATGATTTCCAAAAGGATGTTTTTATAAAATCTTTTAAGAAAAAGTATACACAAGACTGCTGCACATATTTTCTAGGGGAAAAAAAAAGGTCAAGTTTTATTGGGAAGCAACCACATTTTTTCGCATACTGCCTGTCTATTCAGTTTTTACTACATTTTGCGGTATTTTGTGTTTCAATTAACAGCTCAATGGAAGCTGTGCTAGCTAACATTTATTGAACACTTACCATGTGCTAGGCAATGATTAATATGTATTATTAGCTCATTTAATTCTCACAGTGACCTTAAGAAGTAAAAACTATAATATTTCAATAGTAGGAAACTGAGATACCTTAATAGTGACTTTTGCCCAAGGTTACACAGCTGCTAAATGAGAAGCAGGATATAAACCCAGGAAATTTGTCCCCAGAACTTGTACCCTTAACCACTGCGCAAAATAACAAGTAATCCTAAAACTAACTTCTTTTGTTGTTTTTAGATTTTTTACAAAAACTATTTTGGCTTTGTCCTTTTAACTTGAATTTTGTTCTTATCAAAGTTTTGCATTCACATGTTTTTATAACCAGGAAGTTCTACCAAGAGTCTTATTACAAAAAGCAGTAACCTCTCGTGCCCCACCCCACCCCACCCTTCTTCAATTCTCAGATTCAAAAATTTTCAACCCATTCACCTGTTTCTTTTATTATTTTACTCAGTTGTCTCTAAATAACAAGTATATATATTTTTAGTTTTAGTTTTAGTTTGGAAGCATCATTATTAATTGATTCCCTCCTGAGAACACATTTCTGCCCTCCCCCATGCAACAGACACATGTGTACACATATACATTCACACATCCCTACATTTACACTAGCACTTCTCCGCTCTCTGACACTGTTAACTTTATCATAATTTTTGATTAGATAAATATTCAATATTTACTTTATTTTCATCAAATAAATGCTATTCATAGCTGAACTGTGTAGTATTCTTATTTTATTTCCTTTTTTTTGTACCATTTTTATTTTTCCTAGAGTTAATAATTGCTTTTTGTTCCATTTGTTTATCTTACTGTGCATTTGTTTTTAATTTATCCCCAAACTCTCTACCATGGAGTAAGTCTCCTCTCAATACATTCAAACTGTTATTAACAAGTATTCTATCAGCCTATGCCTATTGTCCTAGCAATCTCTCTCCCATATATTCTAAACTTGCTGCACAATGTGGTCCTGGGATCTCCCTTTACCATCACCCTAGCCACCTTCATTGCCTCTCTTCCAGTTAGATATCCTATTTCCTTTATTCCATATCTTCTTCTCTTTTGAGTTACTCTCTTTTTTTTTTTTATAAAGGACTATCTCTTCCAGTAACTTCCTTAATTAAGATATATGATAGGCAAATTTTTGAGTCATTGGATAATTGAAATCATCTGAACTCAACCCTTACATTGACTGACAGTTTGGCTTTATATAAAATGCTGTGTTAAAAAACATTTTTGTTTAGGCCAGGTGCAGTGGCTCATGCCTGTAATCCTAGCACTCTGGGAGGCTAAGGTGGGTGGATCGCTCAAGATCAGGAGTTCGAAACCAGCCTGAGCAAAAGCTATACCCCATCTCTACTAAAAATAGAAATTAATTAGCCAACTAAAAATATATAGAAAAAATTAGCTGGGCATGGTGGCACATGCCTGTAGTCCCAGCTACTTGGGAGGCTGAGGCAGAAGGATTGCTTGAGCTCAGGAGTTTGAGGTTGCTGTGAGCTAGGCTGACGCCATGGCATTCTAGCCTAGAGAACAAAGTAAGACTCTGTCACAAAAAAAGAAAAAAAATTATTTTAAAATTGTAAAGGCATTCCTCAATTGTCTTCTGGCTTCTTAGGTTGTCCCTAAGAATAAAAAATTAAAATTCTGATTCCTAATCAGTTGTTTGAGTATGTTTTTATCTTCTTTCAGGAGAGTTTTAAGATCTTCTCTTTGTTCCAGTGTTTTAAATTTCCTGTTGATGTGCCTTGGTGTGGTTTTATTTCTATGTACTGTTCTGGTGAGCCAGTGCAACCCAGAAACTCATGTATTAATATTCTGGGAAATGTTTTATAGTAATTTCTTTGATGTTCTCCCCCCCCATTTTATGTATTCTTTCTTCCTGGGACTCCTATTATTCTGATGTTGGACGTCCTGGACTGAACTTTCTATTTTCTTATCTTTTTATTCCTAGCTTCCAAAAGTTTGTCTTTTTGTTCTAGAAATAATGCTCAGCCTCCATCCAATTCTTATATTGAGACTTCTATTTCTGTTATCATAATTTTAATTTCCTAAAGTTCTATTTATAATTCCAACTTCACTTTTTATAAGATTCTTTTCACATTCTTGGTATAATACCTTCTCTTATCTTTATGAGGATATTAAAGTCTTTTGAAGTTATCTTCTCCCTGAATTGTCTCTTTTTCATTCAAGTTTCTTTTCTTTTTTCTTTTTAGTTCTTTGGTCTCCATTTTTTATATTAGAATGTAATAGATAATATTTGCCTTTTTGCTTATATTAATAATAAAGCTAAAAACATGAGAGAAAGTGCTGTGTAAAGTGGGATGGGGTTTGTCAATAACTAGGCTTCATTGCTGGGTGGTTTACTTGGGAGACCCATCAATGTTGGTATATTAGGTATATTAGGTCTGTTCTCTAGGGCCATTTAGATTCTCCAGGAGAAAAAAATTAATCTTCTGTCTAAAAGACATAAATTTTCCTGTCAGGGTTTTGGGAGATGATTGGTGGGGGAAGGATGTTAGGCTTCTTACATTCAGTATCTAGACCTGCATTAGTCAATATGGCAGCCACTAATCTTATGTAGCTTTGAATACATGAAATGAAGGTAATCCCAGTTGAGATCCACTGTAAGTATGCTATACACTATATATTTATAACTATATAAAGGCTATGAACAGTGGATTTCAAATACTTTAAAAAGTGATATATCTCATTGAGAATTTTTATATCAATTACATGTTGAAATAATATTTTTTACATATTAGGTTAAATAAAATATATCAACATTAATTCTACCTGTTTCTTTTTACTTTGTAAAATGTTTCTACTATAAAATTTACAATTCCACTTGTGACTCATATTTGTGGCTCACTTTATATTTCTATTGGACAGTGATGATTTAGATGTTTACACTATTCCTTTTTTTCTGGAATGTATTTCTCCATCATTGGTGTCTAGTGTCCCATTCTTAGACCCTATTGTTTTGCTGTTTTTATATACAATCTTCCAATTTGCAGGAATAGGAGACAGGCAGCAACCTGGCTGCTCAGAACTATCAGGGGGGTCTGGGGGCCTGACTGCTTCTTAAAAAGACTTTAATCTTTCTATTTTTAGTGCCACATTCACCACACTTTCAGGGGTGCCTAATATTGTCATCTCCTAAAACTTTCTACATTTCTGCATAAAAATGGGGTTGCCTTTGTCCTCTGCTAATGTTAATCTTAGGATTTGGCTTTCTATATTCTTCTAAGTCAGTTATCACTTATCCTTTTGCTGTCCAACTTTTAAAATTTTGTTGCCTTTGTCTCTTCTCCTGTGGCCTTCAAGTTTGTGATATTAGGAAAACAATAATTTTACTGTTCTTCTAATAAGGTGTTAGGGAATGCAAGTGTTTAATCTTTCACCTTTGACTAGAAGTCCATTTCAGAATTTATTTTGTTTAAGTTTGACTCTGTCCTCACCACTCCATGAAGCTGAACTTTTCAAGGTCAGCAGTAATCTCTCTTTTGCCAAATCTAATGGACACTTACATCTCCTCAACTTCTTTGACCTTTTAACAGTATCACAGATCTTATCACTTTCCCATGAAACAGTCTCCACTCTTGGTTTCCAAGACACCATATTATATTCTTCTTTAGTGTTTTATTTGGAATTTTGTTGACTTCTTCTCCTTTATTCAACATCTAAATATTGAAATGCTTCAAGGCTCTGGAGCCTGCAGGAAGCCCTGGTGCATCTTCTCTCCTTTATACTCTCTTTTGATGATCTCATCTGTTATATACTACTAATACTAACAAAGCCTAAATTTTTATCTTCCAAATTACCTCTCTCTACAGATCCACATTAGTATACCTAACTCCAAATTCCACCTAAATTTCTGGTAGGTATCTCAAATTCAGTGTTTCACATGAAGCTCATAATTTTCCCAGCTAAGCATATTTCTCCCCTGATCCATCTCAGAAAATGTCACCATTATTCAATTGCTCCAGCAAAAAGTCTTAGTCATCTTTTATTCCAGCCTTTTCTTTGTCCTCCATATCTGGTCCATTATCAGTTTTAAGGGGCACATCTCCAAATATATCGTCAAGCTCTTCTCCATCACAACTGCCACTACTTCCATCTCACTACCATTCACTTGTTCCACTGCAATATCTTCCTAATCGGCACCTACCTCCATTCTTGCTCTACTCCAATCCACTCTCTACATGTCAGATATTCCATCAATTTCATCTACTTAGACACACTTTTCTGAACTGCAGAATGATCTATAAAGTCATACACTTATGGTCCCAGAAAAATCTTAGTCATATTTGAGAGGAAAATCTTATCTATCTTGTTTGTTTTTGTTTTCCCAGTACCTGCACAGTGCCTAGCACATAATATATATTCATTTTTAATGCAATACTTAACTAAATAATCAGACCAACAATATTAATATGGAATAAAGGACAAAAGCCAATTAGAGAAAAGGAGAAGATATGATATGAAAAGTTTTCAGACATTGATTTGGAGCAGCTATATCTCTGAGAAACTTAGTGCTGTATTTCCTACTACCCAAAGCAAATATGCAAACAAGATTGCAGAGCTCTTACTATCTAATAAAAGGAAGGCTATATGTTCATCATAAATAAAAACATTTGTTTTCTGGGTTTATAATCTGAGAGGATTTTGCCTTTCAAAAAATGTCACTAAGTAATGGACATAACATTTTTTTAATGCAGAGATAGTTACCACATGCATGTTTCTTATATTGGCTCTTAGGGAACAGATGTAAAAGTTTAAGTGCCACTCTGTAAAGACACTTATACAGGGGACTAGATTGGGGAAATAAATGTATTGTTTTGGTTAAGCTACCAGCGTAGAATTGAAAGCAAAACTAAAGCAGCACTTTCCTAGCATAATATGAAATTCCATGCCTTCAGCTTATCCAAACAGTAGAGAACCAAAAGCTGCCTACGTCAGATTGATATGGGAAACAAAAACAAAAACCCACATCTGTCTAATTCATTTTCTTATGGACAATTTCCTTGTTGTTGATTTGTAGTAAAAAGGAAGCAGAATAATAAGCAGCTGCCCACTATACCCCAATATTGGTGGTCGCCATTGCAGTGCCTGCTGAGGGTGGTATGTTTTAGAAAGGACCAGAATTGGAACAAGTAGAAACAACATGTGTCTGAAAGACCACTCACCTTATTTCACTATAACACAGCGTGGCATAGTGGAAAGCTCGCTGTGGAATGTGAAATGGTGAAATTTAGAGTTGAAAGACTGGTATGAGCTCTGGCACCAGAACACATAAATTCTGTGTTCTTTGTTCTTATCCTCTCTTAGCCTCAGTTTGTGCTAAAAAAAAAAAAAAAAAAAAAAAATGAGAGTATATTATAGGAAAAATAAGCATATCTATTGTTTTAGTCTGCTTAGGCTGCCATAACAAAATACCATATACTGAGTGGATTAAACAACAGAAATTTATTTTCTCACAGTTCTGAAGGCTGGAAGTCCAAGGTCTGGGTGCCAGCATGGTTGGGTTCTGGTGAGGACTCTTCCTGTTTTATGCCTTCACACTGTGTTCTCACATGGCAGAGAGAGGGAGGGAGTAGGAGAGGGGGAGGAGAAAGAGGAAAGACAGGGAGAAGAGGGGAACAAGCTCTCTAGTTCCTCTTCTTGTAAGGGCACTAATCCTATCATAAGGGCCCTACACTCATGGCTTCTTCTAAACCTAATTATCTCCCCCAAACCCCATCTCCAAATACCATCACACTGAGGGTTAAGGTTTAACTTATAAATTGGGAGGGAGGGCACAATTAGTCCATAGCACCTATTTATCTGGGGGTTTTAATGGTGATAAAATGAGATGATTGATATTGAAGGCATGGAAAATGCTGGATAAATAACTGCTGGACTTAATTATTATTTACCAACCTTAATGAGGAACACTAGTAGTAAATACCTCTATTCCTGGAGCCTAGAATTTGTTTTTCTATAAGATTTGCTGAAATGCCTGTAAGACTATCTACCATTTATGCTCTCACCTTCTAGCAGTCAGGAAAGAATCCTCTGGGAATTTCAACTTGACTAACAACTTGGAGGAAGAAAAAGAGGGCAAAGAAATGTCCCAGCAGGAGACCTTTCTCTTGGGTAAAAAAAGACACTGCAATGCAATTGCTTTAATTTTCAGGTTCTTCAGGAAGCCCATCAGCAATATAAGTGTGTTGATTCTTATTACCATACCCAAGACAACTCTTTACTTTTAGTCTTTCATAATCCGATGAATATACAACGTCAGCATTGCGAATATTGGAATATTGCTCTTCACTCCAATGTTGGATTCAGGTAACAAGCTTAGATATTTTAGTTAATTGGATAGTTAATTGAATTTAGTTAGCTTGTTAGTTACTTTGTTATTTTAGTTTTAGTTCTTTAGCCTAAGCTAGGTGGTTCAACTCAAGGAAAACATTTGTGTAGTACTACAGATTCAATTCAGCTCACTGAATTGAATGTCTACACATGCCAGGCACTGTGATAGGCATTGACGTTATACCACTAAAGAACACAGACATTATTCTTGTCCTCATGGAGTCTACTGGGGATGTTATTAAATTACATTTGATTCAGTTAGACTCCAATAAAACTGCTTCTGAGAGATTTCAAGTAAGAACTACAAAACATGACATTCTGCATACTGGTTTTGGGTAACTCCACTTGATCTGGAGAAGATTCCAAAGAATGACATACTGACACAGCAATCAGGTTTCCAGCAAACTGAGAAATCTAGCAATTGGGGATTTTTTGTTTTCTTCCCACTTCCTTAGTTATTTCTTTGCTGTCTTAGAACTTTGCTCTCACTCATTAATAACAAGGGCATTTCATTATTATTTCAATACTGGTTAATGTATATTTGGTATTTATTATTTATTTAGCATTGTTTTAGACCTAAGGGATACAGAAAGATATATTAAATGGACTTACAGAAGAATTAGGGGAACATATTATATGTGGCATACACAAACACATTTTAAAGTCATAAAATGAATTTTTTAAAATTAAGGAATAACATCTTGAACTGTTAATCTGTGTTTTTCTTTTCCATTGCCAATACTTACACTTTTATTTCTTTTCCGGTCTTAATTGTTGAATAGGACCGCCAGTATAATTTTGAGAGGATATCCTTGTCTTATTCCAGATTTTAAAGGAAATGTTTTGAGTATTTAAAAATTAAGTCTGTTTTTTGCTCTAGGCTTTGTATAAAGATTCTTTAAGTTAAAAAACTGTTACTAGTTTCCTATGAGTTCTTAATCATACATGATTGTTAAGTCATATCAAATGATTTTTCTGTATCAATTTAGATGTTCACATTTTTTTCTTTAATCTGTGAAAGAGCTAAATTTCATTAATATTATCAATATTTTAGTGTTGAACCAAACTTGCATTCCCATGGTAAGACAAATTTGTCCATATGCTATCTTCTTTATAAATTGCTGAATTTGCTTTGTAATATATTATTTAGAATATTACATCTGTATTCATGGGCAAGATTTAGCTGTAATTTCCCCCTTCTTTATATGTTCTTGTCTGGTTTTAGTATTGAGATTATATTAGCCTCATAAATTATCTAAAGAATGATCTCCCCTTTTAAGTCTTTTTTTTATTTTCTAAAATATTAGTAGTTTGTGGAAAATTAAGATATATGTTCTTTTGATGTGCGATAAAACTTATAGATAAAAACATCTAGACCAGAGAAATGTTTAATTACTGATTCAACTTCTGTCATGGTTTTCAGGTTTCAGGTTTCAGACTCTTCAGGTTTTCTATTTAGTTTTGAATTAGGTTTATAATTTATATTTTTCTGGGAACTTGATCATTTCACCTGTTTTCAAAGTAAGCATAAAATTGATTACAATATTCTCTTATCTTTTAAATTTGTGTTATGTTTATCTGTATTCTTTATGGTTCCTAATATTTTTTAATCTGTGATTTCTTTATATGTTTCTGGATCTATCTTGCCAAAGGTTTGCCCGCTTGATTAATATTTTTAAGAAATCACTCTTGATTTATGATTCTTTCTCCCTTTTTTATCTCATTTAATTTTGCTCTCATCTTTTTTATTTCCTCTATTTAATTTCCTTAGATTATTCTAATATTCTTTAACTTCTTAAATTATTAATAAAAGCTTATCTCATGATTTTGAATTGTTGCTTTTTGTTTGTTTGTTTGTCTTTTACCTTATAAGTATTTAAGGTGAAATCTCTTCCTAAATACCTCCTTAACAACACTCCAAAGTGTCTGATTAATAGTATTTTCATTATCTTTCATTTCTAATTTTCATTATCCTTTCTCATTGACCCATGGATTACATAGAAATGTGTTTTAATTTTAAATATTTGACTGTATTTCATTTTTGTTAGTGTATAGTTTCAAAATATAGTTGTCAGACAACATTTTCTAAGAATACTGAGATTGTGAAATTTGTTGATACCTGCGTTGTTGTTTAATATATGGTGAATTTTTATAAATTCTCCAGGTTTGTGTAATAAGAAAGTGTATTTTCCAATTTTTGATTGCAGAGTTAGACATTTTAAATCTTCCACATTCTTTTGGATTTTTTAAAACTTGGTCAATCAATTAATGAGAAAAAACTTTCTAAAAAACTCACAATGTTATAGTGAATCAATTCCTTCTCATAATTTTATCAGTTTTGGGGTTTTTGCATGTTGAAGTTATATTATTAAATAAATACAATATTAGGTTTGTTATATCTTCCTGATGAATCTTTTATCATTATGTAATGTTCCTCTTTATTTCTAGGACTGCTTTTTGCTTTCAAGTTCATTTTGTCTAATATCGATGTTGTTAAGTTTAATATTGATATGTCTACACAGATTTTATCATATATATTTTGTCTGATATGATAAACTGTACAAAGCTTTTTATTTAATGTTTTATCTTGTATATTCTTTTCCAATATTTATGTCTTATAAATGTGTATGGCTGTATTTTTTAAAATATCTAGCCTGTCAATATTTGCCTCTTAGTTGAGAAACTAGTTCATATATTAGAATTAATTTCAACCATCTAATTTTGTCATTTATTTGCTGGTTTTAGTTTCTTTATTTTTTTAATTTCACTTTGTTTATTTCTACTAAAGTAATAGATGCTATATCTTTTAATGCATTCTTTAGAAATTATGATATATATTTTTAGCTTTATTGAGGCATAATTGATAAACAGAAAATCATACACATTTAATGTACACATTTTGAGAGGTTGGATGCATACATACACTAGTGATACCATCACCACAAATAAGCTACTAAATACCCATTGCCTTCAAAAAATGTCCTCTGTTCCCTTGTGTTGTTGTTATTAAAAACACTGGCCATGAGATCTATCCTTTCAGCATATCTTAAAGTGAACAATATCATATTATTAACTAAATATAATAAAATAATCTCTAGATCTTATTCATTTTGCATAACAGAAATTATATACCCATTCAAAAATAATTCCTCATTTCTTTCCTCTCAGCCACTGGAAATTACCATTCTATTCTCTGCTTCTATAAATTTGACTATTTTAGATACCTCATATAAATAGAATCATGCAGAATTCATTCTCAGTGACTGGTTTATTTCACTCAGCATAATGTCCTCTGGGTTTATACATATTGCCACAAATGTCAGGATTTCCTTCTTTTTTAAGGATGAATAATATTCCATCATGTGTATATGCCACATTTTCTTTATCCATCCACAGACCCTTGGGTTGTTTCCATATTTATGCTATTGTGAAAATGTTGCAGTGAACATGGGGGTGCAGAATTCCTCAAGATACTGATTTCGATTCTTTTGGATAAATACCCAGAAGTTGGATTCATGGATCGTATGGTTCTATTTTTAATTTTTTTAGAAACTTCCATACTATTTTCTATAGTGCCTACAATAGTCTACATTCCCACAAACAATATAATAAGAGTTCCAATTTCTTCACATCCTTACCAATTCTTGATATCTTTTCTTTTGTTTTCTTTCCTTTTCTTTTCATTTCTTTACAATAGCCATCCCAACAGGTGTGGGGTGATGTTTTATTGTGGTGTTGATCTGCATTTCTCTGATGGTTAGTGATGTTGAACAGCTTTTCATAAACCTGGTGGCCATTTGTATATGTTTTCTTCGGAGAAAGGTCTATTTAGGTACTTTGCCCATAAATTAATATCTTTAAAATGTCCATACTATCCAAAGCAATATATGGATTCAATGCAATTCTACAAAATCCCAATGAAATTTTTTACAGAAAGATAAAAAACAAGGAGTGTTATAGCAGCAAGATGTCTAAATGGAATATGCCATGCTCATACCCCCAGAGAAGCAACAATTTTCACAACTATCCACAGGAATACCACTCTGGAAACATAGGAGTCCAATGTAGAGATTCCAGCATAGCATTCAGTAAAAAACTCCAAGAATAGAGACATTAAAGAGGGTAGGATACTCACCATTAAATTGGTACTAATCAGTCAACACTTATGTGCACATATGCAAGTAACATCCATCGGAGATCCAGCAGATAGGATCTTTTTGCCCTAAAAAGAGATTATACTTTTTTATTCTCCAAGTGACAGTGGTGAGAGTGACTCTCTGTTTAAGCTGTCATCAACTCTTGGTATTATCAAACTAGTTAAACCTTCACTTGGATGGAAAGATCTCATTTTTTAATTTGCATGTCTTTAACTATGAATGAAGTTAGGTGTTTTTTATATTCTCACTGGATATTTGTTTGACTACTTTGTACAAAATACATTTAGGATATATCCAAGTTCATTATATTTGTTAAATAGGCAGTTTAGAATCAGTTCACTTTTGAAAAGTTTATTGGCAATTTGTATCTTAAGTATTAATTGACTTTAATAATAACTCAACTGACATCTGCTCTACTTTGTTTTGTTTAGAAATTATTTGGAACTTGTTGCAAAATCCATTCAAGATTGGATCACACAAGAAGAAGCTATATATCAGGAATCTAAAATGGCTGAGGAAATCATTAGGACTAAGGCTGAGTTGGAATTGAAATCTACTAGTGCCAAAGTTTCTACTACCAAAATATTTTCCCTTAAAAAATCTAAAAGTAAGTAACTTATTCAACTTACATATAAAATAAAATCCAAGGACTTTCTCCTATTTTTAATTTAATGAAGTCTGTGAATATTTTAAGATTAAAAAGAATTGCCCACGAATTTCCTGTGACTCTTCACTTTTTTTAGTAAATAGAATAGCTGCATTTCACATATGATAAAATTGTACCTGAGTGGGATAATAGAATATTTGTTTTATATTGACTTAACTTTCTGTCAACTTTGGAAGATTTTATCTGTTGTGTAAATTGAATGTTATGTGTTAATACTACAGAGCTGTAGTAACCCAAACAGCATGATATTGGCATAAAAACAGCCACATCGACCAATGGAACAGAATAGAGAACCCAGAAATAAATCCACACGTCTATGGTGAACTTATCTTCAACAAATTTGGCAAGAGCATACAGTGGGAAAAGGACAGTCTCTTCAATAAATAGTGCTGGGAAAACTGGATATCCATATGCAGAAGACTGAAACTAGACCCTTATCTCTCACCATATACAAAAATCAAATGAAAATGGATTAAAAACTTAAATCTGTGACCTTAAAGAAAACATTGGAGAAATGCTTCTGGACATTGGCCTAAGCAATGATTTCTTGAGTAATATCCCCAAAGCATAGGTAACCATAGCAAAATTAGACAAATGGGATCATATCAAGCTATAATAAAAGGCTTCTGGGCTTGGTGCAGTGGCTCACACCTGTAATCCTACCACTCTGGGAGGCTGAGGCGGGAGGATTGCTTGAGCTCAGGAGTTCAAGACCAGCCTAAGCAAGAGAGAGACCCAGTCTCTACTATAAATAGAAATAAATTAGCCAAACAACTAAATATAGAAAAAATTAGCCGGGCACGTGCTTGTAGTCCCAGCTACCCAGAAGGCTGAGGCAGGAGGATCACTTGAGCCCTGGAGTTTGAGGTTGCTGTGAGCTAGGTTGATGCCACAGCACTCTAGCCCAGGCAAGAGAGTGAGATTCTGTCTCAAAAAAAAAAAAAAAAAAAAGCTTCTGCACAGCAAAGGAAACAATCAACTAAGGGAAGAAATGACCCACAAAACGGTAGAAAATATTTGAAAACTACCCATCTGACAAAGAATTAATAATTAGAATATAGAAGGAGCTCCAGCAACTTAACAGGAAAAAAATCAAATAATCCAGTTAAAAATGGACAGAGTATCTGAATAGACATTTCTCAAAAGAAGACACACAAATGGCCAACAAGTATATGAAAAAATCCTCAACATCATTATCATCAGAGAAATGTAAATCAAAGCTACAATGAGATGTCATCTCACCCCAGTTAAATAGCTTTTATCAAAAAGACAGGCAGTAACAAATCTGGCAAGGATGTGGAGAAAAGGGGAACTCTGGTGCACTGTTGGTGGGAATGTAAATTAGTGCAACCACTATGGAGAATGGTAGGAGGTTCCTCAAAAAACTAAAAATAGAACTACTACATGTATATACTGATGTACTCCTACATCAGCAATCCCACTGATGATATATATGCAAAGGAGGGGAGATCAGGATATCAAAAAGGTATCTGCATCCCCATGTTTATTGTAGCACTATTCAGTAGACCTTTGAAAGGATACTTGATAAAGATAAGAAGTGAAATGATTAGGTAATTTATCTATAAAATAAGGATTTTGGGGGGATTTGTGCAAAGGAAATGAACTCCCTGTTAATAATGTTCATTGTTTGTGATAGCCAACATAAAGAGCGATTTCTCATTAAAAAAAGAAAAGCTACATAATTTTCATAATTTCCAAAATTTTTACTACCTCTATCAATTACCAGAGGAGCTGGTACATGGTAGTTTTGTAAATTAAAACTTATAAAAAACCAAGTCAATGATGAATCATTTACCATATCCACCAAAATGGTTGTATAATCCATCAGCTCAGTCTTCCTCCTGATGAGGGGTCCAGCAGGAAAGCACTAAGTACCTAAAAAAATGGATGGGATTATATTATAAAAAGAGATAATTTTTCCCTCTAACACTCGTACTTAAGGCCATACTTGCCTATTGGTAGGAAAAATTGTGAGTTGACTGCCTTTTCTTTATAATACTACTGAACAGATCAAAATTTCCATATCTAATTGCCTGTGGACATCCAGAAAATGGTCAGTTTGGGACTGGAATGCACCTGGCAGTTGCATTCAGTTTGAGGCCTCTCAAGTCCATAAAGGGGTAAACTTTCAAATAGAATGACTACAATGGTAAGAGAAAGGCTTCAATATAGAAAGAAAAATTAGATGTGTTCAGTGTGGTCTTAAAGTGTTAAATTAGGATTAATTAGAGACTATAAGTTCCACATCACCAAAGTGGTTTAGTCCCACTTCAGCTGTCCACTCTGGAGATGGAAAGAAAAAATTTAGAGATGAGTAAATGGGAAGTTGAACTTGATAGCTTTGAGATTTTCTCTAACCCAGAGATTTGGTCCTTCTATGATGCCTCATTTAAGAGAGTTACTAAGAAGTTTAATTTTCTCTGGTTATAGGTAACAAAGGAATCAGCAAAACAGAGACATTAGATCAAGAAAAAGAAAAAGAAAAGGAGAAAGAAAAAATTCCTTTCATTTTAGAAGGCTCTCTCAAGGTAATCCAAGGAAAGACAATTGACATTGATTATTCACAAATCCAAAATTATCTTGTGGTAGAGAGTTTGTGTGTTATAACAGGAAATGACCTTGTTTTTGCTAAACCCTCAGGAATAATTAAATCTTCAATGAAAGTCTTGTCTCTCTACCAAGCTGACTTCTCCACCACATGATGAGCCTTTAAGGAAAGCTATGTATTCCTGATTTTTAAATAGCCACAATCCAGGGCAGTGCCTTGTTCATAATTGGTATACTTTTTATTTTTGTCGCAGGTGTCTGTTTTTGTTTGCATACTTTAATTGTAATTTTTAATTAAAAAGCTAATATATGCTTTTATAATAAATATAATAGTAATAACTATGGTTATTCTAAGCCCCTGAGATAAGAAATTTTAAATATTTGATATGTCCTATGATCATATAAGTACATATGCACAAGTGTCAAGAGAGTTTTTGTTCATTTTTTCTTTGTGGTTTAGCTTTGGTTTGGTTTTTTACTCTGCTGTATGTTTTCTTTCTTTTGGCAACTGTTACGGACAGAATGTTTGTGTCTTCCTAAAATTTGTATGTTGAAATCTAATCCCCAATATAGTGGTATTTGGAGGTGGGACCTTTGAGAGGCAATAGTCAATGTTGTTTTAGATTTAGCCCCATGCTTACCTTTTATTTTGTTGAGCATTTCTTCTTATGCCTTATATTCTGGGAGTATTGCCTCTAGAAGTTCCTTTACTGAGAGTTTGTTGCTGTGAACTCTTTCTACTCACAACACTACTGACACTAAATATGTGGGTGTTTTTCCCACACCAGCTAATTCTCCTACTTTCCAGACACCAACTGGGTATCTTACAATTCAATTCAATTCTGATACAAACTACCCAGACTTAGCACAGACTCCACAGATTAAGGTCCTGTCTCAGGAGACTGCTCCTACTTCAAATGCCAGTCACAAGTATTGGGTCCCACGGTACCCACACTTCTCTGATTTGGCTACAAAGTTGGAGAGTCCCACAGTCACCTCCTCAGGTTCAATAATTTGCTAGAACAACTCACAGAATTCAGGAAAACACTTTACTTGCTGTTCTGGTTTATTACAAAAAGATATTATAAAGAATACAAATGAACAGCCAGATGAAGAGGTACATAAAGCAAGGTCCAGAAGGATTCCAAGCACAGTAGCTTCTGTCCCCACGGAGCTAGGGTGTGTCATTCTCCCAGAATGTGAATGCATTCACCAACTCAGAAGCCCTCCAAACCCTATCATTCAGAGGTATTTTATGGAGGCTTCTTCATGTAGGTATGATAGAGTATTGATTCAATCTCCAGCTTCTCTTCCCTCCCCAGAAGTTGGGGGGTGAGGCTGAAAGTTCCAAACTTCTAATCAAGGTTTTGTCTTTCTGGTGACTGGCTCCCACCCTATCTTAAAGCCATCTAAGAGCATGTCAAGAGTTGCTCATTAGAAAAAAGATGCTCCTATCACTTATGAAATTCCAAGGGATTTAATGGAGCTCTGTGCCAGGAACCAGGAATAAACACCAAATGTCTGTTTCTTATTATATCACAGTATCACAGTTGGCATTAAATTCAGTTTGTACCTCTCTGAAAAATGACTTTATTTTTCCCTTATTCATTAAACATAGTTTTCATTTGTATAATTCTTGGTTGACTTTTTCATTTCCTATTAACATTCTCAAGATATTGCTCCATATTTTCCTTGCTGACATGTGGCTATTAATATGTTGATTGTCCATCTAATTTTTCATTCTTCTATAGACAGTTTATCTTTTCTGACTAGCTGCTTTGAAAACATTCAGTGGTGTGCTGGTATATGTTCAGCAGTAGCTGTCTAATAAAACAAAAGTATGCATATATGTACATATATAAGTTTATTATAAATGTTTCTGATATATAGTATGTAGGGCACACAATTTACATATAATAATAAAGAAAATACTATACTTTGTTTTAAATTCCAAAATGCTAATTTATTTTTACAAAATGACTTCTTTGATTTTTGCTAAATTCTTGTGTCCTTAGCCAACCTATGGTTACAGTTGACAAAAAAGTGTCATTCCAATATTAATGTTGATTGATATTTTCATTTATGTTAACAAGACAAAAATGAAACAATAAAAGGGTATGTCTCACTCCCTTGTCAATGACATGAGCAACTTATTTGCTGAATCAGAAATAGTTTTGAATACTGGAAGAATAGTTCCTTAATTTTTTGTGCTAGTTATTATACAATGTAACAGCTAGTAAAATAAGTTTAATTTATTTTTTATTTTTTTTAGAGATGGGGTCTCACTCTATCACCCAGGCTGGAATGCTGGAGTGCAGTGACACAGTCAGCTCACTGTAACCTCAAAATCAAGCAGTCCTCCTGCCTCAGCCTCCCAAGTAGCTAGAACTACAGGCATGCATCACCATGCTGGCCACATTTAAGTTTAATAAGCATTAACATTCTCTCCATCACTTTCTTAAGTCTACATAGTAACAATCAATCAATCCTAATTTGTAGCATTTCCTGATATTTGTAGTGTAAGTATTCCCACAATGGCTGATTTCAAGGTACCAGCATGACATCACTAATGCCAAGTTGGAAGCAATATGCAGTAGCTGTAGTGTTTTCACTATACAGACATAATTGACCTAAATAACCTCAAGATCATAATAGTGAGATGTAACAATATAATTACGATGTGGTAAGCTTTGAATCTTTATTGCCTTTGTTTTAATATTTTGTTTAATTGTGAATTTTTATAATTTATTTTTTGATGATGGCTGTGGTTAACAACTAGCTCACAAAATTCTAAAACATTTAACAATAAACTCTTGTAGGCCAATATGAGCCAGATCCAACACTTCTGTTTTTTATTTATTGACCTTCTTGAATGTTAGGATTAATGTCTTTCTCCATCTCTGAAATGCCTCAGACATAATATGTTCAAATACTGCCTTTTCAAACGTTTTATTCCAGTTTCAAGAGGTCTTTCAAACTCACCTTGCCATTTTTTATACCCTCTTCTTTCTTACTGGCACTTTTGACACTTAATTTTATTTTTTTAAGCATATTAAAGAACATTTTATATTCTCCATTTGGTAATTATAGTATCTATAGCCTTTACAGATATAATTTCACAGTTTGTTTCGAGGTTCTTGCTCAAAGTGGCTTATCTCCTCATGTTTTGTGATTTTCATTTGTGACCCAGCATGAACTTATAACTTGTTTAAAATAAAACTTTAAGGGCCTGGTGCCGTGGCTCACGCCTGTAATCCTAGCACTCTGGGAGGCTGAGGTGAGAGGATCATTTGAGCTCAGGAGTTCGAGACCAGCCTGAGCAAGAGTGAGATGCTGTCTCTACTATAAATAGAAAAAAATTAGCCAAACAACTAAAACTAGAAAAAATTAGCTGGGCATGGAGGCTCATGCCTATAGTCCCAGCTACTTGGGAGGCTGAGGCAGTATGATTGCTTAAGCTCAGGAGTTTGAGGTTGCTGTGAGCTAGGCTACCGCCATGGCACTCTAGCCCGGGCAACACAGTGAGACTCTGTCTCAAAAAATAATAATAACAATAAATAATAAAATAAAATAAATAAATAAAATTTAAAAAAAAATAAATAAAATAAAAATTTAAGGTAAAGTGCATTTTAGCCACAAATCTATGTGAAAAGACAGGTTTCCTAACTTTTGGTTAGGAGTGCTCAGGAGAGACTTACTCATCATCACTTTATCCATTTTATCTATAATTTTTGAAATATTTTGTGCCAGGAATGTTTCTCTGAACATCTAGTCTAGCACATTGCTGATAAACCATCTTAGGAACTGAATTAAGAATTAAACTTTTGTGGAGAAGGATAGGAGGCTGAGAAGCCAGCTAAGCCAGCTAATGCAATGGTAGAGGCAAAGATAATAAAGACTTAAACTAATGAAATTGCAAAAGAAGCTGTGAGAGAAGAAGCTGAAGTGAAGAGAGTTCTCTGAGGAGAACTGACAAGGTTTAGTAGACAGAAGTTGGATGAGAGAAAGAGAGAATCAAGGATGACTTAATTATTCTCCAAAATAAACCTGAATGGGACACATATTTGATTTGTTTCAAAATCCTGTTAAATTTTTTAAATGTGTTTACAGGCATGGAAAGAAGAGCAAGATCGATTAGCAGAGGAAGAACGATTAAGAGAAGAAAAGAAAGCAGAAAAGAAGAGTAAAGAAGCTGGTAGAAAGAAAGGCAAGGATAAGCCAGAGAAAGAGGATAGTAAAGCTGTGAAGAAAAAATCTTCATTCAAGGAGAAATCTAAAGAAGAACAAATCAAGAGCCACGAAGTAATAGAGGAGTCCCGCCAGCCACCAGAACCTGAGAAAGTTTACCCGGTAAAATCAATTCTCTAAAAAGTATCTTTGGGCTCTTCCTAATTGTTTTGGGAAAACATGGGTTCTATGGAACTTAAGATTCTCTTGTCTTCACTACCACCACAGAAGGCCCTGGGGTTTCTTCTGTTATCAATGAGCTCAAACCTGTATCCCACTCTCTGATATCTAGAACCTTCTTTGTAGTCAATCACCAATATAACACCCTCAGGGTAGTTTTTCCTTGAGTGCTATGAAGCTAGGTTACCAAAGGCAACAAAGATGGAAAATTGATGCAAAAGCATTCAATTAGGTATATGTAAATAAGCAACTATAATAAGTCAACATGAACACAAAGGCTGGCTTTAACTGTCTCAGATGATGGGACTTGCTGGCTACATTTGCTTGTCTCACTGTAGGCACCCATGCTTCTGGTGCCTATGCTTTTGTAAAACCTTCCTTTGCAAATTCTCCCTCAGGTGGCTGTGGCTATTATGAGGAAAACCTAATGGGGGAAAATGGAAAGAAATGCAATAGTCCCTGTCCTTGGTAGCTACTTCTCTAAACCAATTGTTCTCAAGTTTTAGCATGCATTGCAAATCACCTGGAACTCTGTCAGCAACACAATAAAGAATGTCTTTTCCATATGACCTCCTAAAATGTAAAGCGTCCACACTTCTCAGTATATCAGTTCACTTTAAACAGAAAATTTGTAGCCAATGAATGAGAACTTGATTTCTTTTCGAACTGCCTTGACAATAATATAGTGACTTGATTTGGACTAGGTTATGAGGATGTTCCAGTGAACAGAGTTTAAAGTCATAGATCTCCTTTAACTTGACCTGTCATTGTAACACCATCGAAGGTTCTAAAAGCAATTTGGACACTGACCTCTGAGTCTGTAAAGGAATAGACATATCATTTAGCAGAAATTAAGCTATGGAAACTTTAATTGGCTAACACTGATAAGTTGACTTTTGTCAATTGCATTTTCACATTCAAAGCATGATGTTTTCTCTTCTAGTTTCGAGGATATAATATGGGAAATATACCCACCCAAATCTCAGGGACAAATTACTATCTGTATCCTTCTGATGGAGGGCAGATTGAAGTTGAAAAGACAATGTTTGAAAAAGGTACATTTTGAAAGTAGCTGGTTAATGGTTTGAGAGATATTAATGCATTTCAGATAATTATGGGAACTTGTATTCCTAAGTGTGATAGGTGAGAGTCTATATGTGTACTGAAATTGATTTATGCACCACGTTCAGCATTCAGACTTCATATTATTCTATTATAAATGTCTTTGTAAGGCATAGGCCAGCCTGGAATTTAGCTGGTACACACTAGTATGCCATTCCAGTTGTTAAAATATTAAAATATTTCCATATAATTGGTAAATAGTATAGTAACCGCAATTACCAAACATTTAATTAATAATATTAGTTATAGCACATACTGTTATCTCAGAAACCAAGCACATACTGTGAGTTTATAGCATTTTTCTGGTTTGGGCTTTGGAGCGCAGACTTTGGGGGCCTGCTGCCTATATGCAGTTATTTTAGCTCTTATTAAGATTTGTATATGCATACAATGCATGTAAGTTTCAGATGGTGCATAGTAAATACAGTATTTTTATCCAAGCTTATCAATTTTGAGAGCTGATAGCTCAAAGTTGAAAATAAAAGGCTGTATTAAAAAAAAGAAACACATAGAGTAGAAGAAAAATGAGTTAGAACACTGAAAAAGAAAATGGATTGTTGGAAAAATTCTTATAATTATCATAGTAATAATAATAACAATAATAACTACTATAACTAACATATAATTTTATAAAAATTAACATATTAATTAATAATTAACTCATTAATTTTCTCAGTTGATGAATGATAAAGTTGATTATAGGTATGCATTGCCTCAGACAATTTATTTTCTCTTCTGTACTTTGATTTGAAAAGTTACTAGAAGGCCTGCAAATATCTCTTTGGTTCACCTACCTTTTATTCCTGGAATACTATCATTACTTTATTCCTATAGGCATCCTTTTACAGAAATGCTGACATCCCTAGGTATTTCCCCTCCCTGGCTTAAATTCAATGCTGCATTGTTTAAACATCTTGTTGAGGAGTTTAATGTAGCATCATAATCAGCCCATCTTTTAGCCTATGGTTCTTCTTCAGGCTCAACTTTTATCAAAGTGAAAGTGAAAAAGGACAAGCACAATTTTATAATTCATTTAAAAGACCCTAAGGAAATTACAAAAAAAGAAAATAAAGAAGAGGATTATTATGCAGAAGAAGAGAAAGAGAAAAAGGATGAAGAACAAAATCCTGAAACAGGTGAGCAGCTGCATCTTTGTGGCAGTGGAGGTTAATATTTCAGCAATGTGCCAAACCCACCCACCTGACATAAACACACTTGGATCCCTTCCACTCAGCACATAGAATTCTTCCAGATGGTAACTGAGGTATTCTGCCATTCTGTAATGTAAGGTATTGTTTATGAAATACATAGCCCATCTCCAATGGGCTGCTTACTTAGTTTTCTCCCGTTAGGCACCCAGCTCTTGATCTCAGTTGTCGTATTGAGTCTAGCCAGGCTATTCACTTTTATGTAGTAATGCTGAGTTTGTGATGTTCATTCGGTCCTTAATTTTGGTTTATGCACTTATACCAACTGTAATCCCCAAGATGCCGGTTCTCATTTGTTGATTCATACTGAAACTTTAGTTTCTTTCCAATATTCACTGCAGATGATAGTGTTTCTTTCTATGCTCTCTCTGTCACATGGCTCTCTCTGTAGCACCAAATTTCATAGGTTGTAAAGACAAAGGAAAAACCATGGCTACGAGAGTCATTACCTGCTTAGAGATGAGAGCTCTAAGTGGATGTCCATTGATTAAACACCACAAAACTTCTTGATAACACTATTTAACATCTGCAGGCAACATCACCTAGGGAAATAAACTGTTTCTTATCCAATGTGGTGTGGATTACACCTGCAGAAAGAGATGAGTTAATAAGATGTATTCAACTCAAATTAGTGATAAGATCAATAACTAAATCTCATTTATAAATTTAGCTATGGTGACATTTTCCAAACTCAAGATAAGAACACAAATTTAAGTGTGAATGTACCCAAGAACTTAGCACAGAAATTTTAAAATTACTTTTCTTTGTTATAGGAAATATAAAAACTATGGATTATTATTAAAAATTAGGAAATTTAGAAATATTTAAAGAAGATAATGGTTACCTATAATACTACCACCCCAGTGATAACCACTGTTCATAGTGTATTTCTTTCTTACTTTATCATCATGAGCACGTTCTTATTCATTAAATATTTTTGGAAGCAAGATTTGTTAATGATTTAATAATTTTTCATTGATGTATGTATATTATATTTCTAATAATTTTCATGTTTTCTATATTCAGTTAATTTCTGCTAAAATAAATAAACATATATTTATACTTATATTTACATATTTATTTATAAATAAATATTCATATATATTAATACTTATGTAAAATAAATTAATCATTTCCTTTTGCATACATAATAACCAATTTTTAGCCTTACTATTAAACCTTCCATTTCTAGATTATCTTTTCTCATTTTAGCTTTAATTATCTCCAGAGTCTGCAAACTTTGACCCAAATTTGATCTATAATCTGTTTTTATACGGCCCATGAACTAAGAATAGTTTTTACATTTGTAAAGAGCTGTTAAAAAAAAAAAAGCTAAGAAGAATGTGTGATAAAGACTATATGTGGCCTACAAAACCTAAAATATTTACTATCTGGCCCTTTTTCAGAAAAAATTTCATAGGACCCTGATCTAGATGGATGTACAACATATTAACAGGAAGAAAGATGGAGAGAGTGAGAGTAATGAGCATTGCGAACCACTGCTTGCTTTCTTCTTTCCTATTTTATAAAGGTTTCTGTTCTGGTTAATTTATTGGCTGTTTAGTTTTATTAAGTTTTCTCCTCAGATGGGGCACATGATAGTATGCCTTCTCAATGTTTACATATCTTTAGATATCTTGAATGATATCTTAGCTGGATACAGGATCCTTAAATTGTGGCCTTTTTCTCTCTACCATTCTTAGTTGCTATTGCACTGTCTTATAATTTCTGGATTAGAATTTGATGAACCTTTCTAATCTGAGAATCAAGCTCCAGCTCTAGCTCAGGGAGTTTTTCTCTGGTTGTTAATTTAATTTTTGCTGCCCTTCATTTGTTCCTTTTTTTCCTTCTGTAAAACCTACAATTTGCATAAATTTATCATCTAAATCTCTTATGCCTTTTTTCATGCCTTCCTTCCTTTTAAATGTTTGCTCTGGGTTTTGAGATACTGGTTTTGACTTGATTTTCCAAGAAACTCATTCGAATCTTAAAATGACCACCCTGTCTTTCCATTCACCTAGCAAATACTGAATGATTTGATTGGGGAAGCATGTTTTTAAATTCTAGGAAGTGCTTTTTAAAATATCCTTATGTGCTTTAAAAAAAATCTTCAAGCATTTATCTAACTCTTTCATAATTTATAATCTGCTAAGCATGCATTCTATTTTGTTGTTGTTGTGACTATTATTCCTATCTCTGTCCACTCAGCTTCCTTAGATGGCTGTTTTGAAATGCCATCTATTGGTGTATCCACCAATATACCCTCTTATTAATATAGCGCATTAAGGTGCCTATTTTCCTGCACGCTGATTGACAATAAACATTATCTTTTTTGTAGACTTTAATTTTTAGAGCAGTTTTAGGTTCACAGCAAAATTGAATAGAAGTTACGGAGATTTCCAATATACTCTCTGCCCCCACACATGCATAGCCTCCCCCATTATCAACATTCCCACACCAGAGTGGTACATTTGTCACAGTGATGAACCTACATTGACACATGATTAACATCCCAAGTCCATTATATTAGGGCTCACCTTTGGTGTTGTATAGGCTGAATTTGGACAAATGTATGGTGACACCTATCCACCTTTATAGTACCATACTGAGTAGTTTCACTGCCCTAAAAATCCTCTGTGCTCTGCCTATTCGTCCCTTCCACCCTCCAACTCCTGGAAAACACTGATCTTTTTACTGTATCCATAGCTTTGCCCTCTCCTCATATAATTAGAATTATACAGTATATAGTATTTTCAGACTGGTGCTTCTTTCACTTAGTAATATGCATTCGCTTCCTCCATGTCTTTTCATGACTTGATAGTATATTTCTTTGTAGCACTGAATAATATTCCATTGTCTAGATGTACCATGGTTTATTTTTCCATTCATCTACTTAAGGACACCTTGGCTACTTCCAGGTTTTGTCAATTGTGAATAAACACCCATGTACAGGTTTTTGTGTGGACATAGTTTTTAACTCCTTGGGTAAATACCAAGGATTATGATTGTTGGAACATACAGTAAGAGTATGTTAGTTCCGTAAGAATCTACTAAATTGTCTTCCAAAGTGACTGTACCATTTTGCATTTCCACCAGCAATGAAGGAAAATTCCTGTTGCTCTACATCCTTGTCAGCATTTGGTGTTTCAGATTTTCTTCATTCTAATAACTGCTTAGTTGTATCTTGTTTTAATTTGCATTTCCCTGACAACATATGATGTTGAGAATCTTTTCATAGGCTTATTTGCTGTCTGTATATCTTCTTTGGTGAGGTGTCTGTTGACGTCTTTTGCCTATGTTTTAATAGGCAAAAGGTTTTATTATTATTGAGTTTTAATAGTTCTTTGTATATGGTGGACAATAGTCCTTTAACATATACATTTTTTGAAAATATTTTCTCCTAGTCCCTGGCTTGTCTTTTCATTCCCTTGAACCTTTTGTTCCATTGGTCATTTGAATTTCCAAGTCTAGAAATTATCTCTTCATAGGTTAGGATATTTTAAATCAATATTGTCTCATCTTTTTTGTATGATATTAGAGGAAATGGTGAACTGAGTATAAAACAATAGAACAGAAAATTCACAAATTCTTCATATATACCTTAAGAATGTATGTTTTAACAGATTTTGTTTTAAAATTATGTTTGAGTGAAATAATTTTAAAATGTGTTTCACAATATAATGAATTTTAAATGTGAGGATTTAAGAATATGTTTTAAAATGTGGGAAAATTCAGATTGAACTGATGGTTTTAATTTAAAAAGTCATGTGGGAAGGGACGGGAGGTGTGTTTTCTGGGACACTAGTAAAGAGTGATAATTACCTGTACTATAATGAAAAAAAAAGTCATGTAGTTGATCTACCAGATGAATAATCTGCATTTGGTGCATTTGTCTAGGCCATCAATCAGTTTATTTCCTCTCTACATTTCAACCTAAAACCCTTAAAACAAGAGAACGAGACTCTCACGTTCTCATCTTTGTAACTCCACCCTACCTCTAATAGCCTGGAGTGCATTGCTGGAAATAAAACAATTATTTTTAAGTTGATTGTGGTACAACATTTAAGCCCTCCATTTCCAGCCTCCCCTCTGAGTTTAGCTTATATTTCTTTTGAATAAAATGGAAATGTCCTTGATCTTATTTTGTCTTTTAGAAGTGTCATATGAAAAGAATAAAGCTGTCAGCAAGTTTGGATCTTTTTCTGCCACCTTAGAAAATGGAATCTGCCTCTCCATAAGTTACTATGGATCAAGTGGAATGGCGCCAGGTGAAATAATACAACAGAAAGGATAAGCATGCTCTGTGGCCAGAGGTCCCTGCCCATCCACAATCTTCTCACTTGTCAATTAACTTGACCTGATTTAATGGCCCTGATAGTTTTTCCTGCAGGGAAGGAATATAAGGGGTATATGTGTATGTGTGTAAATATATGTGTTTGTGTACATATGTGGGTATACAAGCATATATAAATCTTTCATATATAGCAAATGATGCTTTGGCATTTTAGACAGCATTTATCATTTATATTATCTTATATAATCACATATACCTATGAGATCATATGTATATGATATATACATGTATATATATATGATGTGCATATATATATATTCCAGTCATCTTTGTTAACTAACTCATAAAACTAAGCCTTTTAGTTGGTGCCAAAGAAGCATGATCTGCCAAGGAATCCTTTTGGTTTTCTCTAGAATAATATTTTTATGAATCCTGTGATTGTGGAATCGTTTAGTGTGCTTCAGGACATTAGCCTTAAAGGAGACATTCACTGGACATATTTCTCTACCTCACTCTAAATAAACAAATTATCCAACTGGAAGTTATTTCCTTACAAACCACAAAATAGTATGTCACTTTACCAAGAGGCAATTAGGAAATCTGTGGGTTCCCATCCATTTTAGAGGGATGTAATGACAAGGTATTTTTTAAAAAGCATCACAAAATCAAAATATAATCCCTATGCTATATAGCCTCAAAACTATGTATTAGTGTAGACCTTGGTGATCCAGTTATATGGCTTACTATATAATTCCTTTTTCTAAGAGACAAGGGTCTCATGGATCATCATAATCTTGTTTCTTACCTTGTGTCAAGTATCCTAGTACTTTAGTGAGTTAGTGGGGCCATTAGATTTGATAGTATTTTTTACTTCATTTGGGGTTTTGTAGTTTAGCTTTGTATTTGATTTGTTTTTAAACCAACACTTGGAGAAGTAATGTGTTGCCTAACAAATTATGTATGAAAATCTATTATCACCACAGAGTCACTAAAATTCCTTACCTCTTCTGAATGTAGGTTATCATTATTTTATATTAAGATTTTTTTATACCCCACTCTATCAACTCTGTTGGTCCCATTTCCTAAGTGATTTCCTTATTCTCGATTTAATCCTTCAGTTAATATGTAATCATTACATTAAAAACAGATGCTCCTAATTTCAGGTTATAGGTACTATATTAGAAAATGTTTGTAGTGTAGATAATAAGTAATGTCTACTTCCTGCATATTAAAAACTAAGTTGGGCCGGGCGCAGTGGCTCACGCCTGTAATCCTAGCTCTCTGGGAGGCCGAGGCGGGCGGATTGCTCGAGGTCAGGAGTTCGAAACCAGCCTGAGCAAGAGTGAGACCCCGTCTCCACTATAAATAGAAAGAAATTAATTGACCAACTAATATATATAAAAAATTAGCCGGGCATGGTGGCGAATGCCTGTAGTCCCAGCTACTTGGGAGGCTGAGGCAGGAGGATTGCTTGAGCCAGGAGTTTGAGGTTGCTGTGAGCTAGGCTGACGCCACGGCACTCACTCTAGCCTGGACAACAAAGCGAGACTCTGTCTCAAAAAAAAAAAATAAGTTGAAGGCATAAGTCTTTGTAAAAATATATGTATATTGAAAATTACTTAAGGATGCATATAGTATTGATATTTAAGAAACGTATCTGCTAATGGCTAAATAAATTTCTATTCCAGCTCTTCCCCTTTAACTGAGTATACACAGCTAAGCATAGTTTAGTATCCTTTTGGACCAAAAAAATGGATAATATGGATGCTATTAAATCAACAAAAACATAAAGAAGCCAAACCAAATCTTTGAATACTGTTTCATATCTTCTTGCTCATGGGAATATTTCCTTCCTGTTTCCTACTGCCATTCAGATGGCCTACTGAATATACCTAGAATTCAAGAAACTTAATCAAGCCCCAAGCTCAATTTTACATGATTCTTTACCCAAATTCTGCGTGACAACCAACCTGATCTATTTTCCCGTATGGCATTATGCCTTCCTACCTATTCTTTCTGTGCATTTTAGTCCCTTGAACGAACTATGCTTTCTCTTATGTCTGCCCCTTTGTTCATGCCTTGCCACTGCTCAGAACACTTTCTTCTGCCACACAGGCCACCACTTTCAACAATTAAACTTCCTCCCATCCTTCAGGCCCTAGCTTAGAGGTTAATTGTTCTAAGAAATGCTTCCCAGAGCAAGTGTCAGTAGCATGTGAACAAGGTCTTTGGAGGTGAGTGTGATGCGGAAAATGTCGGTTGCCAAGACTCAGCCGCTTGCCGACTGCGCGTGGCTCTGCATCACTCCGGCGCTGAGTGGGGCCGGTTGGAGGGCACGCTGCTGGGCCCAGCAGTAGAGTCAGTCAGACTGCCGCTAGGGCCCCGAGTGCTAGAATGCCCCCAGGCCCACGTGCCCCCGCCTGCTTCTGGGCCCTGCCATGCTGAGGTCTGCTGTCCAGGCCTCAGCTCAGTTGCCTGGCAGCCACCTGTTTTCTGCCGGGCTGCTTGTGTGATCCTGATTGGGTAATTTTTGAATCCCACTGTTGTTGATTGCATGTTAAAGCTTGTTGCTGTTTGGATGTTAAAGCTTGATGTTGATTGGATGTTAAAGCTTGTAGTTGAATTGGACGCTTTTTGAGCCCTACCAAGGGTATAAAAGCAGAAGGAGAACAAGGAAGGGGGGAGGTCAGCAAATCAGAAGACTCAAGGAGAGCTGTAACACTTTTTGGGTTGAGCCTGCTGTGGAAAGACTGTTCTCCGACTCTTTGGTTCTTTCCCCGGTCAAGAGCTGTAACACTAGCTGTACACCTTGCCCCGACAAGTAGAAATGGCCTAGGCAAAAAATTGAAGGAAGGGAATTCTAGATAGTAAGAATAGTGTGTGTAAAAGCTTAGTCATGTAAGAGCAAGGAATGGCTTTCCCATTTATGGAAAGGTGAACTGCTCAGTATAGCCACAGTAGACTTTACTGTGGCATTTTGCCATAGATGTCCTTCTTCTTGTTTCCGGTGGCATTCTGTACTTCCTCCATCACAGACTGAACACACAGCATTGTACCTGAGGGCTTCCTAATCTAAACTACCCACTAAATTAGGTGAGGATGTGATTGTGAAGAGTGTACACACCCTACAATGGGCAGTGAGTGGCAGGATTCTTTACATAAGGGAAGTGACATGATCACATCTTAATTTAGGTACATAATTTTAGTGATAGTTTGGAAAGTTCATGGAAGTGGTGGTGTTAGAGGTGTCATGATATCAGTTAAGAAACTGCTGCAGAAGATACAGCAAGCAATAATGGGACACTGAATTTAGGTAATGGGAATAGATAGGACAGGCATGATTTGGGAGAAAGTTCCAAAGGCTTGGTAACTGGCTGGGTGTATAGAATGAGTCAAAAAGAGAAAATGGTCTCAATGTCTAACTTGGAAAACAGAGTGCATGACTGGTCATGGCATTAACTGAGATTGAGAATATAAGAGGGTCAACCTGCTTGGGAAAGGAAAGACTAAATTGAGTTAGAAATGTCTCTAGTACCACAACCAGGAGATGCCTAAAAGCAGTTAAAAATATTAATCTGGAATTGAGAAGGAAAGTCATGCCTTGAGATGTAAATTTTGGAGTCAGTAGCATGTAGATGACAATTGGAACCCAGTACTAAATAAGATCATCCAGATCTAATATGTGTGTGTGTGTGTGTGTGTGTGTGTATAAAATAAAGGTGCTCAGCCCTGTCTGTGCATCACAATCATATGTAGTATTTCACTAATGTTAATGGCTGGTCCTCGTTTCCAGTGAGTGATTCAGATGGGGCCTGAGCATTTTTTTTTTAATTCCATGAGTAATTATATGGACACTCAGGGTTGAGAACATAATAAATCCTGGGACCTAAAAATGTTTAAATGATTGACAAGAGAGGAAGAGCCAGTAAATGAGATTGAAGAAAAAATTGACCAGAGAGGTAAGAGATTCAGGTCATGGTTTTCTAGAATGCAGAGGAAAATAAAATTCAAGACATAAGGGATTCTCTAGAGCTCCCCACATAATCCTCCTCACATCAGCTCTCCTTTTAGAATTCTGACAATCCTTTGAAACACAGAAGAAAATTGATCTTCTATTTTAAAAACCTCCTTTTATCACCTTAGCCAGAAATAATCTATTTCTTTTCTGGATTTTTTTATTTTTACCATTTACTATTCTTATTTAATGTCCTTATAATGAGTTATTTGAGTGCAGATCTTATTTAGACTGTTTTGACTCAATACGAACTTTTACATATATTTTCATTATTTTCCACTGCTCAAAACATTTTACATATAAGAGCTTCTCAAATATTCTCAAATAAATGAAGAGATGATTATTTCCCAATCATTAAGGAGTTTACAATGTAGATGGAAGCCAGAAACATGTGAAATGACTCATAAAGCACAAGAAAGTATTAAGTACCTCAAATTTCTAACTACAATCCTGATTTTCTAACCAACTACATTATCCTTAAAATCTATCCAACTGATAATATTTAGCAAGGTAAAAAACTGCTGTCAACTTGTATAAATTTTGGAGATGTAAGTATTATTTAATAAGCATATTAAATATAGTGAATGTTGAATTTACTTAGTTTTCCCCTTTTCTGTTTATAGAAGATAAAGATCCTTATTTAGAAACAATGTTGAATATCCCATCAGCACTCACTCCAACAGTGGTTCCTGTTATAGTGAATGTTCCACAAGGCAAACCTAAAGGGAAAACAAAAGGCAAAGAAAAACCCAAAGAATCCATTAAAGAAGAGGAGCAACCAAAAGAAGAAGAGAAAAAGGTAAACAGAACTTATGGTAGATTCCCAAATTCTGTTTCTGCCTCAATGTTAATGTTTTTCTAAACCATTGCTTATGTCAATAATGTTATTATAGTGGGTACATTTTATTGTGCAGATGCATTAACATTCCTTGTTGTTTCAACTCGAATGGACAAGAAGGATTTGCACACAAAAATTGGATTCCCACTCCAGGAGACATGTTGTCATACACAAATTGTCTCAGGTCATTCACTTTCAGCTCAGAAAAACTGGGTTCAACCTTTTTCCCACCCTGCTGCTTAGATTTTCTTTGCTTTTGGTTAGTCAAATTCCTACCATTCCTCATTTCTAATCCTTCATTTAGCTCCAATAAGATAAACAACAATTGGAAGATAAAGATCTGTGACTAAACAATGGAAACAGTTCCACTTGGTGGGTATTGAATCCCGAAAGAGTAAGAATCGAGAAAGAGTAAGACAGCCCACACTTCCAGTCAAAGAGTAGTCTACCTGTTTCCCCAACCTTTCATCATAGGCAATGTCACACACTCACACACACACACACACACACGCACATGTGCTTTGACTCTAAACATCTTCCTAATAGAACACAGATCAAAATAGGGTTCTATTGGATTGATTCTTTATATCAGGGTTAAAAAAAAAAGACAAAACAGGGCTCTAAAAGAGGAGCAACAAGGAAATTACTGGCAAATCTTGACTCTTGTTATTTACTACTAAAACTACGATGTACAGATACTAACTTGTTAGAAGAAAAAATATGTTAAAAAGTGCTCAAGAAAGAGGCCAGGCACAGTGGCTGACGCCTGTAATCCTAGCACTCTGGGAGGCCGAGGCGGGTGGATTGCTCGAGGTAAGGAGTTAGAAACCAGCCTGAGCAAGAGTGAAACCCCCGTCTCTACAATAAATTAAAAAAAAATTAATTGGCCAACTAATATATATATAGAAAAAATTAGCCGGACATGGTGGCGCATGCCTGTAGTCCCAGCTACTCGGGAGGCTGAGGCAGTAGGTTGAGTAGCTTGAGCCCAGGAGTTTGAGGTTGCCGTGAGCTAGGCTGAACGCCATGGCACACACTCTAGCCTGGGCAACAGAGTGACACTCTGTCTCAAACAACAACAACAAAAAAAAGTGCTCAAGAACCTGGATTTCAGACTCTGGCCCTTTAAAAGTTATGGGGTTTAAATGTTACTTTGCCTCCGTACCTTATTTACATAGTTATACTAGATGAGCTATCACATGCCAGGCCACTTTTGTTAAGTGAAAATGTTCAGAATGACTCCAGGTAATTCATTTAAAATCAATTCGGCCAAAATCAACTTGATAGCAAACTAATCATCGGTTCCTCCAACATTTTTTAAAATTGATGATAATGGAAGAATGAGGGATGATTACTGATTTTGTATGTAATGCTAGATTCAACCTAGCTGATTTGCAAATTTGAGCATTTATGTTCATTTTACAGAATTTAATAAGCTTTTAATTCATTTAATTCATTTTTAGCTAAATATTCAAATTTTTTCCTCTGTTAGTGACAAACAAAATGTAGAACAACCTAAATGATCAATAGTAGAAGACCAGCTAGAATAAACTAAAGATCCAGCACTGGAATATCAATTGGAATGATTTTGGTGGCTAATGAAAGAGAACCAATTGGAAAAACTGAAATGATTATTAGTTAGAATTATTTGAAAGTTACCAAATAACTTCTGTTCTTGAGCACATATAACCAAACAAGGAATTCAGGCATAGCTGACATAAAATTAATTAGGATTTTAAAGTAGACACATCCAAATCCTCATTAATTTATAAATTAACTTATAACTTTTGGTTGTCTTTTGTTTTCTTTTATTGCTTTTACTTGCTATGAAAACAATGCATGCTCATTATAGAAAAATAAGGACAAATATCCTAAAGCATAATATCTCTAGCACGCAAACTGTAAGAATTATACCAAAAAAGTCAGTGGGGAAGTTGGTCTCTCACATACTCTGCCTGTCTTAGTCTGTTTGGTCTGCTATAACAAAATACCATAGACTGGGTGATTTACAAACAGTAGAAATTTTATTGCTCACAGTTCTAGGGGCAGTGAAGTCGAGGATCAAGCTAACAGCAGATTCAGTGTCTGGTGAGAGCCTGTTCCTCATATACATGGTTCCTTCCATGCGTCCTCAATGGCCAAAGGAGCAAAGGCTTTCCTTGCAAATTCTTCCATAACAGCACTAATCCCATTCATGAGGACAGAGTCCTCATGACTTACCTATTTCCCTAAAGACCCACCTCCTAATATTATCACATTGGGTATTAGGCTCCAACATATGAATTTTGCAGGAAACATCAACATTCAGACCATAGCACTATCCTTAACACCTACACAACCAAACTGAGACATTTTTCAAGATCTACTTCAAGCCCCAATTCCTCTACCACTCCTTTCCCAATTTTTCCTATTAGCTTTGATATCTCCCTTTTTTAAGAAAAGATATGCCAACTATTTGGTACTATCATTTGGTGGTCTCACCCATCTATGTGCCATTCTACTAGTCGAATATAAACTGCACAAAGGCAGAAACTCATGCATCCTTGCAGGCTCTATTGCAAGGTCCTCCTAGCTCTGCACAAGTCACATCCCTAAGCACTCAGCAAGTCTTTGTTTACTCAAAATAAGTAATAGCTCATTTAGAAAATGATAAGTAATTATTCACATGCTAAATTATTTACAGGAAGAAGTAGAACCAGAGCCTGATTTACAAGAGGATGTTTATCTTCCCACCTTCCAAAGCCTAAATGTGTCTTGCCCCAGTGGGCTTCTATTGACTTTCATTGGGCAAGAGCCTACAGGTGAGTGCTAGCTGGGGTGGAATGCGGGAACAGAGGGCAAAAATTCATATTCAAAACAGCTAAATCACCATTGAAAATTCTGTATTTTCTTCCCAGTTAAACATACTTCTTGTTGATAATGACCGATAGGCTATTTTCAAATTTTGAGCACTTACTATGGCCAAATACTTAACATACTTGACAAAATGCAAATATTATGAGCTGGTTACTAAGAACTCCATTTTACATAATGAAGAAATTGAGGCTTCGGGTGGTTTAGTAATTTACCCAGAGTTACTCAACTTCCAAGTGGCAGAACTGAAATGCTGTTCTCAGTCCAGTTATGGTAAAGCCAATGCTCTTCACAACTCTTGTGTGGCCCTGCATTCCTGCCTCTACAGAGAGCCACTGGTACAGTACTTGGCTGCTCTGAAGAAAACGAAGGACAGTGAGCACAAAGTAGGTAGAGATAACTGCTTGGGGGTGATGATGGGAGCTTGCTTGGTGGATACAATATGTGTTGCTTCAGTGATGTGTGTACCAAAGGCCTTGACTTAACCATAGTGTAATATATGAATGTAACAAAATTGTACTCATACCCCCGGAATATGTGCAAATAAAACATAGATGGAAAAAATGGAATCAAATAAATGAATAAAACAAATGGATTAAGAAATCAAGTCTTCATTTCCATGTATCATTATATAACCTTATAGACTATTATCTCTGCTGGTTCTATACATGGCCCCTTACCTATTCAGCTGAATAATAAGTACAAGTAGGTCCTCTTTAATTAATCTGATGGGGCATCTACATTGGTGATCGAATTTGAATACCATTTAAATGGAGACCCACTGTTGTAGTAGAAGTAGGAGATGCAGCGAGGGAAGCACTGAACTAGGACTTCAGTTCTAAAGCTAGCCCTGGCACTAACTACCAATATAGCCCAGGCATCCTCAAACTATAGCCCACAGGCCACATGCCAGCCACCTAGGACATTTATCCGGCCCGCTGGGTGTTTTTGCCACCGCTGCCTGTACTGCTTAGCAACCAACTTGTCCCGGGCCCACAGTGAGCACTCTCCAACGGTCTTAGGGACAGTGAACTGGCCCCCTGTTTAAAAAGCTTGAGGACCCCTGAATAGCCCTTTTAAGTTACTATCTCTGGACCATGTCTCCTCATCTGATAAATGTTAGATTATATCAGTGGATTTTTATTTTTTTCACAACCTAATATCCTCTTTAGTACACCACATCTGAAAGTGTATCTATCAAAGAAAAAGACTATGCCTCTTAAAAATAAATCGATATTTTAGTTACTTGCCAGCCAAAAAAAAAAAATAGAAACTAAATGTTACAGTTAATCTACTTGTCCTAATTTTGGTCTTCATTAGGCTTTCTGAATTATTAAGAATAGAACCTGGGGCCCCTATTCTATTCCTGAGGATCCCTAGTGGTTCAGGTTTTCTGTGATGGGACACACTTTGCTAGATGTTAAGTGTCCTCCCAAGTCTAAGATGCTATGAGTGCTCTGAGAGAGATGTTGTTTGAGGTTCAAGGTTGTATTTCTTTGTTTGCCTTTTGCTTGATCCTGTTATCAAACCCCGGCTCAATACCTCTTTCACCCTTGCCTTTTCTATTAGTTTGATTGTTTACCCTGATATTTTCCTCCTTCTGTCAAGGTAGACAATGTAGTTACTAACAACTTTGCCTGTAATGCATCATATGTTTAAAATCTTCTATATATTATAAATATCTTAATTCAAGTCTGAATGTAATTACAACATAAATACCAAAGTAACAATATATTCACAGGGTCAGTCTTAAACATAGGGAGAGAAGGTTACCATGGCATGAGAAGAAAGAGCCCAGACTTGAGTCCTTTCCTGGGTGACTTTGGAATTAATTGGGAAAATGCTTTTTAACCTAAAGCATATTATTCAAATGTTAGTGGTTGTTTTGGGGGGGTCTTTTGTCTGTGTGTGTGTTTGTGTGTGTGTGTGTGTTTGGTTGTGGTAGTAGTGGTTGTTTTTACAGCATAAGAAAATGATTCAAATACCAGCTCTGCCACTTGCTGACCATGTGACGTTAGACAAAGTATAACCTTTTCAAGCCTCCATCTGAAAACTCTGGAAAATGAAAGTGTCTACTTTAAAAAGTTGTTGAGGTGGACTACATAAGATACATACATAAAGCATTTAGCAATAGAAATATCTCAATAAATGTTTATTATTTTATCATTGTTATTACTTCTGTGATTTAAGGGGTATCATGAAGGATCCTCATTGCAAAATATTTTCCTACCAACCTGATACGTTTCTTAAAATGCCATCGTTACATGTTAATTCCTTTGTTTTAAGGCTTTTTGACCCAAAAAAACCATGTTATAAATTAAGAGGAAATTTTTCAATTAGCAAAAATTGAGTAGGTACTGTGGTGCCAGAATTTCTCCACAACAGTGCTTTCTTTCTAAAGGAGTTTATTAGGTGCTTTTCTCCTTGATTGCTAGCTAACAGCAAAACACTGAGAAAGATCTGGATTTGGTTGAAGGGATTATGCTAACTAGGGCAGGTTTGAATAAGTGACTTCCCCCAGTGCTCTGGGCAGCATTGTGTATCCAGGGGTGAGAGTATACTCAAAGAAGTGGGGGAAGAGAGGGGTGCAAGGGAGGGGCGAATACCCAAGGCAGCAAAACTCCGCTTCCTTCATAATTTTGCCCTGAGATATCCTGGACTTCCTTAGAGACAATCAATTACACATGGAGAAGCTACCTGCTGTGTTTGTGGATGACCTTGTTGACTACATTTGAATGTAACAAGATCAGCAAAGAACCAGTATTCTGGGCCATCTGTCATGACATGGAAACTGCCCAGTTATTCAGACATAGACAAAAGAAAGAAAATAATTAGGCAAGAAGATAAAATCCCAGCCCCACAGCATTTTCCACCTCACAGTAAAGCTTTATTCTTTTTATTTTTTAAGGTCAATCTGTAGCAGCTGAGGAACCCACCTGGGACATCGTGGTCCGTCAGAGCTACCCCCAGAAGGTGAAGCACTATGAGTTCTATAAAACGGTGATGACACCTGTGGAGCAGGAGGCTTCAAGAGTTATCACCAGTCAAGGCACCGTTGTCAAATATATGTTGGATGGATCCACACAGGTAAAAGACTATTTTAGATAATTTACTCTTTCCTACTGCCAAGTAAAAGACAACCAGGCTATGGGTAAGGAACAGTACTGTAGCAGGAAAGAGGAACAACTCACTTGAAAAAGGAATGATAAACGAAGAATAGTATGACTTAAAATGACAAATGAATAGTATAGTTAGAGAAAAAACACTATGGAAAACAGTATTCACATAAGCTTGTCATTTCTATGCATGATCTAAGATTACAGAGTGAACACAGTGTTTTCCTCCTCTCCGTCTCCATCTCAAGATCAATACCTTGATCTTGTCTCAAGGTATTTTAAAATATAGAAAAAATAGTTAAATAATAAATTCATAATAGTACTGGAAGATAACAAATATATTATCAATAATACATGATAAGATTTGGAGAATTCCTAAAAAATGCAAGTCAGATGGGGGGATCAGACTGATGGAAAAAAAGAGCAAGGTTTAAAACATATACAAGAGAAAAACCTGCAGCAAACTAAAAATCAAAGTGGAAGTTCTAACACAGACATTTTACATAGAAGCTCTGGGCTCAGAAATTCAGAATGATAGTAATTCCCTAGGTAACTATTCCCTGGGAATGGGAATCAGAAACCATAAAAAAACCAGAAACCATATGGCCCTGGTCCATCCCTCCCAATGATTGCAGAAGAGGAGCTCCCATAACCAGACACAGCACCACCAACTAAAAAGGGATTCTTAATGAAAAATAGGACCATGTGCCTAAGAATCATCAACTTTGGAGAGAAGCCAATCCCATGAAAGTAAAGAACACAATTCAATATATTAGAGAAATCACACCCCAAAATAAAAATAGGTACCTAAAAATTTTTAAAAGTCAGTAACAGTAATATAAGTAGAGACTTGAAAGGTTAATGGTCCATAAAATAAACTTTTTTAAAAGTTTCTAAAGAAAAAATATCAAGAGTTCTCAGAAACTAAAAATAATTGTGAAAAATAAAGGAGTGGGAGAGGATGGATTATGAGTGAAAGAAAAATTGAAACATGGAAAAGAGATCTATAGTATAGAATTTTCAGAAGAACATAGTAAGAATGAAAGGGAGAAATAATCAAAGACATAACATAAGAAATTTTCCCCCAGTTTAAAAAAAAACCTCAGACTAAACAGGACAACCAATCAGGACTAATATCAAGTATCTTTAAAATATCATCTCAGTATGTCTTCATGCAATTTTAGGACTGTATAGGTAAACAATCCCAAAAGCTTCCTGAAGGAAACCATTTACTTATAAAGGAATAAGAACCAGATGGACATTTGACTTCTCATTAGCAAGCTGATGGTGGTCCTTGTCATGTTGATTGGGAATGTATAAAGACTAATATCAGAGAGCTGTGTCTGTAGTACCTAGAGACCCTATACACATTAGGTGGATATTAATAGAAACTACACATTTCAACATATGATAAGATTTTAAATGTAATCATTAGAAAAATTGAAATAGAGTATATAATTTCCCAATTGCCTAGGGGAAGGGTAAAAATTGGGAAAAAATAAAATTCAAATCAATCTAAGAAAAGACAGGAAACAAGAAGAAACAAAGCAGAAGGTAAATAGAAAATATAAAATAATATTATTGTGCCGGTTATGAAGCTATTGTCTCTGAGCTCCAAATCTACCCTTCTATAATATGCTTTGTGATGCTAAGTCTAGAGGTCTGCAAACAGCATTTCTTCTTTGGTTTATTTTGAAGCTATTCCAGCTTGACACACAGTGCTTACTATTAACCAGCCTCCTCCTTGCTCCTGAGAATGCTGGAAACTTTTGTTTTTCCTTCAGATTCTCTTTGCAGATGGTGCTGTGAGCAGTAGTCCCGATTCAGGTCCTATTTATCCTCCTGAAATGCCAACAAGCCTTCATATTGGAGATTTGATGGACTCAATTACGCAGCCAAAATCAGAAATAGCACCATCTGAAATGGGCGGCACAAAGAAAGGTAACAATTGAAGCCTCTAGAATTATAATGGATTTAATAAAGTCTTCAGGTGCTTAATAAGTGTTCAATATCATTATGATTATACCACTTATCTTTTCTATGAATATATTCAGATATATTCATATATATGTAAATGAATTTTCATTGCAGTTACCAAATTACATACTATTTCATAAATTGCTTTTTTTCTCTTAGTAACAGATAATGAACATTTTCCTATGTCATATATATTCCTACACATTAGCTATAGTATCTGGACTGCTGTTTTAGGGCTGGTTGAGCAGATCGATGAAGTCAAGATTCTGAACAGGCATCTCTGTGATTCTCTTGATCTTTTCCTCATAGTTGCAAGAAGGTGTATCAGTTCCAGGCATGAGGTCCTCATACAGTAACTTCCAAAGCAGAAAGGAAAGAGGGCAAGTACAACAGCTTTCTCCAAGTGTCTCTTTTTATCAAGGAGGAAAATATTTCCAGATCCCTTATCTCCCAGCAAACCTCATATCTCACTGATTAGAACTCACTGGTGATTAAGGCTGGGAAAACAGTTATCTGACATTTTTTACCTCTTTCTCAGAAGAAAGGCACTACTATTAGGGGGAAAAGAAGGTGGATAACAGTTGGGTAAGCAATGAACAGTATGTGTCAAATCTAAATTACAAGATCACTGTCCTGAAAGGTATTTCTGATTTACACCCACTACCACTAGCAGCATAGTATGAAAATGTCTGCTTCCTCATACCCTCACCAATGTTTTTTATCATTCTTTTAATCTTATTCAATTTGGTAGATAATTAATATATCTTATTATTATGTTAATTTACATTTCTTTGATTACTGGTGAATTTAAATGTTTAAAGATGTTTACTGGGTTTTCTTTCCTTTTGTGGACTTTCTATGCAAATCTTAGTTTACTATTGCACTGTTATTCTTATATTAATTTTCAAGAGACCTTCATATATAAGAGATGTGTATTTGTGTATCAGGAACCATCTGAATATTGTAAATATTAAATCAGCTAATCCTCTGTGAGGTACATATTTTAATAATCTCCAATTTACAGATTAAGAAATTGAGACACAGAGACGTTAAGTAACTTCCTTGAGGTCTCTCAGCTAGCAGGTAGTAGAGCTGGCATTTGAGCTTAGGCACCCTTGATCACTACCTCTCCTCCCTCACAAATTTTTCTCAATTTCTTATATGCCTTTAATGATCCAAAACTGAGATTTAATCATTTTTGTCAATTTCACACATCTTCTCACAGTACCTAGTAATTTCGTATAGAGGCCAACAGAATTCCCTTTTTGCTTACTCAAAATTTAATAAAACAGATTTTCCTTCAGGAGTAGCAGAGGTTCCTTGTTGGGGAATAGACATAGTATATAAGTACTCAATTTTTATGTATGCCTAAAATTCCTCTAAAAATTGTCTATTAATTTTTATAAAATGAGTGTATCATCTTGGAAGGAAGGGCTGTGAAGAAATCTGGGACACACCCTGCTAGAAGTTCTTTGAGAAGTGGCTACACAGAATAGGCTTATATCAAGTCCCTCAACAAAAGAGGGAACCTTTGAGCCAGGAAGTTGACAATTTTTAGAGGAATTTTAGGCATACATAAAAATTGAGTTCCCATATACTATGTCTATTCCCCATCCACAGTTTCCTGTATTATTAACATCTTCCTTTATTTTGGTACATTTGTTACAATTGAACCAATCATGATATATTATTATTAACTAAAGTCCATAGTTATACATATAATGTACAACTCTTGGTGTTATACATCCTATGGGTTTTAAAAAATGCATAATATCATGAATCTACAGTATCTTATGTATCATACAGAATAAGTTCACCACCCTAAAAATGCTTGTACTTTATCTATTCACCCTTCTCCTCTCCCTCATCCTGAACCACACATACCCTCCCCTCCCCAAACTCCTGGCACCCACTGACCTTCTCACTGTCTCTACAGTTCTGCCTTTCCCAGAATGTCATATAGTTAGAATCATACAGTGTATAGTGTTTTTAGACCAGTTTCTTTCACTTAGTAATATACATTTAAGATTCCTTCGTATCTTTCTATGGCTTAATAGCTCATTTCTTTTTATCACAAAATAATATTCCATTCCTGGAATGAAATTTCATAAAAAATATTTCATAAAAATTTTTTTTTAAACTTGTAGCACCATAAAGTAGCTCTTCTTACTGAGATTCAGCCATTTTTCTTGAATTGTTCCCTAGATTGTTGCAATTCTTTGGAGAATTTCCAAAATTCTGAGAGAGTTGATTCTGGTAATTTTTGTCAATGTTCTCACTGTTTTTATAGAGGAGTGGATTTTCTCTGGTTCTTACTTGCTGTTCCGGAAGTGCTTCTCCCATCTTACAATGAATATTTAGTATTTTTATTAATTTTCCATTTTAAATATTATCTAATTTCCGTTATAATTTTTCTTTGACCTTTGAGTTATTTAAACTTCTTCCTAGATTTCCAAACCTATGAAGTATTTCTAGTTTATGTTTATAATTGATTTTTAACTCATTGTTCAAAAATTTGTTGAAACATGATTTATAGCCTCATATATGATCAAGTTTTTTAAAAACCCCCGTACTTGAAAAGAGCACATATCTTGTCATTATTTGGTACAGTGTAGTCTTAAATTTATTCGATCAAACTTGTTAGTCTTGTTGTCCAGATCTCTATCAGAGTTCAGCAAACTTTTCTATAAAGGGCAACACAGTAAATATTTTAGACTCTACTGGGCCATATGGTCTCTACCAAACTACTCAACTATGCCATTGGAGTATTAAAGTAGCCAAGATCAATGCATAATTATGGCTAGCTTTATTGTATTTCAGTAAAACTTCATGTACACTAAAATTTGAATTTCATATAATTTTCACGTATCATAAAATATTCTTTTTATTTTTTTTAGCTTTTTAGAAATGTAAAAAGAATTATTACTTTGCAAACTGTACACAATAGATAGCAAGCCTTATTTGACATATAGGCCAAAATTTGCCAATCTGTATTCTATATCCTTACAGATTTGTTTAATTTATTGTATCAATTTACTCAGTAGAAGTATGTTTAAATTTCCTAAAAAGATACAATAGTCTCTTCAGTGCTGTTCCTTATAATTTAATCTTTATCTCTTTATTTGTGAAATAAATTTGTCTTTTATAGTTCCATCAGATTTTTCTTCATTTATTTTGAGGATATGATTTTAGATACTTATAACTTTAGAATTATTATATCTTTATGGTAAATTTAACCTTTCAGTATTATGCAATGACTTTTTATTCTGGGAATTTTGTTTTTGCTCTAATGTCTATTTTGCTTTGTTATTATAGCTATACAATATGTTGCTTAATACTTTACCAGCATAACTTTTTTACACACTTTTATTTCACTTTTAAACATGTTTAAATATGTTTCTTGTGAGCAGCATGTAGTGGATATTTTCAAAATTCTATTTGTAAATTTTTTATCTTTAGACATTTTAGTATTGTATTATATAAATGATATTTTTTGAAAATGTCTTTATATTGTCCTCATTTTTAAATACAATTTCACTGAGTATAGAATTCTAGATTGACAAGTATTTTGTCTCAGTATATTGACAATAATCTTCTATACTCTTTAGCAACAATGTTGCTGTTGAAAAGTTGGCTGTCAGTCTAATTGTTGTTGCTTTGAAGATACTCTAAGTACTTTTAAAATATTCTCTGTGATTTTTTAATTATAATTTACGTGTGATTTGACTGGGTATGGATTTCTTTTTATTTATCCAAATGTGAATACATTGGACTTCTTGAATCTGTAGATTACTATCTTTCATTGATTCTGGAAATTTCTCAATAATTACCTCTTCAAATATTGTTTCTGATCCACTTCTTTCTCCTCTTCTTCTGGAATTCCAATTAAATATGCATTAGAAATATTTTAAGCTCTCATTACTTATATTTCTTGACTCTCTGAGCTTCATTCTATACAATTACATTAGGTTTATCTTTCAGTTCTCTTTTAAACTGTGCTTTATCTCTTGTTAAATCTGCACTGTTATTTTTTTAATGTCATTATTTCATTTTTTACATCTAATACTTCTCTTTATTTTGTTTTCCAGTCTGCCTTCTCTTTACTCATATTTTTGGCCCCCTTTTACTTCTAGAATCATATTTAGCATTTCATATTCTGTGTCTGATAATTCCAATATCTAAAGTACTATGGATCTAATTATATTTTGTTTCTTCTGGTTCTCACTTGATTCAAATGCTTTGCTTAATTGTATCTTTGGTACTTTGTGACTAGGATCTGCTTATTATTTTTTCTTATTGCTTTGACTCTAAATTGTTTGGGCTGGTATAAAGATGTGTTTCTTTAGAAAGGATTTTAGTTTCAGAAAGGATTTTAGCAGATAGTGGGGAAATCAATAGTCTTGAATCACTTCAAATTATTAAAGGAATTTCTAGGGTTGCCACCCAAGTGGTGTGAATTTTTGTTTGAAACCTATTAATATATAAGGATCTGCTCTTGGCTATACAACCTCAAAGTATTTTTTTGTCCTCTCTGCTCAGCACTATGTTTGAACACAGGCAACTTTTCTGACAGTCCTGGGGTAGGGTAGAAAAAAGCATGAGTTTATCTCTGTTAATAATCCACACTTAGTCTAAGGGTATAGCTGTTTAGATCTCAGATTTTTAGAGAACTCTCCAGCCTGAGTAGGCTCTAGCTTTCATTTCTTCCTAAGTACCAGAATGCTGAGAAAACAAGTACTCAAAATCACCCAATTTGACACAGACCACAGGGCAAGAGTCAAATTCAGTGTTTTACTTCTCTATGTTCCCACTTTAACTTAGTCCTTAGCTTGTATTGACCTTTCTTATACTTGCCAGCTTGTAGACACTTTCAAGAAGATTAAGATATCTTTTCTAGTAGCTTTAGTTATTTTCAGTGGAATTCTTGGTACCTAGTTTGTGATGTTGCTGAAAATGGAACTCCAACCATGCCTGTTTCTTTCCTCTTACCTATGGGCTGATCCTTGACCAGTTGTCTTTACTTTATTGATCCATACACTTGGTAATGGAAGACAGTAGTTGGTTAAGATCTCAGAATCTGCATGTTATCCTTTTTTCCTCTTATTATTTTACCTTCCATATCTATCTTCAGCCTTCTATATCCAAATTTATCTCCCAATCTACATCTGTACCAAAGTTATACTTGTTTATCTTTACTACTCTCTCTAATCTCTAGTACTTTAAAACTTCCTAACTGCTCTTCCTGTTTTCATTAATATTAATTTTGCATATTCTGACCCAAAGCATTTACTAATCCTCTGACCATATCACTAGCCCTCTTAAAACTCTGTAATTACTAAATATCACCTATAAGAAAAAAATCCAAGGTCATTAGCATACTGCAAGGGCCACTCAGTTGAATCACTGTCTACTTCTCTAGGCTCTTCTCTCAACCAAAATATGCTTTATGTTTATTCTCTGGTCACATTGGCCTGCTAGTAGTTGTCTGCACATACCATGCTATTCCCTACCCCATGGTATTTTTCATGTCCACTATGCTGGAATGCCCTTTCCATAGCTTACTTCTTTTGATTAAATAAATAAATAAGAGAAGGACAAGGCAGATCAAGAGGAGGAAAAGGAAAAATGTAGAAGAAAAGACAATTGCAAAAGTATTTGCTACCATTTTTAAAGATTATCTCTCCACCTATTCTGAAAGTGACACTGTTTTCACTCTCTGTCAATGTTCTGAATGTGTAAATAACTTATTTGTAAATCCAAATAAGTCTTATGACAATAGAAAGACTTAACTCGATGTATCTATCTTCTTTGGTTCTTCTCATTTGTTGAGTCTCCATTATTTAAGCTGAGATTCATGCCCTGAAATAATGTGTATTTCATGATCTGAATCTGGAGAAGTAAAATACTAGAGATTATGCCTAGCTGGCAAGATTCCATGGATCCAGGGTTGAAGAAAGATGTTTCCTATTATGACTGACAAAGTGAGGGAAATCAAAGGTTAAAAATCTAGTAAATGATAGAGTCCAATAAGTCCAAAGAAAATCTGAAGGCTTGACAGATATATGGGAGAAAATGTAGTGTTTAAAAAGCAGAGGGCAGAACCCAAAATCTGGGATCCAGGTAGATGTAATCAAGAATCAGAAGAGTGCAAAAATTGACCAGAACAGCTTTCGTGCTACAAACAATGAACTTTCTATGCATGGGTATGTTAGGGGAAGGTGGTGGGAGTGCAGCCAAGATTCAATGTCAAAACTAAGATATTAATAACCTGATTTTTTCCCTATTGAGAAATAATTATAATTGATAAATACCCTTAGATTGTTGCTGCCACAGTGTCTGAGGTAGTTTACACTGTATCAAAACTTAATGAATGATAGATATAATTGATAGAATACTTATATTGTTGTGTTTGATTTTACTTGAACTTCACAGGAAAAGGTCACAAAAATCAATCATCAATGGCACATAAGAATGAAATCCATGAACATCCACCAGAGACAGTGCAAACAATGACTCCTGTGGAGGTTCACGTAGGCACCTGGTTTACAACTACACCTGAAGGAAATCGGATCGGCACCAAAGGATTAGCAAGAATTGCAAACTTGGCCCCGTTTTTATCCTTTCAGGCCACAGATCCTATCAATGGAACGGTATGGCAAACTATTATATACTGCAACATTTTCTAAATCCTTAGAATTCTGAAGCAGGACATAGAAGAGTGCCTGGTGAATAATAAATTTTCAATAAATATTTGTTATGTAGTGGACAGGTGGATGGATAGATGGATCTACATTCCCAAATCTAAAAATATCATGTGGTATATTTGACAAACATGATATATCACGAATTACTAATTTTTTGTGGGGAGGGGAGACAATTTGTTCAGAATAAAATACTAATTTATGAAGTGAGAGGCAGGTCATGAATTTTCTATACCATTTTTAAGATATGTGTGAATAAGCATGTCATGAGTTTCCTTATATTAAATGTATTTATAAAATGTGGTATATGTATACCATGGAGTACTACTCAGCTTTAAGAAACAATGGTGATATAGCACCTCTTGTATATTCCTGGATAAAGCTGGAACCCATTCTACTAAGCGAAGTGTCTCAAGAATGGAAAAACCAGCATCACATGTACTCACCAGCAAATTGGTATTAACAGATCAATACCTAAGTGGACATATGGGAGTAACATTTATCAGGTGTCGGGAGGGTGGGAGGGGGGAGAAGGGGATGGGTGTATACAACCACAACGAGTAAGATGTGCAATGTCTGGGGGATGGACATGTTTGAAGCTCTTACTCTAGGGGGAGGAGGGAATGGGCAATATAAGTAACCTTAACATTTGTACCCCCATAATACGCTAAAATAAAAAATAAATAAATAAATAAATAAATAAATGTATTTGTGTATATATCTTCTGGAAGCAAGAGGCTATTCCTACTTCTTTGTGTCCATCTGCAGTTAGTGATAGAAATTTGCTCATGATCCTTGATTTTAAAGAACTTATGGTATATTTAAGGAAATAAGACATGCTCATGTCAAGTAACTCAAGAATTCAACACCACAAAGCAACTATACAAAAGAATTTATTTGTGGCATAACAATAAGTGACAAATTAGTGGTATAGAAAATAATGGTTTTGTTTATGATATAAAATTGAAACTCCTGGGATGAACAATAGCACCTTCTATGTGCCAGGCTTTCTTTTATGGGTTTTATGTCCCATAATCACATTCAGTCCTTCCTCACACCAATACATCATCACACAGCTGAGGAAATGGAGCCTCAGCAAATTAAGTAACATGGCCAAGAGTACACACCCAGGGAGTGCCAAAGCCAGCGTTAGAACCAGTTTCTGGTGACTAAAAACTAGGCTTTTTCCATTCTTCAGCTATTCCTCTAAAATCTTTTGTGGAGCTTTTCAGCACCCTCTGCATCTAAACAAAATGAAGATTTTCCTAGGTGCCTTATCTCTGGCTTCTGGACTTTCTACCCTTGTTTACAGCCACATGCTGCTGGTCAGAAGCAAAATGCCTGCTTGTTAGTGAGATGAATTCTGTTATCAAACCAAACATCTTTTCCTTTCTTCTTCAGCCTACTTCTGAAAACAGTTAAATAGTCTCTTACTTTGTTTGCTAGTTGTTTTCTTGTTTTTTGGGGGTTTTTTTGGTAATATTCAAAGTACATATCATCTAAGAAAGGTTGGGTTTTTTTGTTTGTTTTGAGGGTTTTGTGTTTATTTTTTATTTGTTTGTTTTAGTTACTTCATATAACTCCTTTTAATTCTTCCTCTGAGGTAGAAAAATTGGCTTAATATGCAAATTTGATTAACATTTCTTAGTTAACTTTTAACTTTTCTTATTCTTGTTAAATTTAGAAGCATGAACCGCTATCGAAGAGCTTGGATTCAAGCATGAATTAAACACCAAAAGCCTAACTATAATAGCAGTAATAATATTTACTGCGCAGTAACTGTGTGCCAAGCCCTGTTCTCTGCACTCTCCACATACTAACTCATTCAATTCTCACAACAAACTATTGTTGTTTCCCTTTTATAGATGAGGCAACTAAGCTACAGAGAAATTAGTTAATTTGCCAAAGATCACACGGCAAATGGGATAGTCAGAATGTGGGCCCCAAGATTGCATTCCAGATCCCATATACTTAACAACTCTGCAGATAAGAGCCAAGAAACTGACATGATTATATGAAACAAAATTGAAAATGGATGTGTTTTTTTACAACCCCTGACATAAAGTATCACATTTTAAAAGAGTAAGCATTGCCCTTGTGGTGAGGCAGACCTAGGTTTGAGTCTCACCCACAGTCTTACTAGATGTATAATTCTGGACAAGTTTCTAATCTGAGTTTCCTTCTTCATAAACTGGAGATAATAGTCATTGCCTGAAATAGTTGGGAAGATTAATGCCAGATCAGCAACCATTAACTATTTGGAAACATTCTTGTTACAGGGTTATTATCACCACTAAGAATAACAACTATTATCCCACCCCTATGGTGACCAGTAGTGTTATGAAATGTTTGAATAATTCTAAATAATAATATGTAAATATCTCTACTATATAAATAACTAGTATTAATAATTACTAACTTGATGACCAACAAAGTTTGAAATGCTTTATCACCTCATCTCATTTAATCCACAAACATTCCCAAGAATATACTAGAGTTGGCTCCATTTTGCACATGAGAAAACAATAGCACAAAATGCTCAAGTCCCCCTGCCATCAGTGTAGCCAGGATTTGAACTCAGGTACCTTAACTCCAGAGCTCACACTCTCAACCACCACATTATAGGACAGTATTTCTTATTTCACATTCCTGGTGGAAAGCAATGATAAAAACCTAAAATAATGATCAGCATGTGTTTCTCTCTTAAGTAGTGGTTTCTGCCTATCATAAAGAGGTAAGAAGGTGATCATCACATGCTTACAATAGCCCTAGACATTTGAGTCAAAACTCATTCTCACATCCATGCAGATTCTTCAGTCAAACATTGTGTTCCTTTTAGGTAGTATAGCTCAAGTTTAGAAAATTTCCAGCAATTAAAATATGCATTATATAATTTACAGCACTATAGCTGTGGGTTGGGCTTTCCAGAAGCAAACACTGGGGTGGAGTTTGGAGTGCAAGATCTTTATCAGGTGCACCATCTGTGAAAGGAAGGGTGAGCAAGCAGTCATGAATGGGCAGAGGAAGGAGCTGAACTGCGGTGCAAACATAGCAAAGCTGTGGTCAACTAGCGGGAAGCTCAGGAGCAAGTACACCTGTCCTTATTGTCCCAAGTCTGGTAGAATTGTTAAACTCTTCTAAATTTAGACACAGCTACTGGAGAAGGATGTGAGTCAGATGAAGCATCTCTCTACAGCTGAGGCTGATGCTGAAAGAGCTGAAAGCTGGCATCCGTTTGCTGACTGTGCACCCCAGAACTTAGAAGCAAGTCCTTTGTTGAAGGGGGATCTGGGCCATATACGTCCATGCCTGTCACATCTACACACAAACCCACATACACACTCCTGGGAGTTTAGAGCTTCGCTAGCGTCATAGTCCATTCAGGCTGCTATAACAAAGTGCCATAGACTGGGTAATTTGTAAACAACAGAAATGTATTTCTCAAAGTTCTCAAGGATGGAAATCCAAGATTAGGGTGCCAGTGTGGTCCTGTCTGGTCAGCACCCTCTTCTAGGTTGCAGACTGCCAAGTTCTCATTTTGTCCTCACATGGTGGAAAGAGAATGTGAGAGCTCTTTGGAGGTCTTCTATAAGGGCACTAATTCTGTTGATGACGGCTTCTCCCGTATGACCTAATCACCTCCCAAAGCCCCCATCTCCCAATTCTGTCACCATGGGGGTTAGGATTTCAACATAGACATTTTGGCAGACACAAACATTCAGTTCATAGCAGCTTGTCAGAGATTTAGCTACAGTATAAAATGGCCTGATTGTTCTTTCAGATTGAAGGACTTGCCAGGATTAGTTGAATTGTTTCCATGATTACTACTCTAGTCCTTATAATTAAAGCTCTTTGGTAGTGTTTTGCCCCCTTAGCATAAAGGCTGAAGTTCTTAATGTCTTAAAGTTCTCCCCAACTTGGTCACTAGCTTCCTAGCTAATCTCCTCCCATCCCCGCCCTCCCTGGGGTCCTTTGTCTAGCACATGCTTCACTCATGTGCACCATTGCAACTCTGCACCAACACATCAAGTGTGAGCTCAGTATCAACTCCTCAGACAGGAAGTCGGACAGGTCAGGACCCTTACTACAGACAACAGCAGCCCCATAAATGTCCCCCTCAGTAATTTCTTTAATGACTCTTCTTTTTATGGTCTATAACCTCTTAGAGAATAAGAATGAAACTTGCATTTTGTTCATCATTGTATCTCCAGTACCTATCACTGTACACAACACATAGTCAGCACTCCATAAATTTGTGTTCAACTGGATTGCATTGGAATAGCCCTGGAACATACTGGGCTGACAAAAGTGGCTACCTTTGTCTTTCTGTCTTGAGTGATACAGCTAATTTTCCTTCTTGGACCTTCTATCTATTTTTCACAATAATACCCTCCACCTGAACAGAAGAGATTATGGGTTAAAATTGATAATTAAACTAACAGACTACAGTAGTCTTTCATCTACCACTATATTTATTCAGCTTTAGGGAAGCATAGAAGACAGGAAATACAGCAAGATCAGGACACCATCCTTATCCAACTGAGTGATCCAGCAGCAACCCATGTACATAGCTTTGTGTACCCCTCAGCTTACATAGGCATGCGTGGCAACTGCAGACAGGAGCACATGCATGTGAGGATCAACTTGACACAGAGACACTGAGTCCTCTCTCCCCCACCAATTCTCAAGTACGGTTCTGATGACTGTAGACCTGAAACCTGCAGGCCATCTTGTAGCTCACCTCATCCAGAGTAGTCCTGCGGAGCAGGGGTTTCACAACAAGGCAGCCACAGCATGCCATATCTATCATTACTTTGCAGTTTCCAAGCAAACAGGGCCTATGGTTATTTTCTGGGTCAACCCAGTCCACATATTAACTCTTGATTTACAAATATGCCCTTACTTGTTGAGTGACCTTGTGCAAGTTTCTTAACTTCTCCAAGCCAAAATTTCCTCATCTGTAAAATGGGGGTACCACTACCTGACTCCCGGGATTGTTGTAAAGGTTAGATCAGGTGAGTGAGATAAAACTTTCACTTGTAAATAAATAACCAGGATTTTGATGATGCCATCTTTGTATTCAATGGGCATAAAAATGAGCACTTGGAATTAACCATCTGTCCAAATGATTATGCTCTGCCTTTACGTATTCAGGTTATGACAACTCGGGAAGACAAAGTGATCATTGTTGAAAAGAAAGATGGTACTCGGATAGTGGATCATGCTGATGGTACCAGAATTACAACCTTTTATCAAGTTTATGAAGATCATATTATTCCTCCAGATTATCAAGACATAAGTAAGTTTTATTTTTCCAGTACATGACAGTATTTTATAACTCTTAAGCAAATGGTAGATAGAATCTTCACTGATTGCTAAACACACACATAAGAAGAATTTTTAAGCTGGGTGTGGTGGCTCACATTTGTAATTCTAGCACTCCTTGGGAGGCCAAAGTGGGAGGATTTGCTTGAGCTCAAGAGTTCAAGACCAGCCTGAGCAAGAGCAAGATCCCATCTCTCATAAAAATGGAAAAAATTAGCCAGATGTGGTGGCACATGCCTGTAGTCCCAGCTACTTGGGAGGCTGAGGCAGAAAGATTACTTGAGCCCAGGAGTTTGAGGTTGCTGCGAGCTAGGCTGACGCCACTGCACTCTAGTCCTGGTGACAGAGGGAGACACTGTCTCAAAAAAAAAAAAAAAAAACCAAGAATTTTTTATGAAGTCAGCCAACCAAACCAACCAAAGAACACTCATGCAATCCAAAGTAGGGCCTTAAGGAACATTTGTTATTGTTATTATCATCATCAGTTTGCTATTTGTCTTGTTTATAATTTAATTATTTCAATTAATAAAAAATTGGATATATTTATCATGAAAATGAGGTTTTGTAACACATATATATGCTGTGGAATGACTCAATCATGTTAATTAACTTATGCATTACCTCACACACATTATTTTTAGTGGTGAGAATGACGCGGAAAATGTCGGGTGCCGGGAGATGGCCATTTGCCGCCTCCCTGTAGCTCCACATCTCCGCGGGCCAGTGCTGCGCATGGACAGTTGGAGGGCATGCTGCTGGGGCCCGGCCCGTGGCAGAGAGCCACCTGGAGCCCCGCATGCTGCTCGGACCCTGTGTGCCGGGTGCCGCCCTGGACACCGTGTGCCGGAATGCCCCCAGCCCACGTGCGGCTGCCTGTTTCCGGCCACACTGCTTGTGTGATTCTGATTGGGTAATTTTTGAATCCCACTGTTTTTGATTGGATGTTAAAGCTTGTGGTTGATTGGATGTTAAAGCTTATAGTTGATTGGACACTTTTTGAGCCCTACCAAGGGTATAAATGCAGGAGCAGAGGGAGCAGAAGGGTAAGAACATCGGAAGACACAAAGAGAGCTGTAACACTAGGTGTGCTGAGCCTGCTGGGAAGGAATAAAGGCTGTTCTCCGATTCTTCATGTGCCACTCGGTTCTTTGCCCGGTCAAACGAATAAGCTGTAACAAGAGATGTAACACTAGCTGTACACACTGCTGCAACAAGAATGCTTAAATCTGTCTTCTTAGTAATTTTTAAAATATATTATTCTATATTATAGTCACCATGTGGTGCTACAGATCTCTTGAACTTATTCCTCTTATCTAATTGATATTTTGTATCCTTTGACCAACATCTCCTCCACCCCCAATGCCTGAAGCCCCTGGTAGCCACCATTCTATTCTCTACTTCTATGAATTCAACTTGTTTAGATTCCACATGAGTGAGATTGTACAGTATTTGTCTTGCTGTGCCTGGCTTATTTCACTTAACATAATGAACCTCCAGGTTCATCCATGTTGTTGCAAATGACAGGATTTCCTTCATTTTTAAGGCTGAATAATATTCTACTGCATATATTTACCACATTTTCTTTATCCATTTTTCCACTGATGGACACATAGATTGATTCCAAGTCTTGGCTGTTGTTAATCATGCTGCAATGAATATGGGAATGCAGTAGGACTTTTTATTATGATATTTATCCTTAATAGGGAGGAGAGTGATCGCAGCTCTAGTTGGTTCCTGGATGGTACCACTAGAGATTCATGATCCTGACTGGTGGCAACTAAAATCTAATAATCATGATTCATCTGTCCTGGATATTAGCTCTCACACCTGTTTCTTTAATCTTCAAGGCATGTAATTTGCACAAGTAGGTAAACTCAGATAGGTCTTTCTTCAAGTCTGAGCATGTCTCTCATTGTTAGAAAAGTGATGTAAGAGAAAAGGAAGCTACAGCTGCTGGAACTTGCTCAAAGAATTTAAAAGCCTACTGCTCTTCCTAACCTAAATTTAAACAATATTTCTAAAGACAAATTATTCCCTGACTCCTTTTTCCTTCATGTCAAAGTTTTCTTTATTGTACATATTTAGGTTGTGCCACATGATGTTGTGATATCCATATATATAGTGAAATGATTACTAAAGTCAAGTAAACTAGCATGTCCACCACTGCACATAGTTACTTAAAATCTACACTCTTAGAAAATTTTCATTATACAATATTATTGACTGTAGTCTTCATGTGGTACATTAGATCCCTAGACTTATTCATCTTACATAATTACAATTTTATACCCTTTGACCTATATTTCCCATGCCCCCATAAAATCATGCATATCATATTATGATGTACTAACTTTATTTTTACTTATATAAAGAGAGACATTCTTAGACATTTGTACAAGGAAACAGGTACAGGGGTGCTACTTGCAATGCTGAGTAAAATATTAAAATATTGGGAAAACATATATGTCCATCAATGGCAGAATACAAAAGTAAAATGTGGCATATTCCTATAAAGGAATACTATATAATGGTTAATAGAAATCACACACACATGTAAATATATCTAGACACACATATATCTTAAGGTGACTAGAGGTCTTGAAACATGCAAGTGTAGAGTGATAGAATACAGTAATTATACAATTATATAATGACATAAGGTCATGTGTAATTTATATAAATTTAAAGCCAAAAAGATTATATATTGTTCTTGTTACATATATTTTATAAAACCATAAAAATGGATTGCAGGAGAGAAATAAACCCAAGCATAAGGAGAAGCTTCAACTTGATCTATAACCTTTCTCTTATATACATATTAAAAATATTGAAGCAAATATGGCAAAATAGTAACTAGCATAAATTTTGACTGATGAATACATGAATGATTAAATTATATTTTATGCTTTTTAATTTTTCAAATTGAAAAATCAGATGTTTTCAATTTCTCCAAATAAAAAGAGTAGTAATAAGGCAGTATACTAAATTAAGCAGGAAGATTTACCCTGAAAGCATTATTCTGAATTGACAAGGAGAGTAGGCCATATTTCAGCCCTGTGGAGTTCTCAGCACTGAGCCTCTCCTTTCCAATTGTATTTTTTCCATGGGGAATCTAGATAGCCAGGAGGCAGCAGTGCAATCAACAGGCTGGGGTCTGTTTATCAATGTATGCATCCTATCAGATCTGCTCACCTTGTGTTTACTTCCAAGGTCCTCAGACTTTCACCAGGCAGGTAAAGTGTATGCGGATAGAAAACTCAAACTATGCCACTATTATCACCAACTGTGAGGACACTAGCTGCTGTGCCACCTTTGGGGATGGAACGTCTATTATTGCAAAACCACAGGGAACATACCAGGTAAGTCTAGGAGGAAAGTAAGAAGTGTCAAAGATAAGTGTCCATTTGGCTAAGAAACCTCACTCCTTTGGAGGGGTGAAAATACCTGCAATACATATTACTTTTGCTTTCTTTTCTCGCCTGATCTTAGAATATACTTCTCAAACTCTTAATTACTCATCTTTTTTTTATAGTCCATCCCAGAAAAAACATTCCCCTCTTTATTTTACAAAGTTTTGGATAAAGGTTATAAACTAAAATGTGTTTGTTGAGGATCTCTTATGTGCTAGGCATGGTGGGTGTTAGAAGCACTTAGATGATCTTGTTCTGTGCCTACCAGGCTAGCTTCACCTCCTGCCACCTGGACCCTCATTCTTCTTCTCCATGCCTCCGATTTTCAGTCATCCCTCCTCTACTTAATGTTGCAGCAGAACAGGAGGGAGCACATGGTCTGTGTAGTCCTTGAAGGACAGTTTTCCCAGCTGAAGCAAAGTCTTGTCCTTGGAAGTTTAAGGAAGAGCACTGTTAGCACCTCTTCCCACCTCCCTGCATTTCCTTAATAAACACAGCTACCCTGTGTCAGCCTGCAGTCCCTGTAATCTTGGAAGGGTTTGCCTTCACTTTTTCACTTGCTGGAGAAGAGACATAAGACCCAAGATATCACATACAATGTCATGACATACTAAGAGCTCAAAGCCAGAAGATGATGGACAAAAATCTCACAAACATTTGTTATTGTGAAAGTTGCTGAAGCCAGTTTATTCCTCTCATCTCGCCTGATAATGCTATCCTTCTCCTTCTTTATTGTAGATTATTATGGGGCAAGAAAAGTGCGCTGCAAGTGAGAGATGAAAGAAAACATAGGTGCAAGTTTTCATGTCCGTAGATTATGCAATGGTTTCCTAGATATGATATGAAATGCACAAGCTTTATCAAAATCAGAAAAAGTTTGTGATTCAAAAGATACCACCAAGAAAGTGAAAAGATAAACTATAGAATAAAAGATATTGTTTGAAAATCATATAGCTGCTAATGCTCTTGTATACAGAATATATAAAGTATTCCTACAATTCAATTAAAAGACTAGTAACCGAATTTAAAAATGAGCAAAAGATTTGAATTTTTTCTAAAGAAGATATATATATATCTATATATAGATAGATATAGATATAGATATCTATATCTATCTATATATAGATATATATGGCAAATAAGCCATGAAAAGATGCTCAACATCATTAGTCATTAGGGAGATGCATATCAAACAACAATGAGATACCACTTCACACCCACTATTTGACTGTAATCAAAAAGACAGACAATCACAGTGTTGACAAGGATGTGAAGAAATTGAAACCCTCATACATCGCTGGTGAGAATTTGTAATCATGCAGTTGCTTTAGAAAACAGTTTGGCAGTTCCTCAAAAAGTGAACATAGTTGTCATATGATCCAGGAATTCCACTCCTAAATATATAGCCAAGAGAAATTAAAATATACATCTACACAAAAACTGGTAAACAATATTAATTGCAGCATTTTTAATAACAGCAAAATTGAAAACTCAAAGGTATTATCAACTCATGAGTGGATAAGCAAAATGTGATAAAGCCATACGATAGAATATTATTTATCCACAAAAGTGAATGCAATACTGATATATGCTACAACATGAATGAACCTTGAAAACATTATGCTAACTGAAAGAAGCCAGAAAAAGGCCACATAGTACATGCTCCCATTATATGAAACGTCTAGAATAGATAACTCTACAGAGATAGTAGATTAGTGTTTGCCAAGGCCCAGGGGCAAAGGTGAGATAGACTGACTGCTAATGGGATCTGGGTTTCTTTTGGAGGTGATAAAAATGTTCTGGAAGTTCTATAAGTTGTTTCACATACTAAAAACTACTAAATTATACATTTTAAAGGGTGGATTTATGGTATATGAATTATATTTCAGAAAAGAGTCGCTCTGAACCAGAAGCCATTACATAAAAGCTATTACTTAAGGATTATGCCAGCCCCCAGAGGAGTGAGGACAAATAATAGCTTCTAAGAGCATTTATCCCATGGCTTTTGACCCTTTTGGAGATTTTTCTTATCCAAGAACACAAAGGAACCCAAACATTTTTGATAGGACTACTTATGTTTACCTTGGTTAAAATATACTAAATATTGGAAATAAGAGCACTCAAGACAATTACTTAGAAGACATATTAAAGTGAGTGGGTAAAATGTGAGGGCACAAGAGAAATCATGTCTTAATCATTCAGTTTGCCTCCTTATCAAGTAGTCCTTCCCAAACCTTGAGCCTTTTCTTGGGTAATGGTTTCTTCCTGGAAAGACAGTTTGTGACTAGGATCTATCTATGAATATTCTTTTTCTTAAAATGATTTCCCAAGTCTGCCAAATTGAACAAGAACATTTTTAAAATGTCTCTCTTTCTGTTACCCTTTCAGGTGTTACCTCCAAACACAGGCTCTCTTCACATTGATAGAGATTGTTCCGCTATATATTGCCATGAATCAAGCAGTGATATATACCATCCTTTCCAAAAGCGTGAGCAGCTGAGAGCCAGCAAGTACATCATGAAGCACACTTCAGAGGTTGTCTGTGAGGTTCTGGATCCTGAGGGAAACACTTTTCAGGTAAAGTTCATCTTTAGTATTTAGAGAGAGCCTGTGACTTTGCTTTTGAGATATTTCACACCAAACAGCTTCCATGTAGATTTTTACCTTAGTTGCCTTGGGATTAGTTACCCACTTACTGCCAATACCTTGGGCAAGCAGCGATGATTGTCAATATATATATATTTTTTATTCTTAAGTGTAATTCCATAGGGGATGGCATAGTAGAAATGTTAAAGCCAAATAAATAATTAGAACAGAAAGGAAGAAACATTAGCAGACATCTAAAAATAATGCCAATAAAAAGAATAGTATGAGAATGGTCTATACCCAGGTTAAAGTGGGAGCAAACACAAGGCAGCAGGTAAGTTTGTTTGAGTAGGCAGAGAGTCCGTGGTGAGAAATACCTGGTAGAGTAGAAGTGGGAAGGTGGGAAGTCTGGAGAAATACTGTTCTATGGTAGCTACTCTATCTTCTGGTTCTCTGTCTTTAAACACCACAACTATTCCCTTACCTATAGGCTGGACATTGGCTAACCATGGCCACTTGTTCATAGATGGCCCATGACCTAAAAATGGTTTTGTACATTTTTAAATGATTTTTCAAAAACAAAAGAAGAACAACATTTCATGACACATAAAATCATAGGAAATTCAAATTTCAGTGTTATTATATAAGGTCTTGCTGGAACACAGCCATATTCATTTGTATATATACTGTCTGTGGCTACTTTTGCATAATAATGCCAGACTTGAGTAGTTGCAACAGAGAATGTATGGTCTGAAAACTCTAAAATATTTACTATGTGGCCCTTGACAAAAACAGATTTGCCAACTGCCAACTATAAGCAATTATATATATTTTCACTTTCACCCAACAGTGGAATTCTGTCCATTGGCTCATGAGTATGAAGTTATTTTTTACATTTGGTGTCATACCACAGAATTCCTAACTTGTTTTCGTCTGCAGACAGACCCCGATCTAGCTTATTTTCTCTTTGCCAAGTAACTGAGATTTCACAGCATGAGTTCAAGCTGACAAATTTCAACTTACGACAAATTGAAGTAGAAATTTAAAGCTCAAAACCATCTAGGGTGAAATGCCTGGGTTGTCTAGGCCAAGCATTTTTCCAGGCATTGATACTTCTTCTGGGCATTGTCTTGCAGCCTGAACCACTCTCCTGCCTAGAGAGAGCCTTGCCATATTTGGACAGTATAAAGGGCTAGAGCGTTTTTTCTCATATTGATACTAAATCTGTTTCCCTGTGTATTCTATCGACGATTCTTAAGTCTGTGCTTAGAATCTGAGAGTATAATCCTCTTCCATGGATGGTGCTTTCACTATTTCAAGACACCTGTGACATGAGTACCTGTTCCTCCATATTTAAATTACCAATTCCTTGAACTAATTCTCATAATATAAGGTTTTGAGTTTCCTCCCTTGAACGTTTGTTTTCCCATTCTCAGTGTGGCTTATAAGTAGAGTTGTGCTGCTTTTTACTTTTATTAATGCAATCTATGCTTAGCGAACAATACCTTCCCGATAAGCATCTCTGATTTTCTGAGTATACCAAAAGATCACCTGCTTCCTCAAATTGGATCAGCAGAAATGTAAGCATTATAGGTTTTTTTTTTCTTTGAATTGCTTATATACTTTGTCCCTTAGGTCATGGCTGATGGTAGTTCATCAACAATATTACCTGATGAAAAAATGGAAGATGATTTAAATGTAAAAAATGAGGGCTATGATAGTTTATCATACATTCACCTTCAAAAGAATCATCAGCAAATCTATGGTGAACATGTCCCCAGGTAAAATGATAATAATACCATGACTTTTACTTTCAATTCTAAGTTCAAGAAGCATTTTAACTGAATATTTCAAATGATTACATTTTTATTTCTTTAAATAGGTTTTTTGTCATCTATGCTGATGGATCAGGAGTGGAACTTCTTCGAGACAGTGACATAGAAGAATACTTATCATTGGCATATGGAGAATCAACTACTCTTGTTCTCCAGGAACCAGTGCAGGAACAGCCAGGTAAGAACCCACACTGTCTGGAATGCTTTGTGTCCCTTCACCAACTCTCATCCTTCTTACTATCCAATCCACCCTCATGTTACCTTCTCTACTTTTTCTACCTTGCTCACTTTTCTACTCTACTTTCCACCTGCTCATGTTGACCTATGTATATAACTACTTGAATTTTTGTACATATCAAGAGATATCTGAGCATTAACCTATGTTTTGCATGTATCCCTCTCCTACCTATAAGCATATATTTATCTGTGTTTAGGAATGTACCAAAGGTTCTTTTTTATGAACTTAGTTCATTTTGGTAAGAAAATCCAAAGACTAGTGAGATACCTCTTGTAAGTTCATTTTTGTCATTTTGAAGAATTGATGAAATTGAATACAATAAGAAAGTACATTTGATATGTGAGTTATAATGCTAACCTGAAATATATGATGTTATATAAGCTATATTCATTGGGTATTTATGTCATTTTCATCAATTTCAAAGAAATTGGTGCATGGCTAAAGGTTAGAGATACATACTGCATTAAATAAGAGTTATCAACATATGTAATATGTCTATTTAAATATAGATAAACACCTACATGTTCTCTATGTACAAAACCTATGTACTATGCCTAAGTTTATGTATGTATTTCTTTTTATTTTTTCTCTGTTTTAGAGGGTATATTTTGTGTACATTTATGAATATGCCTGTATCTCTGTGTCCTCATATCTTTTAGGGTATATGTATGATTTAATATAGCATGCTCTTTGTGAATATACTGAGTTGGGGGCTCTAACTAGCTACACAGTGCATGTGTGGAACTGTGTGAGAATAAGAATTCATCTCAAATTGCTTTGTTAGTCAGTCACTTAACTAACATCTACTTGGCAACCACCATGTGACAAACACTGGCTGGGCTAAGAATTAGGAATACAATGATGAGCTAAAACAGGAATGGACCCTGCTTCCATGGAGCTTACAGTTTAATGGTAGAGACAGGTGTTAATTATATAGCTGCCCAAATAACTGTATGATTATAAATTGGGATGAGGTCTATGAAGGAAAGGAGCATGGTTCTATGAGAGAATCTAATAGAGGAGCCTGATGTAGCTTAGAAGACTTCCCTGAAGACACTTGAGCCAAGAGCTAGTGGATAGGTAGGGGTTAATTAAGGTAAGGAGGAGAGCTTTCTCAGAAAAGAAAACATAAAGAAGGAAGCATAAAGCATTGGAGAAGGGGGGGAAATGGTGAAAGTAGCTGAAGCACAGAGGGGGAAAATGGTGCAAGTTGAGGCAGGGGCAATAAAATGTTAAGGACTCAGTTTTATCTCATGAGAATGGGATGTCAAGAAAGAGTTTTAATTGTGGATTAACATATCAGTCACCCTGACTGCAGAGGGAGATTCATTTACAGAGTACACATGGGTAGAAATGCCATTTGTTCCTATAGTCTAGAACAGGATCTTTCTGAGGCACATGATCTAATGTAGGGTCCATGGAGAGAGAAGATGCAGATGAACTCAAGAAATTTTAATGTGTTTTGCTATTTCCTAAGTTAAAAAATAAAATAAATTAATTAATTTAAAAACATTTATTGGTAGAGCTGACAGGACTTGGGTATGGTTGTTGAGGGACAGAGAGGTGTCAATGAATACTTCTAGGTGATCTAAACCAAGTCTCTAGTTGCTACAGTGACTAAAAACCTCATCTTTCTTGTTAGATTGTAAGGTCCTTAAGCATACTCACTGTGTCTTGCTTAACTTTCATGTAGAAGGCAATTCAAAAAGTGTTTGTTGAATTTAAGGAATGCACATTGAATTTCTCAGAATAATTTTGATGGGTGAATGGTCTTCTGATAACTCTTTTTGAACCAGGTACCCTGAGCATCACGGTCCTTCGCCCTTTTCATGAAGCATCACCATGGCTAACGAAGAAGGAATTAGATACAATTGTTCCTCCTAATCTCCGTTCAAGGTCATGGGAAACATTTCCTGCAGTTGAGGTATACATTTTCTGCTGAAAAGTCACTTTATTTCATATGCATCTATCAATGGACTGGAGTCCCAGGTCTTCCCCCATGTATTCATATATTTTCATCCTTATTTAAATTGTTAATGGGCTCAAGGAGTTTTATGTTTGAATATCCTAACATTTGTAGATGTGGCAGTAACATTTGAGAGTAATATTCCTGGCTAGCTAATTCAGTTTTATTTCTTTTATCCTATATTGCAGGCTTGAACATCTTCCTATAATATGATAATATCCTTTACAAGTAACCCAGGTTACACCTCTCCCATCATGGAATTCCTGATATGATGCCATATGGAAATCTTCACCCCTATCATTTCTTATCTGTTAGTTTTAACACATAATTTTAGATCCTTCCCTCCCCCTTCACATATTAAAAATGCACAAACTGAGCATATAAGAATAATGTGAAAGATTACGTATGGATTTGCAATTGTAATGTTAGAAAGTAAACATCGTAATTATGTCTGATTAGAGAAGCCCCTCCTAAAGTTTTTTTAAAGAATGAAAGAAAATATCTTGGGCAAGAATCATGAAGTCCTGCATCTTGCCAGATTTGCCATTTTATTTTGCAAGCAATTTATATAGTATGTCAAGCATATTGTAAGATGTTAAATTATTAAATCAATGAAGATATGGATAATGAGATCATAGAGAGATACTAATGTTAAGCAAAGAGGATAATGTTTTTGAGTTATGATGATTTTTGCTGCCCTACACTAAATCTTGTAATAGCAAGAGCACAGATGATGAATACTTAAGATAACAAAGACCTTCTATCCCTGTGGTTTAATTTGGTGGCTGTAATCTACATGATGAGATGGAGGTGACTTCTAGTCCTGGTTCTACCACTTACTAATGTGTATTAGAGACAAGTCACACTGTATCTCCATTTCCTTCTCTGAAAATGAGGAGATCACACCATTGTGACCACATGGCTCACTAAGGCTATATCCAAGTTGAAAGTACTACATGATGACAAAGGCTATGCCACATCTAAGATTAATGAAGGAATTTTATTCTCTTCCTCTGAAACTCTTATGTTATGAACCACACCTGACAGGAGTGGCCAGCCCCAACAAGCCCCTGCATGGTTGTCACTGGCCGTGCCTTTTAAAATTGAAGCACGTCAGGCACACTTCAGGACATAAGTCATCAAAGCACATCATTCCTGAAAATCAATTACAAATATAACATAGAGATGTAAGTTCATTCTAAGACAGACATTTCTGCCCCCAAGATCCTGAGAAGATTCTGGAGGCATGCTTAATCCAGAATGAGCTCAAAGGCAGTCTAGATCTATAGAATGATTTGGGGATTTTTAAAATATCCAGATTCTTGGTAACACACGGAAAGAGGAAAGCTTGCTCAATTTTATTGTCAGTTTTCCTTACATTTGCAGAACATTATAAGGCTAAGTATCCTTTGTTTCACCATTGTATCCCTAACAGGTGCTTCCTGATATAGCTATCCACATAATAAGTATTGAGTAAAATAATAAATAAATAAAATAAAATAAATCAAACATTCTTATTTCTTTGGTGGTACTTTTGCTTTGTTTTGTTAACAGAGAAAAACTCCAGGACCTCCATTTGGCACTCAGATTTGGAAGGGCCTTTGCATTGGGACCCAGCAGCTAGTGAATGCCCCAGCACCTATACTCAAGGGTCCCAAGGTGCTACAGATGCGCCAGTTCATTCAGCACGAGGTCATAAAGGATGAGGTGAAACTGGGGCTGCAGGTTTCCCTTAAGGTAATGGAATGCAGATAACCTGACCCAAAAGAATCAGAAACAGGGCAATTGTTGCTCTTGGTTTTCTGAGGAACTTGAAATTACATAATTCTACCAATATTTATCTAGTGCAGCACAAGAATGTCAATATTCCAGAGAGTAGAAGATTGAGAGGTAGAAAATACTCAATGGTTCCCATAAGGTATAGAAATTTTTTTAGCATATGCACAGGCATAAAGGTATAGAAATTAAAGAGTCCCCAAAGACACTGAGAATGTAAGAAACTTTTATATGTGATTGCTATATGGAGTCCTCCATCTTTCTCGCTATATAGAAAACTGGTCTAGTGACTGCTAGAAAAAGAATCACACATTAACCTAATACGTGTCTATAGATGAAAAGGATTGTTGGCTTTGGAAGTGGCCTAAGAATTTGTAAATATGTAGTAATTGTGTGAGCATATCTGATAATGTCTCACTCTAGTTTGTTAACTCCCTTAGAACAGGGATTTTATGTATTTTGTTTATGGTTATATACTCGGCACCTGACATAGAGAAAGGGATCATTATTTACGAAGATGGATCAAATACTTATGGAAAAAATTAAGTATATTTCTCTTGGAAGCAAAGGCATGGACTAGGCAAATTTCATTCACAGGTAAAAATAATAAAGACTATGCCTGAAAGGATCCTAGAAATCATCTAACCCAACTCTGTCCATTTTATTGATGAGGACACTGAAGCACAGAGTTAGTAGCAGGGACTCTCCAAGGCCCCCATATAGTTCTATCCTATGGCCCCTAATGCTTTGCTTTCAGACTTTTCAGGCCTTTGTATATTAACATGTTAAGGAAAAGGCTTTCTGGATTGCTTGACTCATTGATTGTTGAGCATTGTGAATTTGTATATTCTTAATCAATATTTCAAGTTGATGTTGACTATTTTGGTGTCTCTACCTTATTCCCTGTTTTAATCGATTTATTTTATTCTGCTGATCTAGAATTATATAAACCATATTCTAAAGAAAGAAGAGGAGTTACAGGAAATGACAGTTAAAGATTCCAGAACAGAGGAGGAGAGGGGCAATGCTGCTGATCTCCTCAAGCTGGTTATGGTGAGAAAATGGTTTCTGTATGTGTTGTTACTATTGTTTCAATATGAGATACTTTACAAAATATTATAAAGAATAGCTGTTTCTTCAAAGCATTTGCTCCCTCATCATAATTTCTAATATCTGTGGAAATCTGCATTTCTTTATATATTGAATTTTCTAAATATTAATTCCTTTTAGGCTCTTCCTTTGATCAAAAATAATTTTGAAGGCCCTTAAATAAAAATTTTTATTGTTTTCAGAAGAGATTGTTATTCATTGAAATGCTGGGTGAATTAATGAATGAAATAGGAAGAAGAGGAATTTCTACAACTTAAAATGATTTCCATTTTTAGAAATTTGTTACATGAAAGGAAGGACTTAAAAATCAATTTTATATTGGTATTAAAAATCTATTTCGGGCCAGGTGCGGTGGCTCACGCCTGTAATCCTAGCACTCTGGGAGGCCGAGGCCTGTGGATTGCTCAAGGTCAGGAGTTCAAAACCAGCCTGAGCAAGAGCGAGACACCGTCTCTACTATAAATAGAAAGAGATTAATTGGCCAACTAATATATAGAGAAAAAATTAGCCGGGCATGGTGGCGCATGCCTGTAGTCCCAGCTACTAGGGAGGCTGAGGCAGGAGGATTGCTTGAGCCCAGCCAGGAGTTTGAGGTTGCTGTGAGCTAGGCTGACCCCACGGCACTCACTCTAGCCTGGGCAACAAAGTGAGACTCTGTCTCAAAAAAAAAAAAAAAAAACTATTTCATTTTATAGTAATCCTTACAAAAGATCAATTTGAACATATAAAGAATGCTTCTAAACAAACTGAGTTTTGTATATAATATAATCATCATCATTAAGTAATTCTATCTTCATTTCAGTCTTTCCCTAAAATGGAGGAAACTACAAAAAGTCATGTTACTGAAGGTAACTAGCATTTAATATTTTTTTGTAATATATTTACAAATTTCAAAGGAATGATCTTAAATACACTTTGTAGTCATTCTCTTATCTGATAACAAAGCACCAAGTTCTGTCACTCTGTTCTTGTACTGGCCATGTTGTGTTGTAATGGTTTATTCTGCCTGTATTATTCTGCCTGAGTTATGAGATCCTTGAAAACTGTGATTGCCTTGAATTCATCTTGAACTTTTTTATCTGTTGAGTGAAAAATGTTGACATTTGACTTTTATGTTAACCTCAACTATTTAGAGCATAGCTAAGATGTGGGAAGGAAACAGTCAACCAACAAACAACCCCCCCACCACACACACACACAGAACTTTGGGCAACTACAAAGTTAGCACCAAAAAACCTTGCATTGACTTATACTATGTGTAGCACAAGCAGTTCACTCTTAGACCTCATTCAAAGAGTATTCATTTGGTATATACACAGCCCCAACAAACATGGTTATGTGGTTTCACAGTTCACAACAAACATGCAGTATGGAATTTGGTGGGGTTTTGTTTTATTTTATTTTATGTTATTTGCCATATGCCAAAGGTCATAAACTGGCAACCAGGGCTTCATTGAGCCCACAGGATGTATTTTGTGTATCTTCCACAATGTTTGCTCGTATAGTTGTTTTTGTTGCTGTTTGTCTAGATCTTTCTTCTCTTGAAACGTCACATTACCACACAGTGGCATTTGGCTGAAGGTAATTAGCATCTGTCCCTTTAGAATGACTATCACAGAAGAACCCATCACAACCCCCAATGTCTCTCTGTCCTTACAGTCTTGTCACTCTTTTACCTGGGCAGTTCCTGTGGTAGGATTGTCAAATTTAGTGAATAAAAATACAGAAGTCTCAGTTAAATTTGAATTTTAGATAAACAACATGGATATTTGACCCCTCCAAATCTCATGCTGAAATTTGATCCCCAGTGTTGGAGATAGGGCCTAATGAGGAGGTATTTGGGTGGATCCCTCAAGAGTGGCTCAGTACCTTCCTGGAGATAGTGAGTTTTGGCTTTATTAGTTCCTGCAAGAGCTGGTTGTTAAAAAGAGCCTAGCAACTCTCCCCACCAGCCCCCACCCTTGCTTCCTCTCTCACCATGTAATCTTTGTGCACAGCGGCTCCACTTCACCTTCCACCAAGAGTGGAAGCAGCCCGAAGCCCTCCCCAGAGGTAAACAATAGAACCACACTTCTTACACAGCCTGCAGAACCGCAAGCCTAATAAACTTCTTTTCTTTATAAATTACTCAGCCTCAGGTATTCCTTTTTAGCAACACTAAACAAACTACAACAAAGTATGTCCCAAATATAGCCTGGGACATACTTACACTAGAAAATTATCTAGCTGAAATTCAAATTTAACTGGGTGCTCTATACTTTCTGGCAATCCTACCCTATAGCATTTGAATTTATAACCTCTGGCACAAGGAAATAGGCACAATAAAGGTAACCACAGAGGATGCCCAATAGTGAAATACAAACTAAATATATATTTTAAACAAACAGATTCAAGAGGTAAATAGCCTCTTCCATAGTTCCTGACATGAATAATGGTGATCCTAAGTCAACATTTCCCCAAAGTAGTTCCTAAAACACTAGTCTATGACAAGCTTCCATCAAAAAAGAGTTTTTTACTAGAATAAGTTTGGACAACGCTACATATTGTCTTAGTCTTTTAGAATCACAACGTTTATTAACTAATTAAGGAAGCAGAAAAGTCCTACAGTAATGAAATATATTCTACCTTATATAAATCAGTGTTTCCCAAGCATATAACCATGGAACATGGAAGTATTTTTTTTTTTAATCTTTTGTTGGCATCCCACTGAGACCATGTTCTGTGAATAAACTCTGAGAATCACTGCCCAAATTATCAAACAATCATTAAATATTCATGTCCTTAGATTCATGAAGCAGGTAAATATTTAGAAAAATAATTTTAATATGACAGTTAGATTTGCTATTTCAAATATGAAGAAATTCAATTAAGTGGAAAACTGCCTCCCCTAATGATCTGAGATAAATGAAGTGTCACTGCATTTTACATTTTGATTATAAATGTAATGTGTTTTCTAGTAGGACATTTTATAAAAGTAGTCTAATTTACTATTGTATTAGAACTTGGTCAGGAAAATCCTGAATAAACATTTGACAGATTAAATATAGCTCTTAAAAATCATCTCAAATAAATAATCAGGTACTTATTGTGTGTTGTTCTATTAATAAGTGGGGATAAAAGTTTAATGCATCTATGTTTAAAGTTGCAGCCCACCTAGCTGATTTATTCAAGCAATCTTTGACTGCAACTCTAAAAGTTCCACCTAACATATTTGGTAAAGATTTATTGGAAAAGAAATGGAGGTAAGCTAATTCAATAATATATTCTAATTAGTAGTAGTAATACAGTGATTGAGGAAAGAGAGAGATGCAGGTATCATAACTTTGGGTGCCAACATCAATGAATTCACAGCCCTTCATCTCCTATACTGTTAATAATCCATCATATAGTGCTGTTTTTCTTTTATTGTTTGTAAGCTGAGATCATTTCCCCTTTTCATCATACTTTCAATTCTTTCTCATAGGTACACACAATCCTCAAAGCGCTGGAGAGAAAAGATAGACGAAAAGAGGTAATTCTACCCTGAAATATACATAAGCATGTGAAAAGGCCCATAGTCATAGAATCTTAGAGTGGAAAGGGCTGAAAGGTCCTACCACCTAGGCTCTCAGCTGTTATTTGACTGTCTTCTACAATATTTATGCCACATGGTCATTCAGCTTCTGTGTGATGATGTCACTATCTCTTGTGGAAACCCCTTTGACCGTTAAATAGGTCCTCTTCCTCTCCTAAGCAAGGAAGCTCTCAATGTCTTCTCTGTGCTTCTGGTAATTCTAATATATTCATAAATATTCTGGAGCTTAATGCAGACCATGGTCATAAATTTTCAAGGATTCTTACAATTCACATGAGGAATGTGCTCTAAGTGTAGCGTGGTTTGGTTTCTTTTTAGTCCTAGCCAGGGATTTTGACTCCAGCTCTTTTACCATAAAGAAAGGAAGCTAGATATGTTTGTTGAATATGTAGTAGTACAAGTGATACTATCATACACATTTGCATAGCTCTTCTTCAAAATGACTCCAGGATTTATGCTTCTTCATAAAAATGTCAGGGTAATCTTGTGAAATGTATTAGGGAAGTGGCGGGATAAAATTTTAAGTCTTATGGGTCACCTCCCATGTACAAGGTCAAACTAGAATGGATATACTGTCTGCAGGGGAGGAAAGCTATCAAGTTTTATGTGACATAGTAGTCTTCATAAGGAAATGAAGACTCAAAAAATGGTTGAATTTGAGTATTTTTATGCTAGGTTTCATGAAGAATGGAAAGTCGTGGAGAAATATGATAGGGCAAAAGGAATATGGTCTAATAGTAATAAACTAGGAGAAATGCAGCAAGGCCTGTTTGTTCAGATTCTTCTCTGTGTCCCTGTGTCTTCAGAGATGAGGAATATAGGGAGAGCACCTCTCACATGGGGGTCTTATGCCCTGCTTCAGGGGAAGATCAGAAAATCCCTCCTAGGTTTTATGATCTGCTTGAGGGAAGAAGGGCAGTGGGAAGATCAGAGAGACCTTTCTGCACATGCCGTTTCTCTAATTCCTTCAGTTTAAAATATTCAATGTGCCAAGGTTCTATCTTTTGAGGTAGCATGTTCTGAACCACATCAGTCTCATAAAATATCGCTAAAAGCATATCCAAGAGAGCAGTAACAATGATTGCCTGTGGGGAAGGAGATTGAAAGGGCAAGGTCACAGTCAGATGGAGACTTCCATTTCTTTATCATATCTCAAAATATTAAGGGGTACAAATGTTTTAGGTTATATGCATCATTTTTGTAATGCTTGAGTCCTGGCTATAGGTGTGCCTGTCACCCAAAAAGTGTTCATAGTACCAATTAGGTTGGTTTGTTACCCTTCAAGCCCCACACTCCTGGTTGATTTCCACTGAGTTTTATTTCCCTGTGTGCACTTGTGTGCTCATTGGTTAGTTCCAATTTAATAGTGAGCACGTGTGGTGTTCCTTTTTCCATTCTTGTGATACTTCACTTGGGGCAATGGTCTCCAGTTCCATCCAGATTGTTGAAAAAGATATTAACTCCTCTTTTTTATGACTGAGTAGTATTCCATGGTGTACATATACCACATTTTATTAATCCACTCATGACCTGATGGGCAGTTGGGTTGATTCTACATCTTGGCAATTGTGAATTGTGCTGCCATAAACATTTGAATGCAGGTGTCTTTTTGATAAATTTATTTATTTTCCTTTGGGTAAATACCCAGCAGTGAAATTGCTGGATCAAATGGTAGGTCTATTTTAGTTCTTTGAGGAATCTCCATACTGTTTTTCATAGAAGTTGTACTAATTTGCAGTCCTATCAGCAGTGTATAAGCATTCCTTTCTCTCTGCATCCATGTCAGCATCTATTGTTTTTGAACTTTTTAATAAAAGCCATTCTAACTTGGATAAGATGATATCTCAATGTGGTTTTTTCATTTCCCTGATGATTAGTGATGTTGAGCATTTTTTCATATGTTCATTGGCCATTTGTCTTTCTTCTTTTGAGAAGCATCTGTTTGTATCTTTTGCCCACTTTTTAATAAGCTTGTTTTTTTTTTTTCTTGCTGATTTGCTTGAGTTCTTTGTAAATTCTGGTAATTAGCCCTTTATCAGATGCATAGTTTGAGAATATTTTCTCCCATTCTATAGGTTATCTGTTTGCTCTGTTGATTGTTTCCTTAGCTGTGCAGAAGCTTTTTAGTTTAATCAAATCTCATTTATTAATTTTTATTATTGCCATGATTGCCATTGGGGTCTTCATAAATTCTTTGCCTAGGCCAATATCTAGAAGAGTTTTTCCTACATTTTCCTGTAGAATTCTTATGGTCTTATGCTTAGATCTAAGTCTTTTATCCATCTTGAATTAATTTTTGTGAAAGGTAGGGGCCTGTTTCATTCTTCTTCATGTGGATATCCAATTTTTGCAGCACCATTTACTGAATGGGGCTTCTTTTTCCCAATGTACATTCTTGTCTGCTTTGTCAAGATCAGTTGGTTGTAGGTACATGGTTTTATGTCTGGGTTTTCAGTTCTGTTCCATTGGTCTATGTCTCTATTTTTGTACCAATACTATGCTGTTTTGATTGCTATGGCCTTGTAGTATAGTTTGAAATCTAATAATGTGATGCCTCCAGATTTATTTTTTGCTTAAGATTGCTTTGGCTATTTGGGCTCTTTTCTGGTTTCAAATGAAGTGTAGAATTACTTTTTCTGAATCTATGAAGTATGACTTTGGTAACTTCATAGGAATTAGCCGCAATTTATAAATCACTTTGGATAGTTTGTACATTTTAACAATGTTGATTCTATCTATCCATGAGCATAATGTTTTTTTCATTTGTTTTTATCCTCTACAATTTCTTTCCTCTGAGTTTCATAGTTCTCCTTGTAGAAATCTTTCACCTTCTTGGTTAAGTATATTCTTAGGTATTTTATTTTCTTTGTAGCTATTGTGAATAGTTTTGAGTATTTGATTTGACTCTTGTCTTTACTATTATTAGTATTTAGAAATAGTACTGATTTATGTACATTGGTTTTGTATCTTGAGACTTATCTGAATTTATTGATCAATTTCAGGAGACTTATCGTGGAATCTTTGGGGTTTTCTATTAACATATATAAGACTATGTCATCAGTGAAGAGTGATAGTTTGACCTCCTCTTTTCTGATTTGGATACCCTTAATGTTATCTTGCCTGATTGCCTTGGCTTCTAGCACTGTGTTGAATAGGAGTGGTGACAGTGGTCATACTTGTCTTGTTCCAGCTCTTAGGGGGAATGCTTCATCTTTTCTCTATTCAGTATGATGTTGACTGTGGGTTTGTCAGATACAGCTTTTATAATTCTGAAATATGTTCCTCTATGCCTAGTTTATTGAGGATTTTTATCATGAAAGAGTGCTGGATTTTTTTTTTAATGCTTTTTCTGTATCTAGTAAGATGATCATATGGTCTTTTTTTTTTTTTTTGCTTTTGTGTATATGGGGAATCACATTTATTGATGAGACTTCCTTCTTATTATGTACTTGAATACCTTTGGAAGTTTGTACCCGTGCATATGTTACCTATTCAAAATTTTGAAATTTTTAAAATATTAATAATTTCAAATGTTAACTTATAGGTAGATAATAGAAAGCCAGTAAGAATTTTTTAAAGAAGAAAATAAAACACACAATTAGATGTGTGTCACAGAAAAAGTGTTGGCAATGTGGAAAATGGGTTGGGTAAAGGAAGGAAAGTTTTAAGGAAATAGAAGCTGGTCACCAAATGTCAAATGCTAAGGATGAATCAGAAATTGGAATGAAAAGCAATTTGGGCTTATCAGTTAGAAGGTTGATTAATTTATTTTGTGAGAAATAGTTTTAAGAGAGTGGTGGACAATAGCCAGACTGCCATAGATTGATGAATGAATTCAGTGAGGCAGTAGATATAAGACATTTTTAATGGGAAATGAAAGTTATTTAATAAGATGATTATTTTGATCATGCCTGTCTGGTTTTTCCAGACAGTTCATCTAATATAAGAGCATTGGTCACATATCCAAAGTCTATTACAGTTTGATATATACAGACTATATGATTATATATACAGACATGTACATATGATTATATATACTGTATATATGATTATATATATAGTTTGATATATACAGACTATATGATTCTGGCTACTTGTTTCACTTCAGTAACATTTACTTTAGGAATTCAGTTGGCTTATCTATAAAATATGGAGATGAATGGACTACCAAATATCTAAGATCTCTTTTAGTTCTCACACTGGGTAACTAACAGCTGACTAGCATGTTCAGTTGTCAAGATCATGGGCTTGGAGACAAGCAACCTGGGTTTTAATTCAGTCTCCACCCCTTATTGGTTATGTGATTTGGAGTAGGTTATTTAACCTCTCTATACTTTGATTTTTTGACCTGTAAAATGAGGATAATAATAGTAACATATAGGGTTATTGTAAAATTAAATGTAAAATACTTTACAAGGCTCCAGGCATGCAATAAGCACTTAAAAGTGAAAACTATTTCAGGGAGGATTAAATTTGGCTACATTTAACAGAAAACCCCCAAATCAGTGCTTTTATAAGAAATGGGCTTATTTTTCCTAATGTAAAGGAAGTTAGGAATGGGCAATTCATGGTAGGCAGCACCACAACATCATCTGAATTCATATTCCTTCTTTTTATCTGTTCCATCATTCATAGCGTGTGATTGCCATCCTCAAGTTTACTTCATGGTTGCAAAATAATTGCTGCAGCTCTAGCCATTTCAGGAAGTAGGAAAAGAGATGAGGCAAGGACAAAAGGAAAGCCTTCCAGTGGAGTCAGCCCTCTTTAAATGTTTTCTTGGATTCTTACCCAATGACTAGAGTTTCCATCTCATTGGCCTTCCCTATATATTGCCTTCCTGGTATAGGGGTTCTGGTATTGAAAGGCAACTAGCAGGATTATCATGATTGCTTTTATTTTACTTTGTAACCACTGACCACATTATTCATACATCATCCCTTAGGTTTTTGGTTTTGGTCTTCGGTTTTGTTTTTTTGTTTTGTTTTGTTTTGTTTTGTTTTGTTTTGTTTTGTTTGTTTTTCCGTTACTACTGCTACTAAAACTATGGAATGAAGTAGACTCCAGCTATCATTTGAACCTCAGAGAATCAAAAAAGCCTCAAAAAGTTTAACCTTTATAGAGCTATGTAGTTTTTAGCATTTTGAGATCAACCATAAAATTAAATTAACACCTGGTATCATTATTTCTCATCTTAAATGAGAATTTGATTTTTGAAGTAGGAAATGTGATTGATTCTTAAAGAAGCAGAAAATTAACTGAAATAAATTGACAAAAAAATCTAACAAGTCAATTCTTACCAGTTTTACTGTTAGTGATCACATTAATTTTCTGTGGGATTTAGAGCTAAAGCACAAGCAAATAAAATTTTTAAATGTTCTATGTCTTCTTTTGCATCATTATGGCAATATCAACCAGGAAGGAAATTGAGGTAACACAAAATTATCTAATGGATATTAGAAACCGTGTAATACCACCTTATTTCAAATCTGAACTGAGCAAGTTATATCAGACTCAGGTAATTGAATATAATTAATAATAATTTTAAAGTGTCTTTGTAAAAATTTATATATTGCATATATTATGTAATCTCTCTTTCTTGATGTTGTTTAATTCTTTCTTGCATTGACTTGACTGACTAATCATCTATATCCTTCAAATCCATATTCTCACAAGCATGTGATAGGGAAGACTAACTTCAGGTTTTATACCTAAGTAGAAATTCTCTTCTATGTTACTATCATTCCCACTCCCTGACTTGTAATCTCACTATTAATTACCCTCTCTCATCTATTTTAAGCCCTTTGTTTGAGTTGAATCCTTCCTATCTATGATTAGCCTCTGATAAACCCCATTTTGAAGTTTTTATTCCATTAAAATTTCCCTACCCATCAGCTACTGAGATAGCACTAAGAGATTGTGAGTTCTTGCAAGTCCACAGAGGCAGAATGCTTTTTCCCTCTTCTATGTGAGCCTACCCTTAGGACCACAGGCTCGATGGCCTTCCCCTCTCTGGCTGTGAGTTCATTGAAACCTAGAAGCAAATTATATTTTCATGTGTTCAGAACTCCCTGCATTTCTACAAAAATTGCAGATGCTATTACTAACCAGAGGGTACTTAAGGAGAAATTACTCGAAATTACAACTAATTAACAAAAGCTAGAATTGAATTATTCAGTCTCTTGAAGAACTTTTAGTTTGTAAACTTTATTTTCAGGGCCTTAAAAAATATGCGTTCATCATTGTTCCTCAACTTATATTTGTGACAGTTGATTTGTAGCCACATGTAATTCTAAAATAAGTCTTTTGGTTTTTCCTTTAAGTCTAATTATCTGGACAGCCTTTCAAAAAAACTGCCTCCTTTAACAAAGAAAGATGAAGATGCAAACAAAACAACAGTTGAAAATGAATATGAGCTTCATCCAGGTAATATGTTAGTATAGTTCTTATTCCTGTTAAATGCTCTTAACCGAATAATACCTAAAAGCAGCCTCTTAGAACATAACAGTTATGTTCATACCCCCTTTTGTCTCAGTAATACCTGATGACATAACCTGCTGTGACCTGCTTATCACAGATTTGGCTGAGTTATATGAGGAAACCAAGGAATAAATAACATTTAGTTTTCATCCTATATGCTTAAAATTTACCTAAAAGCATTTAAAACACCTGAGTAATATAAAAAGCAAGGGAGTAATGAAAGGTTGTTGGGGAACAGGGTATTCACATGGTCTCAAAATACCATCCCACATATTACTTATTAATTATAAAGAAGAAAATGTGTTTTTACAATGGAGATATACAGCATTTTCTACCTTCACTAATTAATCAAACTTCTACCAATAGTGAGACAACCTAACATTACTTTCTGGGGTAATGCAACATGAAGTGCATAGTACCTATATATAGAATTCTTGCCAAAAATCCCTACCATGAATCTAATCAAGAGGAAACAACCAGATATATGTCCACCAGAATGTATACATTCTATAAGACAACTGGCCTGGTCTCTTCAAAAAAGTCAATGTCAATCAAAAAGGATGGGGTGATTATACTAGATTAAAAGAGACTAAAGTGTCATAAAAAAAAAAACCCACAAACTTTGATTGTATCCTGGACTGAGAATAAAAATAGCTGTAAAAGATATTTGGGGGAAACTGCACAAGTTTGATTGGGAACTATATATTAGAGGACATTGTGAAATTACTATTAGTTGCTCAGATATGACAATGTTATAAATATATAGGAGAATGTCTTCATTCTTAGTGGATGCATTCTGAAGAATTTAGGGATGAAATGAAATTTAGTGCTTCTCTTTAATAAACTGAGTAGTTAAAATACCCAAAGAGAGGAATTTTCTACTGTACAATACAGTTTCAGAAGTTCAGTTACCTATAATGAACACAGCCAATGAAAACATCTAATGACGACAATTTGCAAAGCAGAGATTAAAACTGGGAATGATGACTTGTAAATGGGATGGAGAGAAATTATGGAGGGAAAGTTGATTGTCTTGTGCTGCCACTCAGAACTCCTGCACCCTGGGCAAACAGCACTAATGAAGTTCAGCACCCCTTCCCCTTGAAAGGCGAGGCCATGGAAGTCTTTTCAGCTCAGTACTCCAGGCAGCCACAACTCCCAACCAGTTGTTCAACACATACAAGTTGAAATGTGTTTGCTTCCCCAATCCTAGATATATTTATTTAAAATCTGTTTCATTTTGCACTTATTTCTTTGATATGTTTTAATAAAGAGCTATATTTTCATATGTAATTAATGGATTTAAGATTGGAAACTTTTTTTGTTAAATCACATCTCAGTTACCATTACCAGGTAAAAGGTAGCGACAAATTACTCAGCCTCTACTTCCTAACACAACAAGGTGACAACTTTTCTATTTGGTCACAATGCCCATAAAAACAGCTGACTCTTAAGGATTGTGAATTTTGCAGGTATATACCATCCTGTTTGTTAATGGAAAACACTGCATCAAATTTGAAGAATTCCTGCCTCCTAAAGGCTCTCTTATATTTTGTCTTTCTAAAGAGGGTGGAGAAAAATCACTTTGTTCATTGTAAAACACCTTGCTCAATGTTTGTCCATACAAACATTAGTAGTTACAAATGTTTCTTTGTAGTTACAAATATAGCATTGTCAAAAATATAGCTTTATAATGTTCATTTCGGGTTTTCTAGATTCCGAACCATGTAACATTTCAAAACAGGAATCTTCACCTGTACCTAATCTTCCAAAGTCACAGATTTCTGTGGATACGAAGAAGTTCACTAGCCAGGATCAAACTGAAAATTTAACAAAACCTACCAAAGGTATGGCAGTCTTTGCTCTATCTTAGTGTTCCTCCAAACGAAACATTATGTCTTTTTGGAGTATGGGAGATGGTGCTAGGGGTTGGAGTGTAGTTAACAATTACAGAAAATTCTAGAGAATCATGGATCTTGGAGCTATGCAGCTTTGCAAGGTTTCTTAGCACATCAAAGGATCTCAAAAATATTTCAAGAATGACTACAAATCCCATATTGAAGGGAAGAAATTACAGATACCTTTCTTAGATTTATCATTTTATTTTATTTCATTACATTTCATTTTATCCTCATGGTTCTGAGAGCTCATGTGATTCATTGAAGGTGAGGCACCTGATAGCTTTTCTTGAGCAGCCAGGAATTTGGTAGTTAGATTAACATTTAACTATTATTCCAGTACTTTCTTGGTCCTACAGGTGCTGGAGAAAAGCATAAGATATAGTCTCTGTCTTACACAGCACATAATCTTATTGGACTAGCAGAAACAAATATAGAATAATATGGAATAGTATCTACTGTGTTTCCTCAAAAATAAGACCTACCCATAAAATAAGCCCTAGCAGGATTTCTAAGCATTTGCGCAATATAAGCCCTACCCCAAAATAAGACCTAGTGATGGGCGTGTCTACTCAGCGTATCTGCACAATCCATGCATTTGGTCGCAGAACGGTAAAGAAGACGAGCAGCCCTTTTCATCTGCCCCATGGTAACAGCTCCTATCCCAGAGGTGACCAGAAAGGTGTGGGCAGCCCCACCAACAAGGTCGGCTCCCCCTGTCAGGTCCCGGCCATCCTGTGCGTGCTGCAAGCTGAGGCTTTGAGGGGAAATTCTCCTCAGTGAAGTGAGGAGCGGGATGCTTTGCTTTAGGTATTGTGTGTCCCCAGGGGGAAGAAGGAAAGCTGTGGCTGCCATTTTACTCAGCACTGTGTGCCTCTCTCACCACCACCCCCAAACACCAGGGGATAGGGGAGAAGCTTCAGCAAGCAGTCTCCTACTGAGCCCAGAGGGATCATTTCTGCTCCACTTTGCAGATTGGACCCAGTGCTCACTGGATCTCTGATAAATTAGCCAGCCCTGTTCATTTAATGAGAGCTCTATTGCCCCGACATGAGATATTGGGGCCAATGGTTCTAAAGGAAATAGAGTTGCAAGAAATTCAGGGTGGAATTCGGGGTTTGAAGAGTTATGATGATGTTCCAGAAGAAGACTATATTAACTATATTTGAATAAATACAGATTGTTGTACCGTACTTAAAAAAAAATAACACATCCCCTGAAAATAAGCCATAAGATGTCTTCTTGAGGAAAAATAAATATAAGACCTTGTCTTATTTTCGGGGAAACACGGTAGTTACAATGGAGTCACATTACACTGATTTCACTGAAGTCAATTCAACTAAATATGGTTGGTCAAAAAAGATAGAGACAGAGAGAGAGAGAGAGAGAGAGAGAGAGAGAGACAGAGGCATAATAATTTAGACTGTGTAGATAATGTTGCCACCCCTTGATTCCTATGTGCATGTTCCACACTGAATGCGAGAGGGGAATCTACTGATCTTAGTTATCTCTTATAGAGCAAGTATCTTGTCACATTTATGGGTGAATTAAGAGATTTACCCTACACAAGACATTTGCCTTCCTGAAAAACTTCTCTAGTACAAGGTTTATTCATTCAGTGGATAATTGCTCAATACCCACTGTATGCCAGACATTGTTCTAGGCATGGAAATGTAACAGTTACAAGGCCAAAGTCTTATCCAGCTGTCCATTCTATGGGCAGACATAGACAATAAATAAACAAGTAATTTTGATAAATTCAGAGTATAACAAATGTTATAATAAAACAGTATAATGTATGGTGACTAACTTGGGCACCATTCCATCAGGGGATTAGAAGGCATTTCTGTGAAGGAGTATTTGAGCTGAGCTAAGTACAAGGAGTAGCCATGCAAAGATTAGGGAAAGCAATATTTCGGATAGTGAGAACAGTTAAGTATGAAGGCATTGAGGGGAAGAAACATTAAAAAGTCACATAGCTAGTACAAAATGAGCAAAGGAAAAGGTAGAGGAAGGGAAGTCTGAAGGGAAGGCAGAGATGAGATCTTTATAGGAAGTTTTGAGTTTTGTCCTAAATGAAGCTTTATTCAAACACCAGTGGAAAGTTTTGAACAGGGTATGATAGTTACATGGCTAATTGTATTTTAAAAAGATCACTCTATGAGGATAACAGCTTGTGGCACGGAAAGGGAGTAGTGGGGAAAAGCTGAAGCCTAGGACTGAGTTGGTTGAGGTGGAAGTGGTGAGATGCAAATTAATTGGAACTACATCATGGGAGTGGAGCAAATAGGCCTTGCTGGCTGGTCGGATATGGGTGTGAGAAAAAAGAACGCTCAACAAAATAGGCATAGATGGGGCTTACCTAAAAATAATACAAGCCACATATGACAAACCCACAGCCAATATCATACTGAATGGGGAAAAACATTGAAAGCATTCCCACTTAGAACTGGAACAAGACAAGGCTGCCCACTATCTCCACTTCTATTCAACATAGTGCTGTTCCTGCTACAGCAATCAGACAAGAGACCAGAATTAAGGGTGTCCAAATGGGAGCAGAAGAGATCGAACTCTCACTCTTTGCTGATGACATGATATTATACCTAGAAAACCCCAAGGATTCAACCAAGAGACTCCTTGAATTGATAAATGAATTTGGTAAAGTCTCAGGTTATAAAATCATTACATAAATCAGAAGCATTCATATACACCAACAACAGTAAAAGTGAGAACCAAATCAAAGACTCAATTCCCTTCAAAATAGCAACAAAGAAAATAAAGTACCTAGGAATATATTTAACTAAGGAGGTAAAAGACCTCTACAGGGAGAACTGTGAAACACTGAAGAAAGAAATAACAGAGGATGTAAACAGGTGGAAGAATATACCATGTTCATGGGTTGGCAGAATCAACATTGTTAAAATGTCTATACTACCCAAAGTGACATACAGAGTCAATGCAATCTCTATTAAAATACCATCATAATTTTTCACAGATATAGAAAAATAATTTTACGCTTTGTATGGAACCAGAAAAGACCCTCATATAGCAAAATCAATCCTAGGCAATAAAAACAAAATAGGAGGTATCAATTTAGCAGACTTCAAACTATACTACAAGGCTATAGTAATTAAACACCTTGGAATTGGCACAAAAACAGGGACATTGACCAGTGGAACAGAACAGGGAACCCAGATATAAAACCATCCTCATATAGCCAACTAATCTTCGACAAAGCAGACAAAAACATACACTGGGGAAAAGAAACCTTATTCAATAAATGGTGCTGGGAAAACTGGATAGCCACATGTAGAAGACTGAAACAGGACCCACACCTTTCACCTCTCACAAAAATCAACTCACACTGGATAACAGACTTGAACCTTAGGTGTGAAACTACTAGAATTCTAGAGGAAAACGTTGAAAATACTCTTCTAGACATTGGCCTAGGCAAAGAATTTATGAAGAAGACCCCAAAGGCAATCACAGCAGCAAAAAGATAAATAAATGGGACCTGATCAAATTAAAAAGCTTCTGCACAGCCAAAGAAACTATCAAGAGAGCAAACAGACAAAACAGACAACCCACAGAATGGGAGAAAATTTTCACAAGGTACACATCTGATAAACGGCTGATAACTAGAATTTATTTAGAACTCAGGAAAATCAGCAAGGAAATATCAAATAACCCTATCAAAAAGTGGGCAAAGGACATGAACAGAAATTTTTCAAAAGAAGACAGAATAATGGCCAACAAACATGAAAAAATGCTCAACATCTCTAATCATCAGGGAAATGCAAATCAAAACCACAATGAGATATCACTTATCTCTAGTAAGAATGGCCTTTATCAAAAAGTCCCCAAACAAGAAATGTTGGCGTGGATGCAGAGAGATAGGAACACTCCTACACTGTTGGTGGAACTGAAAACTAGTTCAACCTCTGTGGAAAGCAATATGGAGATACCTTAAAGTGATACAAGTAGATCTACCATTTGATCCAACAATTTCACTACTGGGCATCTACCCAAAAGATCAAATGACACTCTACAAAAAAGACACCTGCACTCGAATGTTTGTAGCAGCACAATTCAGAATTGTAAAGTTGTAGAAACAACCCAAGTGCCCATCAATACATGAGTGGATTAATAAAATGTGGTATATGTATACCATGAAGTACTATTCAGCTTTGAGAAGCAATGGTGATATAGCACCTCTTGTATTTTCCTGGATAGAGCTGGAACCCATTCTACTAAGTGAAATTTCTCAAGAATGAAAAAACAAGCACCACATGTACTCACCAGCAAATTGGTATTAACGGATCAACACCTAAGTGGACATAAAGGAATAACATTTATCGGGTGTCAGGAAGGTGGGAGGGGGGAGGACATCTCATAATGAGTGAGATGTCCAACATTTGGAGGATGGTTATGCTTGAAGCTCTGTCTCGAGGGGTAAGGGGGGCATGGGCAATATATATAACCTTAACATTTGTACCCCCATGACATGCTGAAATTAAAAAAAAAAAGAATGATTCCTAGGTTAGGTTAGGTAATTCATTGTGAGGCCAGGAATTTGTAGTTCTAAGGAGTTCATAGTGGGTGCTGATGTTGCTAGTACAGATAGGGTCATGCTTTGAGAACCACTGCCCTGAGGCAAACTCTAGACTGCAAAAGTCAGAGGAAGAGCCAGTAAGAGCAATTAAGAAGAAGCCAGTGAGGTAGGAGAAAAACAGGAACAGGAAATCACTGTTTCAAGTGTATCAAATGTTCCTGAAAGGTCAAGCAAGGTTAGGAATAAACATGGGATTGGGCAAGGCGGAAATCACTGGTGACTCTGACAAGACAGTTCCTGGGCATGGAGAGGACCAAGTGAGTGGGTGATGGATAGAAGGGCTGAAGGGATAGCAGTAGCAAGAATACATAGCTTTACCCAAGAGTTTTGCTGAAAAGACTAGAGAAATGGGATTGCAGATGAAGAGGGGTGTGTAATCAAGGGAGAGCTATTTTTCTAAAGATTGGACATACTAGAGCATGTTGATTTACAAATAATAATAATTTCATAGTAAGAGAGAACTTGATGCAGGAAAGAGGGGCATTTAATTGCAAGACAGCAAAATCCTAAAGAAAGTGAGAGAACATGGCATCTTGGGCAAACTCTGAGTGGCAGAGTTGACTTTGGATGAACATGGTTACCTCATCCATAGTAACGGACAGAAGAGAGAGATTACGGATACCTTTGCAGATAGACTGATAGATTTGGTAAGGGGAAGATGAGAGTTCCTGTCTGATTGCAAAGGAGTGGATGCTATCATTGTACCATCAAATATATTCCACATAAACAACAAAGGACAAGAAGGGAGTGACTGTGTAAGGTGGCAATGTCCATTGGCCAGAGGTCTCAGTGAGGCCACATACTGCCTGCTGGATGAGAAAGAGTGATAAACAGGAAGATGTAATCTAGATGCTTTAAACTGAGATTTTGAAAGTGGTAAAAATATTGGTTTTGGCAAACTTAAAAATATGACCATGAGAGTTTCTGAGATGGAAAAGAGGAAAAGACAAAGAAGCTGAGTGATCGAGAGTCAGAAAGGACAGTGTGTTGAAGGGATCATCCAGGTGACATCACCAGGAAAGATGAAGTAGAAGAACATCCTAGGTGTTAAAATCTCCAGTGAATAAAGGGAATGCCTGAGAGAGGTTGGCAAAAGACAACTGCTTGGAGAAGTAGTAGCTAATACAGTCTCATGGCACAAGCTTTAAAGGAACGAAGCTTTGAAGGAAGAAAAAGAAATTGTTTTGAAATAAGGACACCTACTGTATCCCCAGGTGCTCAGGTATTTGAGATAAGGGATAATAATGTGACTCACTATAAATAGCAAATTAAATTTAACATAAAAATGTTCAAAGAAGTTCAGAGTAGAAAGAGGTTAACATAAGCAGTGGGAGAAGTATGAATAAATATTAATAGAATTTCATAGATTTTAGGATTGAAGTAGTGAATCACCTAAGACAACCCTTATTTTACTTGAGTAAGTTGAAATCTAGAGAAGTTAAGTGACATCTAAAATCATACAGCAAATTTGGGACTGAGCCAGGGGTAGCAAATGAGTTTCAAGACTCCCATTTCTCTATATTTTATTATACTACACTCCAGATGTAGGAAGTAGAAAAGAGTATTTTACTTAAAATGAAAGAAGTATCTTCAAAAGCTTAAAGGTAGAAAAGAACAGGGAATTAGCCTAAGTAGTTCAGAGAGTTTTTATAACTAGAATCTATTTAGAACTTAGGAAAATCAGCAAGAAAAAAAATCAAACAACCCTATCAAAAAATGGGCAAAGGACATGAACAGAAACTTCTCAAAAGAAGACAGAATAATGGCCAACAAACATATGAAAAAATGCTCAACATCTCTAATCATCAGGGAAATGCAAATCAAAACCACAATGAGATATCACTTAACTCCAGTGAGAATGGCCTTTATCAAAAAGTCCCCAAACAATAAATGCTGGCGTGGATGTGGAGAGAGAAGAACACTCCTACACTACTGGTGGGACTGCAAACTAGTTAAACCTCTGTGGAAAACAATATGGAGATACCTCAAAGCGATATGAGTAGATCTACCATTTGATCCAGCAATTCAACTACTGGGCATCTACCCAAAAGAGCAAAAGTCACTTTATGAAAAAGACACCTGCACTCGAATGTTTATAGCAGCACAATTCACAATTGCAAAGCTATGGAAACAACCCAAGTGCCCATCAATTCATGAGTGGATTAATAAAATGTGGTATATGTATACCATGGAATACTAGTCAGCTTTAAGAAACAATGGTGATATAGCACCTCTTGTATATTCCTGGATAGAGCTGGAACCCATTCTACTAAGTGAAGTATCTCAAGAATGGAAAAACCAGCACCACATGGACTCACTAACAAATTGGTATTAACGGATCAACACCTAAGTGGACATATAGGAGTAACATTTATCGGGTGTCAGGAGGGTGGGAGGGGGGAGGAGGGAGTATATACAACCACGAGTAAGATGTGCAACGTTTGGAGGATGGACATGCTTGAAGCTCTTACTCGAGGGGAGATGGGGGCATGGGCAATATAAGTAACCTTAACACTTGACCCCCATAATATGCTAAAATAAAAATATAAATAAAATAAAAATAATATATTGTCTGTAAAATACAGAGAAGGTTTGGATTTGCAAAATAAAATGTTTCTTTTTTTCACTGTAATAATACTGCATGAAAACACCCTCAAATCCTTCAGTGGCTTAAAACAGCCAGTTTGTGGGCATGTGAACATCTCTGCCCCAGAAGGTAGGGTAGGTGTGCTAGAGTCAGCTTGCTCCCCAGCTCCTGAGAGCTGAGTGTGGCATCTCTTTCCAACTGCACATCTTGTGACATCACCTTGATAGCTTGAATCAGCCATGGCGAGCAATCAGAAAATGCTATAAATGAGCAAATGGTACAAACCAGGGCAGTTTTTCCAGGGAGAGGCAATTGTTGACTATTTCCACCTCCTGGCAGGGCTGGGGAACCTGCAGCCTTGGGGCCACAGGTGGACCTCCGGATCCCCGAGTGCGGCCCTTCGACCAAATCCAAACTCCACGGAACAAATCTCTTTATTAAAAGGATTTGTTCTGTAAAATTTGGATTCAGTCAAAAGGCCTCACTCAAGGGTCCAGAAGGCCACATGTGGCCCCAAGGCTGCAGGTTCCCCACTGGGGCGAGCCATTCTTACAACAGAGACTCAAAGCTCAAGAGCTGAGGGGAAACACATGCTGCTTCTCACAGCTTCTGCTCAAACTGGCGTGCCGCCATTCACACACACACACCTCTTGTCAAAGCAAGTCCTGTGGCTGAGCTCAAAGTCAATGGGGCAGAGAAATATATTCTACCTACAGGGAAGCCATACTCAGAGGGGAAGTGAATAATTGTGAGTAAATAATCCAGCCTGCTCAGCACAGTAACAGGGACCCACTGCAGGGTCTTCAGTCAGGCAGGTCTGCAGTAATAGATGGCAGGCACTAGCAGGACCATACCAGTTGTTCAAATATCAAAGTGCCTCTGTATCAGCTGCTGTCCAGTCATGCTCTGAGCACCTCAACTATTCCCTCCCCTATCTTCCCAAGCCCTGAGACGTCCTGGGTAGCTCAGTGGATTAATAACCTGTTTTATGGGCTGCAGTATGGTATAGACAGAACTAAGAGTATAGGCTCTACCTGGATTCACACCATGGCTCCTTATGTGCTAACTGTGTGATGTTGGGCACGTTATTTAAACCCTCTGTCGCTTCTTATTTCTTCTTCTGTAAAGGGGAAATGATGGTAAATACCTCACTGGGTTGGAAGAATTAAGTTCATCAATATAAGTGAAATACTTCAAGCAGTGCCTGGCACATCATAAACTGTATACCAGTAGTTACTATTAAGAATAATAGTATGAGCAATTAGGCCGGACATAGTGGCTCACACCTGTAATCCCAGCACTTTGAGAGGCCAAGGCAGGAAAATTACTTGAGGCTAGGAGTTGAAGATCAGCCTAGGCAACATAGCGAGACCCTATATCTACAAAATATACAAAAATTAGGCAGGCACAGTAGCATGCACCTGAGACTGAGGCAGATGGATTGCTTGAGCCCAGGAGTTTGAGGTTGCTGTGAGCTATGATGATGCCATTGCACTTTAGCCAGGCAACAGAGTAAGACCCTGACTTAAAAAAAAAAAAGAATAGTACAAGCAATTAATTACTACCCATTAAACTGATAAAATGCAGTGATACATGTATGGTAAGAATATGAACAAAAAGATATATAAAGCCTTTAGAACCATTGTCTATGCAGGGAATAGTGACTAAAGGGAATAAATACATTAAAACACTGATGCCCAAGGTCCATTCCCAGAGATTCTGATTGTTGTGGTAGGGAATAGGGCTCATCTGGCATGTGGCCTGGGAATCTGTTTTTCCAGAAGCAACCCATGGTACTGTGATGTACAGATGGGTCTGGGACGCACTGGGTCATAGAGGGGCATGTTCCTTGTGGAACTCAACATGCTTGAGTTCACATTCCAGCCCTGCCACTTATCACAGTTTCTTGGACAAGTTATTTAATCCTCTGAACTTCCATTTCTTCATCACTAAAAAAGATACTACTACCATACAGCTGGGACTTTTCAGTTTATAATTGTGAGAACTAAAACTCAAACTCACTTGAACAACAACAAAAAAATGAAAATGTATTGGTGCTCAAGAGCAAAACACAGAAAAATAGCTATTGTGCTAGCTCGCGGATGTTTGGATTCCTGCACTGCAGCTTTCCAGGAGTACATTTGTTTCTGCCTGTTTGTCTCCACATCCTCCCTGCCTCCACTTTGCCCCATCCCTACATGTCTCTGTTTGGTTTTATCCTGTCCCACAAAGGACAGGCTATTTCCACATGGCAGGGATCATGACCATAGAGACTTCAGGTTCTGATTCTTCCAGATACACAACATAGCTACACAAGATAGGGTTACCACTACCAGCTTCAGCAGAAATATCCAGGAAGGGCCCTCATTGGCTTGGCTTTGCTCCTGATGGATGGGATCAGGGATGCCGTGGCACCGGAATATGTGGTAGGAGTATGCGTGGAGACGGGGGATGGGAGGAGTGCTGAGCATATCAAGTGTACTCGCCGTAGCCCTATAATTTTATGAGAACTAAGGGAGATGCTGTATGTGAAAACATGTGTGGTGCTTACTTGCAGATAGTGGACACTCAAATATTGGTTCCCTTCCTTTTCTTTTCTTTGTGATTTGAATGCAGGAAAGGATTTTTAAATATGGTGATCTAAAATATAATTCTTATTTCAACCCCTTGGCTATTGAAACAAATAAATCAGCTGCTGCTCTGTGGATTATCTATACTTGCCCACTCCTCGTGTAACCGAAGAAAATAACAAATTACCATATTTAGTGATCTGTGGATTTAATTCCCTGGCTTAATGTATTTGTAGTTACTACACTGCTTTTTAAAACTATAAATATAGTAATAGAAATATAGTAGCAAAGAAATTCTTAAGATTTTGCACTCATTAGTCTTGAGAAATCTTTCAGAGTCGATGTTTTATTGTATTGTATTTTGTAGATTTAGTGGAAAGAACCCTGAAAACTTAGGTATAATTCAGTTCATCATAGGCAGGCCGCTTAACTTTTTAGAAATGTATTTTTCTCATTTATTTAAAAAAAACTGGTGCTAACATCATCTGCCCTGCCCATCTTCTAGGGTTGTTGTGAGGACCAACATTAGGGTATATATGTAAAATTGATTTGTAAGATGTAAAAGATATAAAGTGAGAATTAACAGAAAGCCTTTGTTTCTCTAAATAAACTATTTAGAAAGTAAAGAAGAAAAGTTTCCAGGCTGGTTTATGTTCTTACATACTCTGGTATTATCTCAAATGTCTTTGAATAAAATATCCATGTGGCATAAATTTTTTCCTTTGATCTATGAAATGTAGTTTATTAATATTAATCAATTTTCTAATGTTATATTATTCTTTTTTTTTAATTTCAGAATATTATGGGGGTACAAACATTATGGTAATATGTATGGCCTTTGCCTTGCCCAAGCCTGAGCTATAAATGTGCCCTTCCGCCACACAGTGCTCTCCGCACCCATTACTTGTGACTTACCCACCCCCACCACCCCCTCCCACCTGACTGGCACCTGATTAATGTTACTTCCATGTGAGCACATTAGTGTCGATCAGTTAGTACCAATTTGTTGGCGAGTACAAGTGGTGCTTGTTTTTCCATTCTTTTGATACTTCTCCTCGAAGGCATAACTTAAGCTTTCTCTCTAACAGAACCAGAACCAGAACCAGAACCAGAACCAGAACCAGAACGTTGTGTGCCTGTGACCATTCCAACCCTGTCATTGCTGCAGGATGTTGCAGGGCAAGTAAGAAAACAAAAAGTGAAGTTGCCTTATTATTTGACGAGTTCCAAGCCCAAGTCTCAACCTCTCAAAAAGGTAAAACAGACATGGGAACAGGTTTCCCAGAGCCAGTCAGCACTTTATGTAATTCTGACTCCCTGAGGTTATTAGTTCCAGCCACTGTACTGCTCTTTACCATGTCTGCTGTCTCCCCGCGAGGGCCATTGAGTCATACACATAAACTAAGGCAGTGCTTTGCTGGAGCCTGCTCACACAGGCTCATGGGAGACACTTTATGAGCCAATTGTTGAACCACTGATAGCTTGAAATCAGCCATACTGGGAGGACTTGCACCACAAAATTGGTAAATGCTACTAATCAAAATTCTTTTCAAGGAACCAGTGTACCAGCACACTACTTACTTCACTGACCACCATTCTCATGGCTCACAGGATAAAATACAATACTTAACATAAGTACAGGGCATGGCTCCGTTTGCTTCTTTACCTTCACCTTGACTCAATTCAGCTGTTTCTCTTCATTCTTTAAGAGCACCAAGCTCCTTTCTTGCTCAGAGGCTCAAAGATTAAGATTCCATCTAGCTCTATTAGGAAACTTTACAAGCCTATCAGTCAAGTTTTGATTACTATCTTGTTTTTCTTTCACGGCACACTGTGTTCAAGTCCATCATAGAATGTATTGCTATGTGTATAACTGATTTGTGATTGTAGTGCTTCTCAAACTTTAATGTGCATATGAATTACCTAGGGATCTTCTTAAAATACAGATTCTGACTCACTAGGTCTGTTGGGAGCCCTGAGACTATACAGTTCTAACCAACTCCCAGGTAATGTCAGTGCTGCCTCTGGGGAATAATAAGAGCATAAAGTAAAGGTTCTGAAACTGTGGTTATCTGGCCAGCAGCATTGGCAACACTGAGAACTTGTGATAAATGCAAATTCTTGAGTGCCACCCCAGACCTACAGAATGAAAAATTCTGGGGGTAGAGTCAGCACTCTCTATCTTAATGAGTCCTTCAGGAGATTCTGATGAAAGCTAAACTTTGATAACCACTGGCCACATTTCAGAATTAGGCTACCTTGAGTTTGAAATTTTGTTCTGCCATTTACCACTTAAGCAAATTATCTTTCTTCCAATTCTCTGAACTTGAGCTTCTTTATCCTTAAAACAAAGCCTAAAATACTTTCTCACAGGGTTGTTGTAAGGATTATAAGAGACTGTAAATATTCATTTTCTTCCCCAACCAACCAGTTATTTTCCTCTGGTGACAGGAACTTTTTCTTATCTTGGGAACTCAAAACCATTTTATTTTATTAATTTTTCCTTAATGCAAAGGTGCAAGATTCTGTTGGAGGAAAAGTGAATACATCCTCTATTGCATCTGCTGCCATTAATAATGCACACTCATCCCCGTTTGGGTTCCATCTTCTCCCATCATCAGTGAAGTTTGGAGTGCTTAAAGAAGGACACACCTATGCAACTGTTATAAAGCTCAAGAATATTGGCGTGGACTTCTGCAGGTGAGGCCAAGGCACAAGATGTCTGCTAAGATTACGTTTCTCTACTCTGCAACTTGTCTTTGGCCACCTACATCAGTGAATGTTTATTGAACTGAACTGTAATTATACCTTAAATCTTCACAACACTCATTTAATCATTTACACACTAACTTATCCATTAATTAATTTATTCATTCTTCCACAAATCAGTGTTTACTGAGCCCTAGTTATACAGTAGGTACTTCCTTGCCCTCCCATTATTCATACTTTGATAAAGGCAACTCATGTCCTGGTCTACACTAGCAAAAAACAAGGGGAGGGTGGTACAAGTGCTACCATAACTAATACATAAAATTTGAAAGTCTCTTTCTCAAATTCACCAACTATAATAATACCAGCTGATGTTTGTTTGCATTTTATCATCTGAAAATGATCATAAAATTTAATTATTGCTGCATAATTGAGGCAAAGACCTTAGAGACTAATATAAAAAAAGAAACTGAGGGCATAGTGCTCACACCTGTAATTTTAGCACTTTGGGAGGCTGAGGCAGGAGGATTGCTTCAGGCCAGGAGTTAAGACCAGTCTAGGAAATATGGCAAACCTTGTCTCTACAAAAAATAAAAAAAAAATAAAAATTAGCTGGGTATAGTGGTGTGTGCCCATATTCCCAGTTACTTAGGAGGCTGAGGCAGGAGGATTGCATGAGCCCAGGAGTTTGAGGTGGCAGTGAGCTATGATGATGCCACTGCACTCTAACCTGAATGACAAAGTAAGACCCTGTCCCCCATCAAAAACAAATGGGGGGGGGGGCGGAAGAGGGAAAATTGAATGTCTTGTTTCTTGTTTTAAGTCTTGTAGAAGACAGTGAGGCTAGACCTCAGATCTCCTCAGTACCGCCATATGGCAGAGGTACCTCACTTTATTAACACAGGTGTGGTCTCCAGTTTCATGTGAGATTTCATTCCTTTCCATTGGGTCAATATACCATATATCTATACCAAGACCATTCCCAATTACAAAATGTCCACTATTTTATTTTGAATTAAACATAGGCATAAGGTGGGTTCTTTTCCCCATAAAAATGGAATAAATGTTTATTTCAATTGTAGAGTTATTCTCAGTGTAAGTGGCAAGACTTGCAAGAATGTTTGTGATTCTAAGCCAGGCATAGTGGGATTGTGGAGTCAGGATTGGAAATCAGATGGATCAAAATGATAGGAGCATCCAAGAATGTTTGTGATTCTAAGCCAGGCATAGTGGGATTGTGGACTCAGGATTGGAAATCAGATGGATCAAAATGATAGGAGCATCCAATTTGAAAGATCTCTGTCTCATTTTTTAGCTGAGGCAAATCCCTAACTTCAGGAATAATGTTTCTTTCCTCAGAAAAAACCTGAGGGACTCAGGCCATCAGATCATACATTATTGTTTTTTAGGTTGTTGCCAACAAAGTGGGTGGGGAGAAATAGAGAGTCAATCTAATAAATCTCACTCATGCGGATCCTGTCTCTCCAGCATAGATTTTTGGTTTTAGAGATTTCACCCCTCAGCTTGTTAAAGAGTTTTAGTTTTAAAGATTTCACCCCTCAGCTTGTTAAATTCAGCCACGACAGGGCAGACAGGAAAGTTGATGGTGGAAGGAGTAGGGTTGGGGGCAGAATGGAGGTAGGCTTTCCTTGGCATTTTAATTTACTCCAGGTCTTTAACCTTCAGGCGGAACCCACAAACCACAGGAAGGGAAAGAGATCAATAAGCACCATGTGTGAGCACAGAGCTTTTCAAGTTCTTCGACATTTTCTGAGCCCTTTCTGTTTCTCCTTTCCTCAAGCACGCAAGCCCCATACCAAGACAGAGTGAGGCTGGCTCCCATGCTCCACTGCTTTCCAAAAGAGCCTTTATTCTTCAGCTTAATGATCTGGCTGCCAGCATTTGCGTTCACGCTGGCGGCTACGCTGAAATGCACACACAAGCCAAACACTCGCACTGCCCAGGCCTGGGCTGCTCGTCAGCAACCAGTAACGAAGGGTTGAACTCAGGTTGGAGTCTGTTTTACGCTGATGAAAACTGTTGGAAAGGCAGTTGTGAAACGGGCCCCAGATTCTTCTCCCAATTGAATATTAAAGTTGTTTTTCTAATGATATGGACTCCTGGCTCCTGTGTAGCAAATATTAACACCTCCATGATTTTATAACATCCCAGCTCATTCATTGCTTATGTTTTTCATTATGGCATAAATTTATTTTCATCTTTCTGCCTGGTAGGTTTAGAGTGAAGCAGCCCCCACCCAGCACAGGACTGAAAGTCACTTACAAACCTGGGCCTGTAAGTCCTATGTGTTTTCTGTTGTGTGTGCACAAGTAAATGTGTATGTTCCCAGTAAAGTGGGTTTTTAAATCATTCTGCCCATTCAGTTTGAACTATGTATAAGTCTAATTCTTCTGGTATTATGAGCAAAAGCTTCCTGATATTGGTACAATAGGTGGCTTGATGCCACTTACTTCACAGAGTAACCACGAGACAGATCCTATGTGTAAACAGAGTTAAACTTCCAGCTATGGAGACATTTCTGAAGTTCACCTCATTTGTCCCACTAGTACAGTTATGTACTGTTGTATGAAAACTACCTTTTTAAAAATTAAATCCTTATGCAAAGTGAAAAATCTTTTGGAAAAATAATTATTCCATTCTTTATATTTTATGTTAATCTGGTTTGCTTCCTTAGTATTTGCTAGGAAATATTATTTAATGCCATATTAAGAAATAATAGTATAATTAAATTCATCAGCTGCCTCATTTCTTCAAAGATCTCTGAAAATACAAATTTAAAAATGTCAACCTGTTCTGACTTTATTAGATACATGCACAAAAATTGGGTGTTTAGTAAAATATATATTAATAGTATATTCCATTTATTTTAAATTATAATTTCAGAAATAAAGTATGATATAAACAAAAGTAAACTCAAAATATAGTAAAATCACACTGGTAAGTCTTGATCAGTGCATCATTTGGCTGCTTTAACACCCCTTTTATTTCACTCAGCAAACTTTTGAGTTCCTCCCATATGCCACTGACAGTGCCAGGGTACAGAGGATGTTAGAAATGAGTAAGACACATAAGGAGTTTACAGAGCCAGGCACATAGCAGGTACTCAAGAGATGTGTGAGTGACAGAATGAGTGAGGAAATTTCATGGAAACATAACCCAGTGAACAAGGGGAAGCAGTCCTGTGACAGGCACCCAGTGCTCCCTGAGTCTGAAGCTGTCAAAGCAGGCACAATCGTTATATGCTCACACCAAAGGGGCATTCTGGTATAGTGCAAAGTCAGTTGGCTTCCTGTTGAGATTACACCACCAAATAATTCAGCGATATTGGTAGTTAATGCTCTGAGCCTTGTTTTTCTCATCTGTAAAGAGGGAGTTTAGACCAGATGATTTCTTAGCCCCCTCTAGCTCTAATATTTTATAATCTATAGAAAAAGTAGTACACAGGCTGAAACTCCAAACAGAAATACATTTTGGGATTAAATCTACTAATTTATGAGAACTTCTCTGAAATAATTCATCACTGTCCTGTCAAGATTTCCGATCCTTCACAACATAAGGCAAAAGACAAAAATCAAAGCAAACCCTTCTTCCATTATTCTGGGAAGTAAGCAAAGCTCATCTTAAATTAAAGTAGGGATTATGCCAAAAGGCAAAATGACTGTTGGATCAACCTTTATAGGTACTAAAAATCCAGCATGTATTCTTTGAAGCTCACTCTATACTGTAAGTTTTTTTAGTTTTTTTTTTTTTTTTAGTTTTTGATGGTAGGTTTTGGCTCTGACAAAAAATATAATCTGTAGATTTCTCCATATGTAAATCTAACCACTGTTCAGCTTGGTTAGTTGCCAATGCTAAATGAATATGCTCAAAGCCTGGGTAAACCTGTATGATGGCAGTATTCCAGATTTCATCATTACCCAGCCTTGCTCTGTTTGTTGGGCTTGGAGGACTAAGGGTCTGATTCTCAGAAAAGAGCTATTGGACACTCTCCAGTATGCATACGTTCACAAGCACATTGTTGAAAAAATTGAAACATTTTTCAATTATATTATTTATAAAACTATATTGAAGAAAAAATTCCATTTGTATCTAATTGCTTTCCATGTGGTAGTTTTGGACTTTTTTTTTTTTTTCCAGATAACTGTTCCCAAGTCTGCTTTTTAACCCACCTCCTGGAGAGGCAACTTAGAAACATAAACAGCTCTTTCTTTCCTGGCTAGTGTTCTTTTCAAGGAACAAGGCAAGAAGCCCATGCCTTGCTGTGTTCCTTCTTCATTATAGATCAGGTTTCTTCTTTGTTGGTACAAGCCTCTTCCATAAGCTTTCAGACCTAAGCAGTTTGGCATTTAAACTAATTTTGTCTCCCTCTACTGGCTTTATCACTTTACGCATCCTGCATTAGGAATAGACCAAGGAGCAGGGCAGGGAAGTTATGGGATTCAACAGTCTCTTAGATTAATTTTAAGATTAAATTTATATTTAATCAGTAGGAATTCACTGTTGACATTCAAAAAGGAGCAAATTTCAGAAATTTGCCTCCAGTGACACTTCCAATACATTGGCATTTAATTTCCTTATGCTCTTTCCCAAATAGCACCTGGGTTGCCCCTTCAACAACATATCCTGGGTCCCATTTACTTAATGAAATTCTACCTATGAAGTAATTCTGCTAAATGCTTATGACAGCTACCATTTATTAGTGCTAAATTTATAAATGAGAAAACCAAAAGTAAGGGAGTTTAAGTAACTTGCTCAAATTAGTGTTGAAGTCAAGGTTGAACTCAAGATATGTCTGATCCTAAAGCTACCTTGCGTCTTATAGGTGGCACCTGGTTTGCAGGCAGAACTGAATGTGGAGTTATTTGCCATGGCTGTCGGAGAAGAGGGTGCCAAGGGAGTGACACACATCTCTCACAATATTGAGATTATGACTGAGCATGATGTTCTGTTCTTACCTGTGGAAGCAAATATCCTTTAAAATTCAAGTAATATATAGTGCAGAAATTTCATGAGTGAGGAAAAATGGAAGTCAAAATGCATCTCTGTATCTTCATTAATTCTATCTTTAAAATCATAGAGTTTCTTAAGACAGAGAAAGTCGTCATTCATCTTTGAAAGCATCTAGCCAAATCTAAAAAGTACCTAACACATAGTGCATGTGTAGTAACTGCAAATTAAATAAATGTCAATATTTTTGGCTATTTATAGGATATCAAACAAACAGAATAATAGAAAAGCAAATCTGTCATCAAAACAATGTGTAATCTTGTGGGGGGATAGGAAATACCTTCTTATAATATAAACATTGGGTATTCACTGAAGTATGCATGCATTCCTTTATATCAGTGTGTGTAGCCATACAGATATCAAGTATCTATTATCTGCAGGCTACTGTATGAAGTATTTTATCATATATAAAAAAGGAAAATTGGACTCTGTCAAAAGAGACATTATGTAATATAGTAGTGGGAATAAAGTCTTCGCATTTGAGTCCTGTACTATTTTATACTTCTCCAATGATGTAAATCATATATATACTGCTTGTGTTACAGTTTTCTATTTGATATTAGATCTGAATCTTACAAAATGTGAAAACTTTTGATGAAGGGGCACTTTAAGTACAAAGAATAAACAAAACCATGGCAATAGCAAAGCTCCAGGAGTTTAGGAGGTTAGCAGGGAGTTCAACCTGCTGAGAGCTTAAGAAGTATTAGGAAGTATAGTGGAAAAGTGGGTTGGAGTCAAGTTATGGAAAATAATCTTCAGCTTTGACTTTATTATTTAAGCAACAGTGAACCATTACAGATTTCTGATCCAGTAAGTGATCAGCATATCTTTATACAAATAAATATAGTGTTATTGTACAGAATATGCAGAAGAACTGGATCTGGATGTTTAAAAGAACTGTTGGAAGTCTACTTCAATAGGCCAAGTGTAAGGACAAAAAGAACTATAGGGTGGCAACAGTCAACATGAAAGAAGAACATGGATAAAAGATACAGTGGGGGGATTGCAAAATCTGAGGTAGGAAGGAAGTAAGAGGACATACAAGTTCAACTCAAAGGTTTAGGGCTCAGGTAATGAATCATGGATATGCAGGATTGAATCTCAGTTGAGAAGTCAGAGTTGGAGATACAAATTTAAGTATCCTCTACACAGAGATGATGATTGAAGGTATGGGAAAGAAGCAGAAAGATGGGATCTGTTAGGGAGCAGGAAGAAGAAGAGGAGCTGCTGGGTGTGATGGCCCATACCTGTAATCCCAGCAACTCAAGAGGCTGAGGTAGGAGGATCACTGGGAGGCTAGGAATTTGAGACCAGCCTGGGTGATATAGTGAGATCCTGTCTCAAAAAAAAAAAAAAAATTAAACAAAGAGGAACCAATGGAGATAGAGCCAGCAATTAGAAAGCCATAGACAGAATTTCAAGGAAAAGGACATAGTTGACAGATGCTATAGAGATGTCAAAGAAAATTCAGATTTAAATAAGACTGCTAAATTTGGTTGGGACAAAAACTATTAATAAATTGAAAAAGATGACCAAATGTTTCTCTTTCAAGAAAAATTATTAAAGGAAAGAGCAAAAGAATATGGTACCTCAAGGATGCAACAGAGTAAAGGAGGGATTTCCAGTTGAGTGTAGACCTAAGTATGTTAGTAGATTGAAGAGAATGGATCAGAAGAGAAACATTAAGAATATGGATGAGTAGAAGTAATTGAAATTGCAATATCTGAAAGAGGGAAAGAGAATAAGCGAGAACAGAGCTGAAGGGTTAATCTTGGCAAAGGTGAAGGAGAAATTTAGGGGAACTTGTGTCAGATGACCTTGATTTCAAGATAAATGGAGTTGAGTTCATTTGTTTATTTATTCTTTCAAAGAGCCTCTGATAGGCACTGAGGATACAGCAATGAACAAAGGAGACAGAAATCCCCTCCTCTATTAGTTTACATTCCAGTGGGAGGTCAGACAATACACAAAATATGTAAAATATGGGCTATAATGGTGGTAAGTACAATGGAGAAAAATATAAAGTAGGAAAGGGGTATAGAGAATGTTAAGGAGGATTATAACTTAGCATAGGATGGTCAGGAAAGACTTCACTGGGAATGCAATTTCTCTATATGTATTTTTGGAATAATGATGACAGGATTCTTCCATTGTGATAGGACACTAAACAAGGAACTAGGTTTTTTTTTCCCCTCTGGGAATTAAACCAAGCCCCTTACCCTCTTCACACAGGTTATTAGATGTTGATCCAGAGTACCTGAATCACTGCTGCTGATCATGGCAACAAAACCATTTGCATTTATGCTAAAACGTTTTCTAATTCCTTGCTTATAAAGACTACCTGTCAGTTAAGCACAGATAAATGGAGACAAGAGTCTTATTAGATCTTTTAACTACTTCCAGCATCAACAATGATAGTTTATAGCCCACTTCCCAAGATCCATCCCTCTTTTTGCTGGAACAAAAAGGATGAGATCTGATGTGGATGTGGTCTGGGGCTGGTCATAGTGACGGCTACTTATAGAGAGCCAATCACAATTAGGAGAGAAATGTACACCATGGAAAACAGAAGACATTCTAAGGCATTGTGCTATCCATTCTCTAATCCCTAAGCCTGACCATGTAGAATTTGCACTAGACAGAAGAGGACCTAAAATTGAACTAATGTTGGTAGAGAAGAGAGTCTACAAGTCTAAAATGTCATTTGGGTTTATATGTACAAATCATTTAGCCACAAAAAGCATAATCCTTAACCCATATCTTACCAGTTTTAACAAGCAGCAATTATGATGAGCGACCAAAAGATTATCCACAGGGAAAAGAAAATCCCATGGTCCAGAGAACTTCTAAAATTGCTTCAACACTTGGAGTCTTCATGTCTCGTAAAATTTCTCCACATTAGGCCCGGTAAGTAATAAATGGGAATTTGATTGTCAGCCTTTCAAATTTGAGGCTTTAAACCTCAGGTTTGTTCCCCTATTCTTACAACCAGAAATCAATAAGCCATTTAGCCTAATTGAATGAAAATATTTGTTCCCAATAACTATAATAATTACTCTTTAATTTATGTTATCAAATCTAATTCTCATACTACCTATGAGATAGATACTATTTTTCTCACTTGATAAACAAAGAAACAGAGGCTCAGATAATCTTAAGCGGAAGAAGTTTAAAACCTAATCTATTTTAATATGATTCCAAAGTTCATTTTTTTAAGCACTGTATTCATTGTGCAGATAAAAGGTGATCTTACTTTCCAAAAAGCAGTAGCACAAGCACGAACACCAAGATGCCCTTTGGACTTGAGAATTTACAATTAAGCCAGTGGTTTTTCAAACTTTTGGACTCGGAACTCCTTTTATATTCATAAAAATCATTGAGGATCTCAAAGAGTTTTTGTATGTGGGTAATATACATCAGTATTTACCAAATTAGAAAACTGGGAAAATTGTGAAATATAAACCCAGTATATTAACATATTTAATGAAAAATAACTGTTTTCTAAAACAAAAATTTAATCACAAAAGTGGCATTGTTTTATATTTTTGCAAATCTCTTTAATGTCCAGTTTAATAGAACATAGCTGGACTCTCACATCTGCTCTGTATTCAGTCTGTCACTGTATCGTACATCACACAGCCTCTAGAAAACTCCACCTTATGCCTTATCAGAGAATAAGAGTAAAAGCCAAATAACATCCTGTATTAGTTTCCTAGTGCTGCTGTGACAAATCTGTGTTAGTTTCCTAGGGATAACAAAGTAACACAAACCAGGTGGCTTAAAACAACAGATATTTATTTTCTTACAGTTCAGAAGTTCAGAGGTCTAAAATCAGGGTGTCAGCAGGGCTGTTTCCTTCTGGAGGGGCTGAGGGATAATTTGTTCTCCGCTTCTCTCCTAACAATGCTTGGCTTTCCTTGGCTTGTAGCTATATCACTACAATCTCTGCCTCTGGTCTTTACACAGCATTCTTTCTTCTGTATTTCCCAGTGCTGCTCTCTCTCTCCTTGTAAAGATTTACTCATTGGATTTAGGGGCTACTCTAATCCTGAAAGACCTCATTTTAACTTGATTACATCTGTAAAGACTCTATTGACAAATAAGGTTACAATCACAGGTTCCATTAGATATCGATCTTGGAGGGACAAACCCAGCAGTCTGTGTTCTCGTCCCTCAAAATTCATGTTCATCCCAGGTGCAAAATACATTCCTCTATTCCAACATTCCCAAAAGTCTTAACTCATTCCAGTATTAATTCTAACCTAAAATCTCATCTAAATATCAACTCAAAAAGTTTCAAATTCTCATCATCTAAGTCAGGTTATGGGTGAGACTTTGCATATGACCCATTCTGGCCTCCTTTCTCCATCTATACACCAATGAATCTGGAAAACAAGTTGTCAGCTTCTAAAATACAATGGTTGGACCACCACAGGATAAACATTTCCATTCCAAAAGGGAGAAAGTAGAAGGAATAAAGGAGTCACAGTCTAAAGCAAGTTTGCAACCCAGCAGGAAAAATTCCATTAAGTTTCAAGGACAGAATTGTCATGTGTGGCTCATATGCTCACGGAGGTGCCACCAACCCTAGCCTCTAGACCCTCAAAGGCTCCATTAGCCCCACTGTCTGTGCCCTGTCTCAGCCTCAGCAGTTCTACCCTCTGGGCAGTCTGTTTCCTGCTTATAGAATTCCAGAAATCTGGCAGCCTTGCTTCATTTTGTACTGTCTGTCTCCTTTATTCCAAGCTTGCAGTGTCACTGCTGATATGACACCCTCCTTAATCTAGTATGACCTCATCTTAACTAAGTACTTATATTTGTAAAGACCCTGTTTCCAAGTAAGTCTCATTCACAGGATCCAGGTGGACATGTATTTTGGGGGAACTCTATTAAACCCAATTCACATCCTAATATTGTAGTCTTGGACTACACTTGGGAACCACACTGAATTAAGGCTGATTTATTTCAGTTCTCATCCATGACTTTCAGAAGTTATCCCAAACTGAGAAGTGGTAAAGTCTGTATCTATCGCTAGATAATTCTGAAAACCATGGAATAGCTTTCAAATAAAGATAATTCCTGTTGGCACCAGTGTATCTAAAGTAATTTCATGAATCTATCTAACAGAAGAAATGTCTTAAGTAATGCTGTCTTTATGCCTGTTTGTGTACATTATTGCAGAGTTAATGAGATTAAAAAGATGATGTAGTAAAATGTTTTATGTTTGCTTCAAGTACTTTATAACAACTCTGGGGCAGGCACTGTGATACTCATTTTATAGATGAAGAATCTAAAACAACTAGATTAGGTAATTTGCTCTATAGAAACTATATGAGTTACCTATTACCATTAATAAAATATCCCAAAACTTAGTGGCTTAAAATAACAAACATTTATGATTTCATAGCTTCTATGGGTCAGGAATCCAGGCACAGTTCAGTGGGGTTCTCTGACTGAACTAGGGGTGAATTTGCTTTCAAGCTCACTTTAGTTGTAGGCAGGATTCAGTTCCTTGCAAAGTGTTAGACTGAGGGCTGCAGTTCCTCACTGACTATTGTCTGGAGACCGCCCTGAGTTCCTTGCCATGTGGGCCTCTCTAGGGCAACTCACAACATGGCAGCTTGGTTCATCAGAACAAGCAAGCAAGAAGAGCCTGGAAGTGTGAGCAGGTCAGAATTCACAGTGTTTTATAATCTCATCTTGGATGAGACATACCATTTACTGTCTTCTATTCATTAGAAGCCAGTCATTAGGTCCAACCCACACTCAAGGGGAAGAGATTACATGAGGGTAGTTATTGCCAGGCCCAATATAAGGGTTGGGCTGACTGACTAGTTACGTCATGTGTGCTGTATTCTAAAAACCCATCAGGGATACTGGGATCCCAAAAAAATCTCAGAAATAAAGTAAAAGAACTTGGAATATACGGCTATATTACCATTAACACATAAACTGCCATGTGAGTTATGCTAGTTTTGAGCTGGGGGCCTCGTGAAGCATATGTAACTCACCCATCTCTTTACCTCTTACCCTTATGAACTATTTTTTCAAGTTACATATGACTAACACACAGAAAACAATAAAACATAACAAATTTTTCAGTAAATTAGGAAAGATCATTTTGTTTTCGAAGTTTTTATTCTATTTTCATAATAAACCACTGTGGCCCCAGGAAAAAATTCTTTCTTCCTAGTATGGCAGTCAATGTGTTAAGAACCTTAGTCCCAGCTGGGCGCAGTGGCTCACGCCTGTAATCCTAGCACTCTGGGAGGCTGAGGCGGGAGGATCATTTGAGCTCAGGAGTTCGAGACCAGCCTGAGCAAGAGCAAGACCCTGTCTCTACTAAAAATAGAAAAAAATTAATTGGTCAACTAGAAATATATAGAAAAAATTAGCCAGGCATGGTGGTGCATGCCTGTAGTCCAAGCTACGTGGGAGGCTGAGGCAGGAGGATTGCTTGAGCCAGGAGTTTGAGATTGCTGTGAGCTAGGCTAATGCCTCGGTACTCTAGCCTGGGCAACAGAGTGAGACTCTATCTCAAAAAAAAAAAAAAAAAAGAACCTCAGTCCCATCTCAAACTTGGGATCATAACTTGTGAGGAAAGGAAGTGGATATGTTAACTGACTGTTAATGTTATTGGTAAGGCGTCCTGTCGACAGAAGCCTATGAGTGGTTAAATTTTTTGGAAGTCAAAAGTTATTTGACTTTGTGGAATAGGGGTGGGGGTCAGTGTCCCTAACCCCCATGTTGCTCAAGGGTCAACTATATATATATATCTACACACACACACACACAAACACACAGTATATTAATTAATTACTCAGAAGCCCAGCAAGGCATCTTAGTTTGACTACTCTTTAATGAGAAACAACTATTTTATTCAGAAAAGTATAAACAGCAAATAGGATCTTCTTATATACAGATATAACAACTTACAGGAATTAAAGTTTTAAGGAGGCTGTTCTCAATAATTCTTATGGTCCTTTAACTCCAGAAGTCCAAGACACTGCATTTATGGGCAGAGAGCAATCAATTACGCACCTGATTGTCTCAATAGGTGGTAAAATATAAAGAAGTAACAAATCATCTGCCATAAACAAAATACGAAAAACTTTTGAATGTTAATTTTACTCTAATGAGACAAATACCTAATTAAAAAAATTCTTTGCTCCCTGCTAGAATATAAAGACAACACCTCCTTCAGGGCTTAAGCCTTGAGGGTGCAGAAAAAATTTTAAACTAATCATGTTTTTTAAATCCAAGAAATAGAGTCAATCCATAATCCCATGTTGCAATTCCCTAAGGCAAAACTGGGAACCACATCCTGAGATCTTCTGCAACATAATCTTCTGTTGTTATTTGGTGTTTTTAAGATGACACCAACTCTACTGGTGCTTAGTTTAAAAGTCCTTTTAAGGAATAAGTAGAAAGACACCACATTTCAGTTCTAAGTTAATGTTAAAATTAACTTCTCCCTCTTTTTCCTCTTTCTCTTCTTTTCTTCCAAGTGGCTAGTAGCATCAGCAAAAAACATAACTTCACTTTTTGCCTCACATTCTCTCTTGAGATAATCAAGACCTGCCATGTTGAAGCCGATAACATCCTGGAGAGGCATATAAAGAAGATTAAACAAACTTCTTCCCACTTCAGTTCATTATAGCAGCATATGTGAGTCAGGTGTTGCATGTGTTATTACTCATCCTTCCCTCACTAAGGATTTTTCTAGTGTTTTTTTTTTGTTGTTTTTGTTTTTTTTCTATTCCTACCAATCCAACATAAACAATCTTAAATACAGATTTATGGCTGGTCAGTATGCTGAAGACAAAGCACAGCATATTATATTACTTCTAAGTCACATACACACTAGGATTTTGCCTTATTATAATATCTCTATACAAAGACACTTACCCGGACTTGGCTGACTTTTGAGATAGTTGTTTCCTTTAATTTTTCTATCACTGGCACAAGCATTTGATTGCTAGTGATCTGTCCAAAGTGAATTCTAATAGAAAAACAAAACAGCCATGTTGCAAAAAGAGGTTCTAGCTCTACCTATTCCTTTTAGAAACAGCACATAGATACAATATCAAAACAACAACAACCAAAAATAGGTCCGTTTCATCATGTCATGGGAGTATAGGAATGCTTCTAGCAAAACAAACAAACAAAAAAAAGCAAAAGAAGTTTCTTTCCCTACTATTCAGTTCAATTTGATGACAAGTTTTAAAATACTATCCTAAATCTATAATACACTCAACTCATTTAAAAAGCTAATTCTTTCCCGAGAATTTGCCAGCTGGCCACAGATTTTGACAATATTTTATGGAAAGCTCAAAGACAGAATGACCTTTCTAAGAAATGCTAACTCAACAAAAATTTTATTAATATTTCCAATAAAACTAATAGCAAAAAAGAGAGCCTTTCATCAGAGAGTCCAACTCTGACCTAGAGTACTAAGGTATCCCTGATGACCATGCCATATCTACCTACAACCCTCTGAGATAAGAATTCACAGTGTTTCCCACAGAACCAGTGACACTGATTCAACAGCACCTATGCCACTGACGTAAAAAATTATTAATATTGTTAAATATGAATTTGTCTTTGCAACTTCACCAAAATTATGAATATGACAACAGAATAATATAAACATATCATTGTTCTTCTCTTGCTAGTATCCTGATAGAAAAATAAGGAATGGAGGGTTAGGAATCATAAAAACAAACCAATTCACCAAATAACCTATTCAATCAATTCATTAACTCTTTGGCATTAGCTGACCAGTTTCTGTCTTTATAACAATATTTGAAGGAATGTTCAATTTGTCTCTACTCCTGTTCTCTGCTATAACAGCTTGTGAATGAAGGTCAGAGAGTAGAAGACTATATTCTTAAGCCTTTATACATATATTCTTCTCAATTACATATTATCAAAAAATTCTTCATATTTAAGAACATAGCCTAATAAACATATTCTTTTTTTTTCCTTAGTTTACCTCTATATATGCCCCTATGTTTCTAGGTGCACCTGTAGAGATATGGAGAAATAAACTAATTTCCTTAAAATATTGTTATAAAGATAAACAAAACCAGTTAGCTTACTAAACAAAAAAGAAACAACAAATGAGGCAGACTGACCATTCAGTAATTGGCTTAAGACAAACTTACTAGAACCAGAGCTACTTACTATCTTAGACTGCAACCTAGAGACCTATGAATGAGTAGGCATTCCTGAGCAATGCAGTACCAATACATAGTACTCAAACAAGTGGGTCATCACTATCCTTGTTTTAAAGGCAAGACTGATTCCAAAGGATAAGAACATTTTATGTCATAAAGAGCTAAAATTCAGTCTCTGAAACTGAAACAAGATTTCTTAAGCCCAAAGTGCTGACAGCTTCAATTAAGGTACTAATGAAGCAGTTCTGCTGAATAGACATGGTGTTCTTTGGAAAAGGATGTTACCTGAGGAGAAAGAAGAGGCACCTGCATAGAAGTTCAACATCTGAGCCCAGCTGAATGAATTCGTTAAAGAGTTTAAGAATGTCTGGGACATAAGAAAAAGGCAGCACAAGCAGAGATTCTTCCAGCTCACTGAAGAAAAAATAAATATGGAAAACGTCACATTTCTTAACATGGTTAATTTTTAAATCTTTTCCTGTATTATTTTTTTCTACTGATTTTATACTTAAAGATCTTCCCCATTTAAAGTTTAAATATTCATTTGTATTCTAGATGATTCTCTCTTTTCAATATTTTGTTTTTTATATTTAGTATTCTAATCTATTTGGAATGCATTTTGGTCCACAGCATGGTGGGGAAATCTGTTTTCCTTTAAATAAGCAATTTCTCCAAACGCTTTTGTTGAATATTCCATCTTTATATGATACTTCTTTTATCATATATTAAATTCTTATATATGACAGAATGTGTTTCAGGGCTTTTAAGTCCATTATGATAAATGATTGATTGATCCTGATACCAATCCTGCACTATTTTAATTTTGCTAATTTTATGGCCTTTTAATACAGAAGACTAGCTCCCTCTAGAACTAGCTCTAGCATCACTTCATCAATTCTAATTGGAAATCTTAAGAAGCTTTCAATTGGGATCACAAATCTAATAATTAGTTAAATAAAAATTAAATTTTTACAACACAGAATCTTCCCATTTTGGAATTTATTGCACCTCCATTAGTCAATTTTCTTTTACATTTCTCTAGTAAAGTTTCATCATCCTCAGACAAGTCTTATTTATTTCTTATAAGAAATATATGTAAATACTGTGATTTATTATGAAAATGATAAACTTCAATAGGTCAAACTCATAAATAAAATCAAAAGGCAAATCACAAATATAACATTCCAAAGATTTATGACAAAGAACATAAAGAATTCTTAAAAACCAGTAAAAGAAACTACTAAGGAGGAAAAAGAAAAGATAACTACAAATCACAAGAAAAAATACAAATGGTCAACAAATATGCTAAAATTTTAACTTCATTTATAATTAAAAGAAATGAAAATAATTCAATACCATTCTCTAACTGGCAACAGATTTTTTAAAAGCCTGATAAAAATCAGTACAAGTACTCTGGAAACTAATTAGGCAATATAAACCTTTTTAATGCTTATGCCCACTGATCAGTTATTAGGCTGCTAGGACTCTACAGAAAAATAATAATGACGAGAAAGATTTGTGTTTATAAAGGTGTTCACTGAAGCATTATTGATAACAGCAAAAACTGAGAAACAAATGCAAGATCCAATTGTAGTTATTCATACAATGGAATATTTTGAATTAATTTAATGATGTGTTTTGAAGAATATCAATAATGAGCAAATGTTCAGAAAATATGTGAAAAATAGGATACAAAACTGTATATGATTCCAATTGTTTATGTATGCAAAAAATAAAGCAAAGGAAATAATACAACAGAAACTGTTAATAGTTGGTACTGATTGAATTATGTATTATTTCATTACCTACAACATAAACTGCAGTAGGACTCACCTTGACTTGATCCCTTTAAAAATTTCTAATACATAGGCTGAAGGCTATAAAGGAAAAATAATACCATTAGTGCTAATCTTGGTTGGTTTCTACTAACATTCTCTAATTTCCATCTCCTAAAAAAACAGGGACCCCTCTCTCTCACTTCGAGTGTTCTAAAATGGCAAGACCTACATGGGCTTAGAGTTAGCCATATCTGGGTTGACAATCAAGCTCTGCCCCTACCATGTTACCTGCTTCCTTACCTATAAAATGAAGACACTCTGACTCACATGACTATTGTGATGAAGGAGACATGCAAGTAATTAGAGATTGCTATTAATAGATAACTTTCTCCCATTCCTCTCCCCCTCTCTCTTCCTTTATCTTATCTGATTTATGTCAATTTTTCCCGCAAAGGCTTATTCCAAAGTTCATTTAGATGAATAGAATCTTCAGAGGGCCTTGGATACTGAACATAAGTAAGCACTGGAAAACAGAAGAATGCTGGGTCAGTCCAACAAAAAAGGCTGGCTTGGGAAGTTATGCTAAAGTGGTCTTTTTGAAAAACAAAATTATGCTAGAGGATGGCAAGATTCAAGAGATTTTTAAAGCAAAGTATTTCCCAATATATTCCCACAAACAATGCTTCTTCACTTTCTCTCTTGTCTCTAAAAGTAACCTCTGAATAACCAAGGGGAACCTGTTAGACATTCTACTCACTGAGATATTGCCATAAGCCATCAGGATGGGGTTGATAGGAAGAGGAACCTATGAAGAAATTATTAAATCAAGTCATTAAAAAAAATGAGACTTTGATAGTGCTTGTCACAGACAGGGTGCTAACAGTATTTTACAATTTTGAAAAGAGAAAAGAGATCCTAAAAACTGAAAGAATCTAAAAGAATTAGCAGGCCTGTTAGTTTCTAAAGTTCTTGTCAATGAGTTTGGACAATGAATTTTATCTAAAATAGGTTACTCTGCCTCCTAAACCAAAGTAGGACCATGAGTTTCTACTCAATACAATAATCAACCCAATCTATAATTTCCTGTCCTCTCTTTATTAAACCAAGTTTCCTTCCTCCCATAGTTCCTTGATTTCTTCCAATATTTGGGTTAGAAAAGATAGTACTGCATTTATCTCACATCCTGATCTTAATCAATATAAACCTGAAACAATGTTTTCTTCTCAGGAATTCTATTTATAAATATTTTCCAGAGCATAACAATGTATGACCGTACCTCTTTCCCTGCAGCTTTACAAATGGCTTTGTGTTCTTTCATTTTCACAGTTTCTTCTCGGTATAGCTCAATAGCCTCCATGATCCTCTCAGCCTACATGAGTGATGACAAGGGATATCATCATTGCAACACACTCCATCATCCCAGGATACTATAATTGGAAGGCCTGACTAGAAATTTACATAACGAAATAGCCTGAATCAGTTTAATAAAGACGTGCCAATAGAGTGCCTAACAGCATTTAAAGACATCTTTTGTTTCTTTTCTTTTTTTTCTTAATTACAGAGAGGAGACTAAGTGTTATGGACTCAGGTGAGACCACATCTAGACATCTTGAATAAGGCAGTTCCCAGGAACACCTGAAAGGTGCTACCTAACTGTCAGAAGGAAATCAAGTTTTTCTTTCTAGAAATCAAACATGCCCTGATCAGATTCAGGACTACTCTTGTCCTTGGTTCCAAGGGAAGAAATCATAAGTTATGATCTCCATCTTTAAATTTCATCAACCTTAAGCCATAAAATGGTTATTTGGTTAACACAGAATAAGATTTTTACTAAGAAGTTGAGTTCCTATTAAAAAATGAGATACTACATTCTATATTAACTTACTGCTTTGACTGTTTCAATAGTTTTCTTTCCAGTAAAGTAATTGTCACCTTGAGTCTCCCCTGGAACCTGCCAGAAACAAAGAGATCCTTGACCAATATTGTTGACAAGAGTTAAAGGGCCAGTAAATTTATCTTACATCCATAGAATAAGTATTATTTTATGAAAATGATAACACAATGTTATTAGCTACCATTAATTGAGTACTTAGTAAGGACCAGACACTAGGTTAAGCAGTTTCTATGTATGATCATAATAATATCCTGTAAATGTTTAAAGATAATGTCCAATTTCTCAAATTTTTTCTGATTTTTATTTTTGTCCTACAGTGAGCTAAATAATTCTCTAAATCCTCCTTAAGAAAAATAAAGCCAGAATGACAATTATTCAATATCAAATTTGGTCAATCACTTGTCCCACAAAATTAGGATAAGCAGTTGAATAAAAAGGACCACAGAGATTCTTCCTCATATCAGCTGGTGAGGCCTTTGGCATCTAGCCCCAATTTTAATTCTATTAGAAATTCTTAAAATTATAGTAAATTCCAATAAGATAATTTTAAGGCATAATCTTGGGATCCCCCCAAATTTACTTACTGCTGGTTGGTCTTCTTTGGACACACTCTCCTCATATTCTGCTTCCCGTTGCTGCCACAAGATAGACATAAGTTAATTTGAGAGAAAAAAAATACTTTCCATATAAAGTGAAATGAGACAGTGAGGAGCTGCTTCTTTTAAAACACCATCCCCTAATGGCATCTTTATCTCTGCCCGACTTCTGAAATGTGTGACAATGGTCTGAAATGCGTGACAACATCTCCTGTGGATTCGTGAACTTGCACTGAATGAGGTATGACTGCACTAGACAAAAAAACTTTAACTGGGACCACCTGTGAGATACACACAAGCATATTTGTAACCAGCCTAAAGTCTTTACCATCTCCCTTTCTTCCTCAAGTATAAGAGGCTCCCTTGTTCTCTCCCAAAGTCTCAGAGATTTGTCATGGGATGATGATACAATATAATCTCCATTGGGGCTTACAGCCAAACACCATATTTCCTGGTGGTGCCCCTGGAGAAAAAAACAAAAACAAAAGCCCAATTGAGAATAGCTCCTGCTTATATTAGCAGGTAAAGAAACATTCTTAAGTACCAAGCAAGCGAAGCAGGCAAGAGATTACCTCCAGAGTCTGTATGTGTTCAAATTTGTCCGCATCCCATTGCTTAATCTTACGGTCTTTCCCAGCAGTGAAAAAGAGGTGAGACTTGGGTACAAACTGTAGGTACATCACACTGCAAAGTGAGAGGACTATAATAAATGTCATTAAATTCCATGTTAGTAAAATGAGTCTTACAAACATAATAGCTTTTCACTAGCTAGTTCTGAAGGGTCTAGCTATATATTGGAACTTTCAATTTATCACTCTCTGAGAACACTAAATACCAGAAATAAATGCTCTAGGGAAATGCTGCTTACAGGTGACTCCCAGGGAGACCTTTGAAAAGACTACACCTACCTGTCATCATGTGCAAAGAGAGACTTGTGGCAGTCCCCAAAGTCCAAACCCCAGATTTTCACATTTCTGTCAGCAGACCCAGTTGCTATTAGTGCTCCATCCTATGGGAAACAGAAGTAAAACATTACTTGATATCTGAATTCTGTAAGTTAGATAAATAAAATCTAACCAGAATGTTTAACCCATTTCTTTCAAAAACATTATAATAAAGCCAAAAATAATTTCATTTCTCTACTAAGAATACTTATTAATTCTTTACTTTTACCTATAGAGCTACTTAAGAATCTACTAGAATGTTTATGACCTAGCTTGTATCCCACATTCCCTATAATTATTTTTAATACCTTTCCTATTTTAATGCTTGGTTCAAATGGTTGTTAACATAAAAAAAAATTACAAATGTTTAACACTGTAACTTAACTATTAGTGCACTGATCACAGACAGCTATGAGGCCAATTACTTTCACATAAAATAGACATTTTTTTTAAATATACAATTTATTCCTAATCAGAACTAGCCATTGGAAAATATTATTTTAGTCAAAAGACTAAAAGTATACATAGTGCAAGATACCGTAAATAACCAAATATAAAGCCAATTCCTTGCTCCTCACCAATATTATTCTTCAGAACAAAAGAGAATACATTTTAAAAAGTCTTTAATATTCCAGAGTACTCTACCAATTAGAGTATTTTAGACAATTAAGTAGAATTTGGGAGTTATGAGGATTAACTTAGATATTTGTAAAATTATTCTAAAAACATTAAGAGTAACATATATATTTAATATATAACATTAATTTGTAACTTTTTGGAGAAAATCAGATATACAACAAAATGATAAAAATAAATACTCTAAAATGGAAACAGCAAGCCAAGAACTAAGAAAGTGTGTGCTTTACAAAAGATAACATGTTACTAGACATTATTTAAACTTTACTTACATAGGAGATGTCCATGCATATAACAGGCAGTTTGTGTCCATAAAGTGAGAGAAAAAACTAAGCATTGAAAAAAAGAACATAAATGATTTATGTCTGTGAAATGTAAGTACAATTTATTACATGTGGGTCTAAAATGTAACTTTAGAATATAAGACTAAACACATTTTTGGATTACCTTATGAATATACTTTCAAAGATGACAATTAAGCCACTAAAAACAACTTGTTAAAAGTAATTTTGTCCACAATACAGACCCTGCATGACTTGCCAAGAACAGTGGAGGCAGTGAGGCTCCCAGAAGCTTACTCCTCGGTCAGAATATGGCACAGAGATGTTCTCTGATCTCTTCATTGAGAAGACTCTGGGACACTTGTCTCTCAAAAATATTCCCAGGCCCAACCTAGTCCTACCAACTCTGGGTATAAAGCCTAGTAATGTCTAGTTTTATAAGTAACCCAAATGACTATCCTGATGTATAGTCAAGTATGAAATAGTCATTGCCTAGGACACATAGCAATGCTCTTAATATGACTGGCTATGACAAAATTTTCTATCCACAAGACTTTCGAAACATGTAAAATGTAACTTACTTTAAATAAAATGTATGAACCTTAGAATTTTTTTAAAAAACTCTAGCTTCCCTAGTGCATTTACAATGCTTTGATTTGCATACAAATTTTTAGAAACATACCACTGCTGGGCACAGTCAAGGCCAAACCCAAATTCTTAAGGCTAGTCAGAAAGAAAGAAAGAAAACATCCCCAGGCATAACCACAATACCTTTAAAGTGTCAACATAGAAAATTTTCACAGTACAGTCCAGCAAAGACACAGCCAACAGCTTTTGACTGGGAGAGTAACTGACACACAGAACATCTTCATCTAGTTGCAAGGTTCGAGTATGCTTCACAGAAAGTCTAGCACCACAGAAAACATCAAGAAAAAAATAAATTAGTATACAAACACAGATGATTCCTAACTCTCTAGAGTACAACAGAGACACACAAGTCAAAAAGCCATTCAATGGCTCCCCATTTTCATTCCAAAAAAATGGACACAAAAAACGACTACTTACCTCTTTTGGGTACTATTTTTATCTTTTACCAACTCAAAATCCCAGAACTTGACACATTTATCCGCACCACCTGTCACAAAGCCGCGCTGAAAATCAAATGACATTTCAGTTAAAAATTACTTTAGCATAAAAACCTTGCTAAGACACATCAAAATAGTGTAAAAAAACATTTTTTTTTTCTTTAATGGCATGGGGTAAGAATTAAGAAAAATGTGATTCTCCCTAATCCCTTTCACTACTCTTTTGGGTCTGCTGCCACAGGCCTTACTTGAGAATTCCTACCATAGACTAACATAAACAGAGATGATAATGAAACATTCTAGTTATACTCTTGATAGCATCAGGAAGAAAAACTTTTAGTGAACATTGTAGAATTTTTTGTCCTACTTAAGTGATGAGAGTCAAAAGAATTGACTATAAAGCAATAAAACTAGTTGTGACAATTATACATAGACTGGATAATCTAAGTCTGTTTGAAGAATCCACCACAGAAGGTTATAAGTTTATTCCTGCAATGTCCCTGCCTGAAACATTTTGAAACTGTTTTCCAATATCAGAAAACTGTATCCCTGGTGTCTATTCTGCCATGGCATAGATTTATAACACCAGAAACAGTCTTTCTATGATCTTTAGTTTTGCTGAAATGAAAGACCACATAGTTTATGAAAAGGACAGAACACTCTACAAATGCAAGATGTTATTATTATCTTAAAGTCACATCTGTTTTGTTTGGATCCCAAATGGCATTAACCACTCTATACTCCAGAGTTAGTTTTTTCCAAAACAAAGATATGCTTTTAATGGGTAAAAATTTTATAACCTTGAGAATATTCAAATAAATGGACAAAAATTTCTTAAGATACTGTCAAAAAAAAAATCTCAAAATGTCTGATCAACAGCATCATTACTAGAAGTATATAGTTCTCCAGGGTGATTCTTTTGAAGGAGAAGCACACATTTATTGACTTGTTAGGTCTGACATATTTGCTTAAAATACTACACTTATATCATCATGGATGTTTGGACAAAAAGGAGAACAGAAAAGTCTACTCCACTCTCTGTATTGTGTTACCCAAAAGAATATTCCCCCTTAAGAAGTATCACAAACCA